AGAAATAAGGGCGGCTTAGCCGTCCCAGCCCAGTGCAGTCGGCGGCAGACTACACTTGGGCACTTCTTTCCCGTCCAGGACTCTACTAGACGGGAACAGTCGCTCCTTCGGGAATTCAAGCAGCTTCGGAGGGAGTCTCTCCGCCAAGACAGGAAGGCGTGTGGGAGGACGCGTGGTCGGGGCGACACCCTTCCTTCTCTTCATCCTGACGCTGCTACAATTGGCCTCCTCAGCCAGAACGTTCGAGGCTTCGGCAACTGGACAAGGCAAGAGTGGCTAGGTTCATTTAAGCGGAAGCACGAGCATGGCCATTTTGATCTCGTCTTCCTACAAGAGACGCACGTTGGCAAGACGACGGTCGCTGCTGCAACGCGAGAGCAAGCGAGCCGGTGGGGATTCCGTGTTGGGGCTGGCTGTCCAACCCTGTCCTTGTGGTCGGCAGGTACAACGTCGTCGGCCGGTGTGGGTATGCTAGTCCACCCTCAGAGCCGATTTCAAGACCTTAAGCCGGCTTTTGAAACCTATTGGTCTCCACATTTCATGGCAGCGACGGCCGTACTGGATGGAGCACCCGTGCTCTTATTTAACGTGTACGCACCAGTGGACCCCGCGCAACGAGAACAGTTTTACGAGCAGCTCACGTCAATCGTGATCCCGGAGGACACCCATCTCTACGTTGGCGGAGATTTTAATTGTACCCAAGGCGGACTTGCTGATCGATCGTACGAACCCTACGCGGACAGTTACAGTTCGGATGGTCTTACTCTGCTGGCGCATCAGTGGCGTCTTCATGATAGCATGGCCAACTCCATGCCTGCGCTCGAGGACAAGGTCGGTCTGAAGCGCTTCTACGAAGCCCACCACACCCATCAGTATACTGTGGCGGGCCGTGAGTTGGCCACCAGCCGCCTGGATCGCTGGTACGCCAATGATGTGGCAAGACCGTGGATGGCGTCGACCCAAGTTGATCAAGAAGGGTTCCACTCCGATCATCGTGGCGTCGTCCTGCATTTAAGGTCACCGACGAATCCCATCCAAATTCAGAAAGAGAAACGAGTCTTCCCGGTCCCGGCATATGCACGTGAACGAGCGGACCAGTTTGTCAAATACGAGCTTGAGCAGCTTCGTCAGCGGCTGGCCGCCAGCTTGCTGTCAGCGCAACAGAGCGCAGACTTGTGGGATGCGACGAAAGTGCGTATCCGGACTGGGCTTCTTCAGGTACAGCGAGCTGCCACGCGCAGCAGGACAAATACTTACCGCAAGAAGATTCGGCGTATGTATGGCAGACTGCGGGTCGCAATGGAAAACGCTCGTGTGGATGTCGTCGATGCGTCTGGAGGCGACCCAAGCGCTTCTCCTGCTCAAGCCACCGTTGCGCTCATCACCCAACAAATCGCCACCGTCAAACGCGAATGGGTACGGGCTAAATCGTGCTCTCTTTTTCAAAAGCATACATGGAGGCCAGGCAAGACGACCAAACAGTTCTTCAAGCGCATCTCCTGCATATTTGGGGACAATCTAATCCCGACCCTCCGTTCTCCAAACGGCCAAGGAATTACCGACTCGCAAGCTAAAGCGGAAGCGTTGGCCGACGCCTGGAGTAGTATTATGCAGGGCGATGCTACACCGCCGGAGGCGGTGTCCCGTGTCGCGCAATGGATGGAACAGGACACCGGCGACGATACGACAGCACTAGGAAGCTCGGATTTAATCACGGAAGAAGCCGTGGCGGCGGCCCTCCAAGCGTGCAAGGCGGATAAGGCGTGTGATCCTGACCGACTGGGCAACGACTGGTATCGGGCTAACGCGGAGCAACTGACACCAATTTTGACGACGCTTTACAAACAATGGTACGATGCTGGGATTTTTCCTACTTCGTTCCTGGACGCAGACATATTTTGCCTCAAGAAGAGTGGTGACGGCACGGATCCTTTGAACTATCGTCCGCTTGCTCTACTTAATACAGACTACAAGATCTTGACCCGATTACTTACCACGGAGGTTCGGCGGACGCTTGCCAGGAGAATCAGTCGCTTCCAGAACGGCTTTGTTCCTGGCAGGCAGATTCATGCTACTATCGATTATTTGGCGGCTGCTCAACGGATGGCACAAACCTCGCCGGAGGCGCGCGACGCGTTGGCTCTCTTACTGGACTTTGCCAAAGCTTACGACTCTTTGGATCGCACCTTCCTGTACAAGGTTCTTCTAAGGCATGGATATCCCCCACGATTTGTCCACGCGATTGAGAAGCTGCACACTGGGACCACGGTGCGTTTCCTTGCCAATGGCACTCGATCGCGCAAGGTACTGGTCACTCGGGGCATTAGGCAAGGGTGCCCCTTGCCCCCCTTTTGTTCATCCTAGCGCTGGAACCGCTCTATCGCAGACTGGACTCGGGGCGAATCCACCGCGGAGTCACGCTGGTCACGCAGCAGGCGATGATTGTTCTGCGGGTAGCCGGGTACGCGGACGACACCGCTGTTTATTGCCGTGAGCCGAGTGAAGTCCCAGCCACTGTTGAGACTATCGATGAATTTGGTAGCGCCTCCGGACTCCGCCTCAACCGCCAGAAAACGACTGCGATTGCGCTGCACCCGGACGGACTCAGCCCTGGCGTTGAATGGAACTGGGAACTACGCTTGCTGGCACCCGGGGATACCTGTCGTTATCTCGGCATTCCGTCTGGTAGTCAGCGGTGCATCCGGCGCGTTTGGGAATTAGCAGGTGATCAACTACGGCTACGTATCCGACTTGCAAGTCAGAAGACCCTAACTGTGGATCAACGTGCGAGAGTGGCAGCTGCCGTAATTGTCCCGAAGCTCCTTTTTGTCGGTCGTCATGTTTGGCCGGACACTGACACCGTTGTGACGTTTTCGAAATGCATCCGGAATTACGTTTGGCATGGATTATTTACCCCTCAAGTCGAGAGGCCTAACACGTGGCTCGCAGCTGATGTCACTCGTCTCCCTCGTCATGAAGGCGGCCTCGCTATTCCGGACCTTCGGGCTGAGCTCCTTGCAATGGCCGCAGTGCATGTTTCAGCTTGGGCTGTGAGTGGCTCATTGCTAGATCATATCGTTGGTGACATACTGTTCTCTCGGTGCTCTTCACTGACAGCCTCATCGCTGTATATCACGCCACAGTCCCGCCAGCGAATTGTTCATGGATTTCGCGACGGCTACACGATGTGGAGGGCTGGAGTGCAGATGGTGCAAATGGCGGGGGCGCCTTCCCCGGCGGACGGGCTCAATACGATTTACGCAGAGCTCTTCGATATCGTGACCAATGCGGTCCCTGAGTCCATCTGCTGGGACAACGGACCCTGTGACCTCAGCTTGTTATGTCTGGCGGGTGCAGACACTTCCGCGCAACGACAATGCATGCGTCGTTATCTGGGAGTGCCCCACCTGGAATGGCTACCTTATGCGGAAGTGAAATACGTGCTGACCTGGAATGGTCCGCCGGCGATGTCGTTTCCTGCCAGCATTACGGCACCGGGGATCCTACTTCGTGATGTGTTAAGGTGGACTCACATCAGGACTGGACGCATCGCCTTTCACAAACAAAGGCCGATCTCAGATGATGCAGCGCGTCGCCTAATTGTGGCTCTCTTGACGAATTTCCCAGAACTCGTATTCGCTCCCTCGCTTCAAGCGAGTCGCTTGGTGATGAACTGCGCATCGTTGCTGAACCATGGGACCACCCTCTCTGTGTTCGCACCACTGGGGCGAGGGTGACTGCGGACGCTAAGGTGCCATTATGTCTCTCGGGCACGGGCCAAGGCCCCGGGGTAGTGGTGTATGTTGCGTCGAGAAGCGACGCGGTACGAAGTCTCAATGACTACGTGGGCGACGAGGCCAAGATTCGAGATATTTATCCTCATCCAAGCCTAAACAGACTTGTCTGCCTATGGCATGGTAAGGGGCGCTGGCAACGATCGCGACATGCTTATAAAAGTGCTGTATTAGCGGCGCCTACTCGCCATGGAGAACAAGATGTGGCCGGCCGCCAACAAGCCTGGCGCAACGCACACCCCGGCATTGATTCGGTGTTAGAACAGGTCAGCTGGAAAAGTGTGCGCCAGATTGTCGGAGCTACGGGGTGGGGCGAACAAGTTCTATATCGACTCAAGCTGCGTGCGTTTAGCAGGTGGGATGTTACCCAAAACAAAGTTGGGTGCCCAATCAGTGAGTGTTCGAGCGCCTCGGCTGATGCGGAGCACACATTTTGGGCCTGCGCCGGAGCTGCCAAACTCTGGCAGGTATTCTACGCTGCATGGGAGGCGTTGGGGATTGTTCGGACGACTTCTCGGCTAGACGCAACGTTCCGGTTAAAGCTGGAGCATGTGCCCCCTTCGTTGTGGACATTTCTCGAGGATACGCACAAAAATGACACTGAGGAGAGCCGCAATGCTGTTCGGGGACATTTGTACGAGATTCTTAACGATTGCTGGCGAGTGGGTGCTATTGAAACCCTCCAAGCAATTTGGCGTCGGCGGTGTCTTTATCGAGATGCCAATGAGGACACTTCGCCATATAGGGTAGCAGCGGTACTACATGGGCGACTCCGCACTGCCTATCTGACTGTGCGAGCACATTGCACGACGCATGCTGCTGGGCCCCACAAAGTTGCTGCAGCGAAACTCTGTTACTTCGCATTGACTACACCCGGGCCGGAGACACAGGCGCTGCCGTCACCTACGAGGCAGCAGCAACACCACATCCTCTATTTCGATGGGGGTCCCGAGGCAACCCCGGTCCCGGAGGCTCCGGGTCGGCCATAGTCCAGGTCGGTGGGGCTGATCCCAGTCCGAAAATTGTCTGGCTGGCGAGCATCTCCTCTGCATCCAAGACCACCAACAATATTGCTGAATATCGGGGGCTACTAGTCGGGCTCAGATATGCGGTGTGCGCTACTCTATACGGCATCCATGTCGTTGGAGACAGTCACCTCATCATCACGCAGCTTCGTGAACGGCGATTTCCACGTTCACGACATCTACAAGGGTTGTACACTCAATGTCGTACAATGGCAGATCGTCTGATGGTGCGATCTTGGACACACCATCTTCGCCATTTCAACAAGATGGCGGACGCATTGGCAAACATAGCCATAGATTCCAAGACAAGCAAGCAAGCGTTTGCAGCGGACGTACCTGACTTGCCCCAAAACTGGTCCTCGGTGGTCACATTCCTACAAGGGGATGTTGATCACTGGATAGACACACTGTGTGTCTATGTGTCACACACATCCGGATACGGAGGCAAACTGCCGGGCCTCCACTGAAGAGGGCACACTGTAACAGTCGTGCATATGCTGGTGCTGCATGTAACCAGCACGACTTAACTGCGTCGAATGACGGGCATTTGATGGTCGTTAGGAATACCACGCCCTCGTGGTTTCTTCGGTTCGAATCTCATCGCTATCAGCAGTATATAACACGATAAAATCCGGTCAGTTTCTTACGAATGTGACAATAGGGAGAAATCTTGTAGAAGCTCCACATGCTCTGAATTTCAAGCGATACAAAGTTGACCAAATCGGTTTTAACTCCCCTACAAGAACAGGTCAAGTGTCAAGGTAGGTAGGTATCTTCATAAAGTCAACACACTAACTCATCAAGGTAGGTATCTTCATAAAGTCAATACATTTCGTTTTTCGTTTCAAGGTGAGGTTCCATTTGAGTCATTTAGTTCTACGGCATTGATACTCCAAGCAAGGCCCGGGGAAAACGGAGGTCCCTGTGAAATAGAAAACGACCTGGCTCCCTTCTTGCCGTGGCAGAAGTCAAATACCTGAACGACCGAAGGCCAGCGAAGAAGCAGGCAGGCAGCACTCGCTCCACTCTCTCGCAGGCGCAGGACTCATACACCCGCATCGTTTCAGCTCTGGTGGAGCGAGAACGAGTCTGTCAGCATTCCGAGGATTGCCAGCTGCTAGAGGGCGCGGTCATACGCTTCCACTCCTGTTCTCCTCGCCGACGCGCGGATCCGAGCATCCGAGCTCAAGCAATAGCCTCCCACCTCAGCACTTCACTTGAGAACTTCAGATGCTGCCGCTGCTCCACGGACCGCTGCCGCCGCCCGAGCGAGAGCTGCAACGGGACTCGGACGTCGCCCGTCAGCTGGCGCGGCGCTTCGCGCGCGTGGTGACCTTGCGACATCGCCGGCGCCACCACGCGCCGCAGCCCCCGAACTGCGCGTCGAGACGCCGACAAGGCGCGCGCCGCAATCACCGTCGGAGCGAGGTTGAAACTGAGCCCGAGCCGGAGGACGCGAGCCTGGACGCCTCCATCCGCTCGCTGCAGTCTCACATCGCGTCGCTGGAGCGCTCGACGCTGCTGCGCGACTCGGCCACCCTGCTCTGGCGGGCCAACAGCTCGGTCGTGGCGCTTGACCTCACGCGTGAGTACTTCCTGCAGTTCGCGCACGGATACGACTCGGCGGACGGCGCGCGCAGCTCGACAACCGAGCGCTTCATGACGAGCGTCTTCCGGCGGGATGTCCTGTGCCGGGACTTCGAGGGCGTGCAGGCCTTCATGGACCAGTGGGAGAAGTACACGACGTTCCACCAAGGACTGACGTTCAAGCTCAACTCGGTGCGGCTTGTGGACAACGACGACGACTCGCGCTGCGCCGTGGCCGTGTACGCCACGGGCGAGATCGGCGTCACGTTCACGGAGGACACGCTCAAGTTCCTGTACCCGGCGCTCTTCACGCAGTCGCTGCGGGATTCCAACTACCACCGGGCCCCCACGACGCATCATAAACAACACCAGTGCGTGCAGCTATACTCCTGTCGTGTTGCTCTAACCTAACTACTCACTACTCCGAGGCCCGATGCAGCCACGCCCTCGTGGTTTCTTCGGTTCGAATCTCATCGCTATCGATGCCCTCGGTCTGGTCCAGCATCGTTTGCATGCCCTCCGCTGACCCGTCGACGGCGTCTGCTTCGCCGTCTTCCGCTGTGCACGCGCTCTTTAGTACGTCTTCGTCTTCTTCACCGCCGTTCATGACTGCGGTTGCAGACGCCTCTGGGACGATGGAGTGGAAGCGCTGCATTCGCATCAGTCGGGCTCGCCGGATGGAAATGTACGCTACCACACAGCCCACTGCAATGGAGCAGGATCCCGCCACAATCCCCAGTATGAACAGCGTCTTGGCAGACAGCGGCCCAAGATTTACCAGCGAAGCGGCCGCCGCGACGGAGAGGCCACCCTCCTCCTCGATCCAGACCATTGGAAGCCACCCCGCAGCCAGATCCGCGTGCCAAACGTCGAGCACTTGGGAGTCTCCAACTTGCGCCGTGAGCTGCCACACAAGTCGACGGTGCAGTACTGCACCAGTTCGAGGGTCGACATCAAACACCGACGTTGGGCTGTCTGGGTTCGAGCTGTTTTGCACGACGAAGGGCAGATCGTTGCTGAGGAAACTCATGTTGAGGCTCGGGCGGGAGGGCGCCGCAGCACTCTCGACGATTCCAGTCGGAAGGCGCGAAGGCAGCGTCCAGTCAACAGCGTACCGCATCGTCGAGAGGCCAAAGCGGGTCGTGTTGGAGTCGAAGGAGATCTGAGCCACGCGACGCGCGTATCCCCAGTAGAAGTAGAGCTTCTTGGGCGGAAACTCCACCGAGTCGGCCGTGTTCTCGCCCTGGCCCGTGAGCACCGCAGTCGTGAACTGCGTGCCATCCGTCACTCGCACCGCGCTGAGCTCCACGTCCTCGCCCCACGCGTTCATTAGCGTCGTGTTATCCACTGCAAGAAGTCGGCCCACGACGCTCTTGCTCTTCCTGTACAGCGCTGCGTTGTCTTCCGATGGGAGCACGAACTCAAATGCCGAGGCCCCACGCTCGGTGGTCGTAGCGTTGGCCCACAACGGAGTTATCTCGGGGGAATCGCCCGCCTCGCTTGGAGGTGATGCGAACAACACTTGGGATACCGTGGATGCAGCAAAGTACCCGCCTGTCGGGTAGCCCAAGGATGGCGATTGAGAGACTTCCTGCTGTGGTGAACTTGGGGGCAATTGGAGGATGTTTGGCTCAAAGCCGAACTTGGTGGCCGCATACCGCAAGTAAGCCTGCATGTCATGTACAAAGCTGACCGGTTTGTCATTGAACGCCTCGAGACCGGGCAGGCGCAGATACACTGTTGTCAGCCCCACAACGCCTGCCTCGCCCGATCGATCCACACAAATCTGCAGCTTCTCCTGCTGGCTCCACTCACTATCGTAAGCTTCGATGACTGTCAACGTTAGAGCTTCACACGCTGACGTGGTCTCGAATGGTTGAGCCAGGAACGCATCCAACAGCAACGCACTTCGGAAGGTACTCGGCAGTGCAGATGGAGGAGGGACCCCGCTCTCCGAGAGGCTGGCAGGAACACTGCGCGTTGGCCACGTCCACGCTGTCGTGTCATTGAACCCGAACGCAGTCCAGAGTGCGAGGGTCTCGCTGATCGAGAGCGTATACTCCGTCCCAAAGCTGCACGTGACATCTGCATCGTAGGCAAAGCGACGATCGTGCGCACTTTCACTGCAGAACGCACTCAGCTCGCCGAATCCCGGGGGAAAAGGGATGGTTTGTTGCACAACTGCACCACTCGAAGCGTCAAATACGAACGCGGTGCGTGGAAATCGCTCCGACCGAGTCCCATTGTCGTCTAGAATGGTGTGGCCAGAGCTCGTGTCGAACACGGAGTAATTGGCTGCAGTGGAGCTGCCATTGACGAACTGGGCCGCAGCCAAGTCCAAGAACCTCAACGGACCTGTAGTGCTGTCTTCGTCGCTGTTGGCTACGCGTACCTGGTCAACTGCGTATTGCTCGAGAACAATGTCGTCCAGCAAAGCAGTCAGCCAAGGGACGATGCGAGACGAGATCATGGAGGTTGTGTAGGCCAGCAGAGTTTCGTCACTGGTCGTGGATAGTGACGGAGATACAGCACCAATGCGGTCCAGCAGAGAGCGTGACAGCACTCTGAGAGCCTGCTTCTTGTGGGCCTCGTAGTTGGCAGGCTCGTCAGGTGCTCGGCAGTTCCCCGTCGTCCGATCCGACGAAAAGCAGGCGACCAACATTGTCCGCCACAGTGCAAACCCCTCGTCTGGATTCACCAGCGACACAGACTCTTCAACGTCCAGCAAAACGCGAGCCGCTGCTACCCACCAATCCGTAGTACTGAAGAGCTTTGCTTCTTCTTGTGCTTGCAAGTCCAGCTCGTTCAAAGGGAACGCCTTGGCCATGTCTGCTGCACTCGGAAGTAGCTGGGCGGTCGATGCAGCCCCTTGAGTGATCGGAGCGATCCAGAATTCCTCGATAAACATGCGAGCGCTGGGGTGACTAGACCACGACTTGAGCCAATGTCCCACAAGTTGCAACAGACACGAGACGGTGGCGGCTGCCAGTTGCTGGTCGTCGATCACCTTGGCGGTTGGATTCCCAGAGCCAATTACGTCTGCTTCGACGCTCTCCTCGCGGGTGAATGCAAGCCACGTCGACAGCCCCGTCGGATGGAGAAACGAAGCTGGATTTGAGGCGTCCCAAAGCGTGAAAAGCAGCGAGAGAGATCTGGTGCACTCGTCAATTGTTTTCTCGGTTCCTCCCAGCACTGCAACGTTCGCAACGAGGTCACTAATCGACACACTGCGGGCCACCACCTCAGTTTTCCATGGGAGAACGAACGCCAGCTCATATCCGAACTGAAGGGGGTCTTGGGACGGTTTGGTTGGAGCTGCACTCCACCCGTCTAGCTGGTACACCTGGAAAAACAGCGAGGACTCAGGCACCCCTCGATACCAATACGCTACGGCTTGGAGCTGCTCAGATGTCATTGTAAGAGCCTGCTCCAGGAACCCCAGCGCTAGATCGTTCAGGTCTGCTGTTGACTGAACGATTGGAGTGTTGGGAATCGTTGGCTGGACCAGTGCGACGAACTCGTTGAACGCAGAATCTTCGAGCACTCCGTAGCCGTCGAGAAGATGTGCGCATGGTGCTCTCGTGTTCCCGTCACCGTCAGCTACTGCCACCATGCACCACACGATTCGACTCGCTGGATCCAGAAGAGAGCCCGTGGTCCCAACATCCCACAACTTCCTTAGCGATACTCGGCTTGTACCGGCCAGAACGGGCGAAGCCGCTGTAAAATAATCGCGGTCCATGTCGGAGGTGACGACGAAAGAGTACAATCGCTCCAAGTGAGAGGCTAAGTCCAAGCTCCGAGTTGAATCGCCTCGAAAGGCTTCACCCGCCCCCCATTGCACCAGCATAAAGTATCGCAGCGAGTCGTCGGTGGCCCAGTTGAACAGCCAGCGAGCAACGCCACGGATTTGTGCCTCGGTCAGTGAAGTTGCAGCAGTCATGGCTGCTAACAGTAACGCTTGCTTTGAGGCACTCAAAGTGTGAGTCATGCTTGATGCTCGCGTGACTTGACTCTTCAGCGGGTACTGCGCTACAAGCTGCTCCGACTCATAGTCCACACCGTCGTACATTTCTTCCCAGGCTCGAAAGCCCGTCGGAAGCCCAGCATCGTCCTCAGCGCCATCGCTTCGGACGATTGAGTACACACTATATGTTCTCCACAAGAGCTTTGCCTGTTCAAGCGAAGGCAGCGGCAACGTATTCGCTGACCCTTTGTAAGCAGCGTTCCGGAAGAGCTCAAACCCGCGCTGGTCGCCGGCTTCGTGGATATCCACGTCCACACTTGCCGCGTCCGTGGAGATCCACGAGGCAGCAACAATAGTCGCTGCAGCGTCACTGCCTTCCCACTGCTTGAGGTAGTCCTGGACTGCAGACAAATCACTAGGCGATGAGCTCCCAACGAGTGCGTCCAGGTCCTCTTGAAGCGCTTGGAGAGCGGCAGATCTGTCGATTGCTGGGTACCATTTGTCAAAGAAGGCAGTGGCGTCAAGGAGACCGAAGGCTGACTGCGAGCTCCAGATCTCCTGAGCCACCTCGATGGAGATATCTGCCGGTACCGACCGGTTGAGCTCGAACGTTGCATCCACATGCGTGACGTTGGCGAGCGGGTACAGTTCCGGAGCGGCTAGCACGCTGAGCAAGTTACAAGCCTCGAACTCCTTCTTGCTCTGCCGAGACCCCATCGTTTGCGTGAAGCCCGACGGCTCCAATGGTTCGCATAGCGTCCAGTCCTCATCGACTGTGACTGTTGTGCTGGGTCGAACGAGAGCTGCGTCTTGCACCACGTTCGCGTCAAAGAAGGCAACGGGTCGTGACGCGCGCTGCTGGATGTCGTCAAGACTTGCAGAGAATTTGGTTGACTGCGACGCTATGCACGAAGGCACAGTAGAGATCTGGGGAGCTGCGGTGGTCTCTTCAGTAACCTTAGGCGTCGTGGGGCAGCGCGCGTACAGCCAATGCCCTAGAACATCTCGGTCCAGATGCTCATTAGTTCTCCATCGCTGAAGCCACTGGAACACGCGCTCCATCCAGATCTCCCACGTAGAGGAAGCTCCAGTACTGCCGCAGACTTTTGCGAGGGCTGCTTGGGCAGTTTGAAGACTTGCGGCGTCACTGCTCTCAACTGCTAAAGCCAATGAATCCCACAAAGCATACCCTTCGACAGTGAGGAAGGATGCGCTATGTGAAATATCCCAAAGTTTGAGAGCTTCGCGAGGGACTTCGTACTTTGTTCCGTTCTCAGTGGTGATCGTCGAGCACTCGTCCAGTGTCAACGAAGCCAGCGTCGTCTCACAGCCTGTCGTAAGCTCCAGACCGCTCTGAAGACCGTCGCGATAGGGCTCGATATCCAGCCCTCCTGCTTCGCCTCGTCGCCACTGATCCAGTACGGAGTTTTCCACCCAAGTAGAGCCGCTTTGCTGGTTTACCCAGGCAGCAACTTGCGAGGCGTGGGCCGTGGTTACAGGCGAGCAGCTCGTGTCGGTAAGGGTCACGTTGAAAATCCCCGAGCTGGCCCCTCCACCTTCGAAAGCGTCCTGGCACAACGACGTGATCGCAGCGTTCACGTCGGCGACAACCGCCTGGATTTCCGCTGCTACTCCCGTAGTCCCTCCACTAATGTGTGCTGCAAGCTCGATCCAGTTCTTGTAGCCCTGTGCGTTGCGGAACGAGAGCTCGCTCTCGGGGTCCCACAACACAATTGCAGCAGCTAAACTAACCCGATCCGCGGAGTTCTGCACGAGCGGCTCCAGCTCAAATCCGGTTGTTTCATCGTCCAGGTCGTCCGCCAAGCCCGTTGACACGATATCGCAGGAATACACACGAGCGTTGAGGGTATACGTCTCCCTCGTTCGTGTAAACTGAGGCCCCGTAGGCGGACATGTATCCTTCGTCACCAGGTACGTCCTGTCGTCTGTGAAGAACGGAGATTCATCAGCAGGCGTCGACACTGTGGTTTGCTCCTGTTCATCCGGCGTTTCCGTGCATGTGGACTGGCCCGTGTCAACCGATTGAGACGCGACTTGAGTCGGGCTGTCCTCTTCTCGAGACCAGCATGTACTCCGCAGCCACCAGTAGTAGACGGCGAGCTTGTTCAAGTCGTTCTGGGCCCAATCTAGCAGCCACGCCCCAATAGCTTCTGCGCTCGCCTCGGTAACAGCGAGAGCTTTGAGCTGCGGGGAGTCGTCGATGAGGCGCGCGTAGTTGCTCGTTCGCATCGCTTGCACCCACCGACCATAGCACTTGGTCGTGTCGGCGGGGTGTGCTGGCATGAGGAAGGACACAGAGTCTTGCGTGACATCCCAAAGAGCTTCGCGAGCGGCTTGAGAGATCCCGGAACCGATGTCAAGTACTGCGTCGGGGTTCATCTCGAACCCGAGCTGCTCGCCGTCGATGTTTGGCTCCAGATCATATCGCAGACAACCGTCTTCGCGTGGCAACTGCAGCGCTGTTAAGCAAGTTCCGTGCGTCCACTGCAGAAGCGCTCGTCGCCGAATAAAGCCGTCGACTAGCAGGCGCTTGATCCACATCGAGATGGAGTCCACCTCGGCACCTGTCATACCCGTAACACCATCCAAGAGACCCGAGGTTGTGCCAGTCTCCACTCCACCAACGACATTCATCCACTTCGTGAAACCTGCCGGATGAACGAAAGCGTACTCGATCGACGCGTTCCACAGCTGCTGCGCTGTGGCGACGCTCACTGTCGTCGCGCTTGACGGTGCTGACAAGGGCTGGAGACTGAATCCCGATTGAACGCCGACTTGCTCGAGATCCAAATCCACGTCGGGGTCACTTAAATCGCTGTCGGCTGTGCGCTTCGCAAACGCCTTGCGCCAGAACCTCTGTCTATCGCGCTGCACGACGCTACTCTGCGCCCAAGCGATGATGTAGTCGCGGACCGCCATGAGCTGATCGCGAGTGAGATAGTCACTTCCCAGGGCGACATCGTTGTTGACCCCATCAAGCACGTAGTCGATGGCGGTCTCATTGAGCGCCACGACCTGCTTCCAGATAGCAAAACCCACCGCCGTTGTCTGCGGGCCGCCAAGTCCATCGGCGGCAGTTTGAGTAGCGTCGTAGTCGACGAGCGAGAAGCGCAGGTTTGACGATAGCGAGCCGAGTAGAATGGTAGCGACCTCCAGACTCAGCTGCAGGGCTGATGTAGCGGGCAGCAACTCGAATCCCGTGCGCGCTTGGCCCGTGGGGCTATCGTCGATCCACGCGTCAAAATCCGTCGGAGTGCTGCCTACCTGTCGCCAGAGATTCACCACCGCCAGGTTCGCGGCGTCGGCAGTCACCCGGTTTGTCGCGATGTTCCGAGCCACGATCTCGCTCTTGATGGAGCGCAGTACAAATGGCACTACCTCGAGGCACGCGCGCTCGAAGACTTCCTGCAGTACGTACGGGAACGCGATTCGCTGCAGCTTGAGGTTCAGCGATCCGAGGGTGCGCGGCACGAAATTCACACGCTGAGCCTTAATCTGCCGGCCCAGCAAGTCTGGCACGGCCTCCACGAGCAGCCGATTGTAGAGGTTGCTCAGCACACGTGGCACAGCTTGTCTTCGAGCAAGCGCGTACTGCTCCGCGAGGAGCCCAGGGATCGCGACGTCTGCCTGGTCGCGGAATACATCACGTAGCATGACTGGAATCTGCTCCGTTCGGGCCACCGCATGCATCCGCACCAGGGCTGCCGGAAGATTCGCGTCTCGGATGCGTCTGTGCTGGCGATTGACCACCGCTGTCAGGACCTCGCGCTTCACCTCCGCCACCATTTCGGGGAGCAGCGCACGCAGCGCTCGTAGCTTGGTCGCAGCGAGGAACTCGGTCTGTAGGTGCCGTGTATAGTCGCGGATGTGCGCGTGCGCGAACTCGGCCGCGAGAAACCTCTCCGAGTGGCCGGTCTGGGCGTGCAGCTTGGCCAGGTGGCGTACGTACGAGGCGTTGAGAGTCACGACGACGTCGCTCTCGGAGCCGTTCGAGCGCTCGCTGGAGAAGTGGTAGGTGGAGGCCACCTCGTAGCTCACGGCGCCGTAGCTGTCGGCGTCGTACGCGTCGTCGTCGATGGCGTTAAAATTCACATTGAGCTTCCTCGATCGCTTCTCGTACGTGTACGGCCCGACCTGCTGGAGCTTCGGCTGAGCTGCGCCGCCGGATAGCAAGTCTTCAGCGTTCGTGAGGTTCCAGAGGTAGAAGCTCGTGAACTCGGGTGCGTCCATTGCGTAGTTGAAGCCCGATGAGTTGAGGAAGTTGGCGCCGGTGACGCCATCAGCGGCTTTGGGCACCCATTTGAACAGCGCCGCGGCCTGCGCCTTGCGGTCGGCCTCTTGCACCTGGAACCCCAGCACGATGAGCATCACGCCCACGGCCACCAGTACCGAAGCCAGACCGATGCCCCACATCGTCGGCCGTTAATGCAAGTGGCCGGCCGCACCTTTTGTTATTTTGGCCCGATACGCGATGGTTCTTGGTCAAGTCGGCCACACAGTACAAGAAGCCCCCCCCTTACAAGGTACATGAAAAGAAATAATGGACAATAACTTAACTATCTACTATCCTGGCCCCAACGCTAGCTATGCGTCTTGGCGGCTGATAGCGTGGCTTGCTCGCTGAAGTACAGTCGGTTGGTGCGCAGGTTGTCGAGCGTTGTCTTCGCCGCTGGAACGAGGCCGCTGATCGCCACCCAGAGCGGCGCCACGAGGTAGTCGATGAAGTTCATCTGCAGGCGGCAGCGGGTGGTCTCGTCCTGCAGGTTGAGCAGGTGCGGCGGCACGTTCAGCCCAAGCTCGGCGGACCGCTCCGCTTGCTGCGTGAACTCGGTGCACACGCGCTCCACCCACTTGAGCGCCACGCGCAGCGGCCGCCCCACCGACCCAAGGTCGGCGCCGTGGATGATCATGTTGAGCATGAGCTGTCGACCTTCGGGCACGTTCTCGAACTCTTGGATGGACCCAACGACGGCCAGCTCCGACAAGAGTTTGGTGTGGTGCTTCATGTCGGTGCCGAGAATGCAGCGCACGATGTGGGTTCGAGCCGACACGCGGGCAACGGCGCTCAGGTCGCGGAGGATATCGCAGCCTTTCACTGGTAGGAAAGGCGACAATGAACAAGTTAGACAAGCTACCAACGCCACAACTAGCAGCACAAAGAAGGAAACTTACTCCGAAGCACCGAAAACGTTGTGGCCGCGTGGTGGTTTTCAAGCACCGAGATGTCGTTGTAGCAGAGCGCTAGTGCCGAGTTCGAGTCCACTTCGAACTGATTGTCGTTGCCCGGGTGGTCCGCGTCGTGACCCAGCGCGGCAATCAGCAAGCTCAAAGCCTCCAGTTCCTTGATGACCGAGAGCACCTCGCCCGAGCGCATGAGCGCGTACGAGGCCAAAGCCACGTCGAAGCCGTGATAGAAGCTGTGGTACGGCACGTCGCGGTATTTGCTGGCCAGCTCGCCGATAAACGCCCGCAGCGCATGCTCTTCGATGCGAAAAGTGCCGATGAGCACCAGCCCCTCGAACAATTGGTACGAATACTTCTCCAGCTCCGAGATCGACTTCGTGAGAGGGTCGAAGCTGTCACGCAGTAACTCGTCCACGTGATCAAGACCTTCCTGCCCCATTGTCATCCGATGCCATCGCGTGATGAGGGAGTGAGTGCGGCTCGCTCGTACGACAGAAGCCGTACGACTTCGGACACGAGCGCGAACGACGGGCTTTTCGACCTCTTCCTGTGTGTCATCACTGTCGTCTTCATCGTCATCACGTTGACCCTGTTCAGCTCTCTCACGGCGCATTTGGGCTAGCTGCTGCAGCCGCAACCTAGCCATCCGACGCAGCGCGATCAAGCGTCCCAGAGCCCAGCAAGCGTAGGCAAAGGTGCTCCACTTGTTTCTAGGAATACGCTTGGCCTCGTCAAAGCCGCTCAGATCCAGCAGCGAGTGCACACTGGCCACCTCGAGTTTCGCATCGAGACCAATGTCCGCGCTGCCCGTGCCAGCCGCAGCACTGCTGAATTTGCCTTCAGCATTGGCCACAGTGTCTTCCCGCGTTGATTCTTGGGCGGCGCGATTCGCCCAGTAATCGGCTTGCACCTTGGCGAAGATAATGAGCGACGAGTTCACATGCAGTGCATGGGCCACGAGCCGTAGGTAGACCGCCATCACCTCGTTATCATAGCGCGCGACTGGGGGGCTCGCTGCTGGGAATTGACCGAAGTTGACTGCCTGCAGGACGCCCACCGTCTCGCCCGAACGCCCCAGCACGGGCTGAGTAAGCAGGCACTCCGTCTTGAAGCCGAACTTGGCGTCGAAAGACCTGTCGAAGCGCGGGTCCTCATATGGTCGATCTACAGTCAACGCTTCCTTGGTAGCGGCAACATGGCCAGCGATGCCGCGTCCGTATGGGATGCGTAGCCCGTTGACGCTGCTGAGAGAGCTGAGACTCCAGAGCTCCTGCTTGATCGTGTCGGACACGTAGAGCGTGACGTGGGCCGTATGGAACACGGCACTGCCGATCTCGCAGATCAACGACACGAGGCTCGAGGGATCACGAACCGATTCCACTAGGAAGTGTGAGCGACACAGCGCTAGCAATTGCCGCTTTTGCCGGGTCGACGCGCGCAGATCATCTGATCGTTGTTTGGCCGCTAGGGCCAGCGCTATCGCTGCCAGAATGGGCTGTAACTGAATTTCAAGCGGTAGCTCAGGCTCCACTTCAAGCATCGACTCCGACAGAGTCTCCGCAGAGGTTGACACAAGGCAAAGAACGCCGCTCGGGTTCGCTCCTCGACTGGCAGGTACGGGCAAAAACGTCAGCGCGTGCTCCACGTCAGTCTCCAAGTGCAGGGCAGACCCCAAAGCTGCATCGTCGCTAAGATCTAAGCGTTCATGAGCCCGAGTACTCCCCAGCAACCGCTGGAACAGTACCTTCGTAGAGCCAACGAGGGCGCAGAAAGCTTCCCTGTGGTTCTCTTCGAAGCCCAATCCGTGACTAGCAAGCACGCTGCAGCTGTGCTTGTCGGTGTGAAGCTCAATCAGACAGACCCCCGACACAACCGGGGCTGCCGCTGTAATCTCCGCTGCCAAGTGTCCGATGTCTGGGGCGTGTAACCACTCCGCCTCAGCGTTCGTAGGTCTCTCGGACTTCCCTCGAATGAGGCTTGTCCGCTCGCCGCTGGTAGCGTCTGCATTTTCCAGGGACGTGTCTGGGGGTGGGCCCACCGCGTGCCAAAGAACTTCTTCCACCACCGCTTCAGATTGAGTGTGCCGCGCTAGTGCCCGCCGCAATTCGAACGGATACACAGCGTTCTCGACTGCTGTGAGCGTGGCTTGCATGAATTCCTTCGAGAACGACAGCCCCTCTTGGGTACTCCTCGCCTCCACCACAAAACGCGGTCGTCCGTGCTCATCCGGCAGTACTCCAGCCAGCACGCTGGCGGTCGAAAAGCCCAGCACCGAGTCCACATCGCACGCGAGATCGTATGTCCCCAAGTTTTGCAGGCACGCAACGTACGTGGCCGCGGGTCCTGTGGTTGGTGCTCCATCGTCGTGGATGCTAAAATGCTCAACAAGGCCTCGCAAGGCGAAGTTCTCTAGCGAGGTTTGAAAGTTCACAGCTGTTGAGGTGGAGCAGGCTACAACCTTCACCACCGGAACCTCGGCCGTTGACAGCGAATAAAGCACCACAACGGTAGCATCCAGTGCCGTGGCTGCTGCAAAGAGTAACGAGGTGAGCGTCTTCTGTAAAGCCTGCTCCGACTGCGCCGCGTCTCGCATCTTCAGGGCGGCGAGCGTCTTGTAGAACTGCAGCTTGCGATCCAGCTCCTGGAAGGCGCTGAGGTTTTCCGATACGGTGCTGCCTGGTTCCATCACAGTCGAGTCCCAGGAGACTCTGCCCGACGACGAACTGACCGTGAGCCTCGTGCTGCTTACCCGCCCACTGGCAACCGTTCCTGCTGTCGGCGGACGAAGCGGCTCCAGGTGGATGCGGCTATCACTCAGCTGCGTGTTCTTCTTGGAGTGGGGCTTGCTGCTGCGTTGCGGCGGCATCGGCATAAACTTCTTGTCGCCGTCGTCCAGCGGCGACGGAGTGGAGATTGAGGGGAGATTCACAGTCAGCGAGGAGGGGCCCGTGTGGGTTGAGGCGTCGACGTGTGGATGCAAGTGCGAGTCGCCTTCAAGCCGATGCAAGCGGGCCATCGTCGCGCCCCACCCAGTTAGGTCTACGCAGCGGTTGAACACCGAGGGCCCGAGAGCGACCGGAGAGCAACACTCACTCACTCACGCGCGTGCGTGTGCGTTTCGGACTCGATTCGCCCGACGAAACGGAGGCGATGGCTTTCTCGTTGTCAACACTCCCCGACTTGATCAGACTCACTGACTGATTGTTGGAGACTTCAAGTCGCAATGCCATTTACAGCAGCGACCAGGTGCTGAGGCGACGGCCTCGTTCGTTTCTGCGGGGGCTCCGATTCCATGTTAAGAGCGCAAGCAGCAAGGAAGGCAACGGTGCTCGGTCTTATCCGCTGGGGGCTTTTTCGGGCTGTCGTCGGGGGCTGCTGCTGCATTACGAAAATCGAAACTCGCTGCCGGCTTTCTCTGTCTCCTCCGCGTCAACTTGGTCCGCCCCTCGTGTTGAGTCCAGCGTGGCGTTTGGCAGTCGAAATAGCAGCGAAACCGCTTCCTTGCCAGCTGTGTGACTTGGGCACCAGGAAGCTCCATCATCGAAGCGCAGCGCATTGAGAATATCGGATACGGATCCACTTGAATTACGCCACACGCTGTCACTACGAACTTCTTGCCACCTACTACAGTACTTCAATCTGCTTCGTCTTACATGAGCGGCTTGCCGACGGCTCCGATCGATGCCAGCGCCTTGACTTCAGTGGGCTGCCCCCCGTCGTCGAAGAATCCGTAGCCCTTGAACGAAGCCTGCACGGCCTTCTTCTTGGCCGCGGTGGAGTGCGGGAAGCGGATCTCCTCCTCGTGCATGAGCAGGTCCTGCACGCGCAGCAAGTATGACTCAAGGTTCTTGAGATACCGCTCGGTTTGGCGGTGCCGCGACGACGCGCAGAACTGGATGCCCTCGTCCTTGATGATGTAGCCGATACCGAATCCGTCCGGCACCACGGGGCCGAAGCCGAACAGCCGCAGACTCGGGTTGCCGCAGTTACTTGTCGACAGCACCGAGTGGTTGAGTTTGCGCCAGGCGTCATCCGCGAACAGCGCGGGCGTGGGCTTGCTGCTGTCGGCCGCCTTCTCGTGCTGCCAGAGGCACTCGAGCGCGTACAAGTGGCGCTCGGGGCCCTTGCCGGCAGCGCAGTCGCGTACGTTGCTCACGTGAGTGGCGATGGCCTTGCGCAGCGACGTGATCTTCTCCAGCGGCGTCTTCTCCGAGAAGAACGTCTCCACGAACTCCAGCGCGTCCGACGTCATCGCGCGTGCTGCCTCGGTGCGGCCATGCTGGAAGCGCTTGGTGAGCACAGGCTCGTAGATGCACGGCGCGCTGCCGTACTGGAAGTAGTAGGCGGCCACGAAGGCCATCTGCACGAAGGCGTCCGGGCTCATGTTGTGCTGGGTGATGAACAGCTTGCCGAACGCCGTGAACTCCAGCACCTTGACCTCATTCTGCAGCATCAGGTCCGTGAGCTGCGCCTCAGCGAACTTGATGCCCTCTTGAAGCTCGCGGTCCAGCGTCCACTCGAGCTTGTGCGGCTGCACGCGGGGACGATCGGGCGAGTCGGCCGGACTTAGCTGCGGCGCGCGGTAAGAGGCCTCCAAGAACGCGTAGTTGCCGGCGCGGATTGTCTGCGCGAAGCGGATGATGGTGTCCGTGAACACGTCCGAGACGAAGCGCAGAACCGTGTGGCCGTCCACGAAGGCGTGCTCAAAGTTGCATCCGGCCACGCCGTTCTCGCACACGATGAGCTGGAGCTTGTCGTACCAACGGTTCATGCACGTGCCCGTCTGCACGCCGTCCTTGGTGATGCTGTAAGTGCCGTGTAGCGCCGTAGCCGCAAAGGCCGCTGCGTCCGGAGGAGACGTAGTGTCCAGACACACAAGGAACAGCGCGCGGTCGATGACGGCCAGTGTGTCCTTGTTGGCCGACTGCAGCTTGGTGCGCAGGCTGGCCCACTTGGCGCGTCGCTCGGTGGTGAGCACGCCGACGGCGTTGGACGCGGCCTCGACGTCGTCGGCCTTGAGTGCGTCCTCGTGGATGGCCTTGAGGTTGGCCAGCAGCTCTCGCTCCGTGATGGCCGTGACGCCGTCCTCCCAGATGACGTCGAACCAGTAGAACTGGTTGCGGCAGACCACTACGATGTGCTTGGATAGCTCGTCCACCATGACGTCGTCGGCGCCCGCCGAGGGCACGCGCGCGCAGCCGAAGAGCCGCTTGTACTGGTGCATGCACAGCGCCATGTTGCCCCTCCACATGTCGGGCTCGAGCGTGCCTCTCCGCAGCGCGTTGACGAACTTGAGTGCGCCCAGCACGAGCGACGCGGCCCTCGAGAGCTGGTTGTTGCGCGACGGCGTGGGGTCGTCCTCCAGCACGAAAAAGGGGTTGACATTGAGCACGACGGAGCTGCGGTGGTTGAGGTAGGCCTCGTACCAGAAGTCCTCGATGAAGGACACCTTGTCCTTCTCGTACTCCAGCAGCTGCGCGTGCAGCCGCGGGCCGTCGCTGGCCAGGAACTCCTTCACGTGCTGCTCCGTGAGCTGCTGCTCCTCGGGCGTCTGTAGCGCCTTGACGAACGCCAGGAAGCGGCGGCACGTCTCCTCCAGCGACGGGATCGGAAGCTTGGGCAGCGACGCCTGGTGGCGGTACGTGGTGGACTCCTCGTCCGTGGGCGGGCGCCAGGCAGCGGCAGGCGACGCGGCCGCGTCGTGGCCCGAGGCGCTCGAGTCGTTGGCCACCATAGATGGCCTGGGCGCTCGTTAGTTGCGGGTCGGAGCGCGAGTTCGAGAATGAAGAGATCATTCATTCAACGGCTCTTTAACATGAGCAGATGGCTACATATCGAACTTCAACTTGGTTTGGGGGTCTTGCGTTGTGTCGGATTGCGACGTGGTTTTGACGAGGGGCATTTTGCGTGTCAGCGCATTGCGTACGAATTCAACCTGTTCAACTGCAAGTTGCAGTCTGCACCTGGCAAGCCTCGCCTTGGAGAGACCATCTTCCCTTCCAGAGGCCGAGCGAGCCACAGAGCTGAAGACCGTTTGGCAGCCCGTCACTATCCCCTGTCACTATCATGAGAGAAACAAATTCCGAAGCGGTGGACCGTGGCCTCAGCGACGATGACTTCTTGGCGGGCCACCCGTGCGAGTGTGCTGCCGTCTGCAAGCACTCGCACGCCCCTCACGAGAGACCCTGCATCGGGGAAACGAAGATTGCGTCGGTTGTCGCCTTTTACCCGTCAAAGCGAGTGAGTGAGCCCAACGGTGGTATTCAAGCGCGTCTTGCGACCGCGTTGGGCGAAGGGGAGAAGGAACTTGAGACCAGCCTCGAGGCTCAATGGGACGAGGCGTGAGCAATATGACGCCCTTGGGCTTGATCATATTCATTCTGCAATTGGCCGGAGAAAGCTTTTGACCACCACCAACAGAATGGCTCCGACCGAGGACTTCGTGAACGAGCTTGGCCAGGTACAATGGGACCGAGTGCCACTGAATGCCGCTCTTGACAGACTCAACACGTCTCGCGAGGGCCTGACGTCGGAAGAAGCGGAGAAGCGGTTGCTGGTGTACGGACCGAACAAGCTGCCGGAGGAGAAGGTGAACAAGCTGCGACTCTTTCTGGGTTTCATGTGGAACCCGCTGTCGTGGGCCATGGAGGTGGCCGCCATCCTGTCGATCGTGCTGCTGGACTACGCCGACTTCGCGCTGATCCTGTTCCTGCTGCTGCTGAACGCGTGCATTGGGTACCTGGAAGAGATTCAAGCAGGAAACGCTGTGTCGGCCTTGATGGGCCATTTAACTCCCGAGGCCAAAGTGTTGCGCGATGGTGGAATGAAGACTGTGCCCGCGAATTTGCTCGTGCCCGGCGATGTGCTGCGTGTGCGTCTGGGTGACGTGATCCCGGCCGACCTCAAGTTCCTGGAGGGCGACGCGGTCAAGGTGGACCAGTCGTCGCTGACGGGCGAGTCGCTGCCGGTGACCAAGAACGAGGGCGACGAGGGCTACTCGGGCTCGGTGGTGAAGCAGGGCGAGATCGAGGCCGTCGTGACGAGCACGGGCATTAACACGTTCCTGGGCCGCGCCGCCGAGAAGATCGCTACGGCGGACTCGCACGGCCGTCTGCAGATGGTGCTGACGACGGTGGGCAACTTCTGCATGGTGTCGATCCTGTTCTGGTGCGTGGTGGAGCTGCTGGTGCAGATGGCCGGCCGCACGTCGCAGAACCCGTGCGTCATCGTGACGGACGGCTGCCTGGGCGTGGCCAACATCCTGGTGCTGATCGTGGGCGGTATCCCCGTGGCCATGCCGACGGTGCTGTCGGTGACGCTGGCCATCGGTTCGTCGGCGCTGGCGAAGGAGAACGCCATCGTGACGCGTCTGACGTGCATTGAGGAGATGGCCAGCATGGAGGTGCTGTGCTCGGACAAGACGGGCACGCTGACGCTGAACCAGCTCTCGGTGGACATGGACAACCTGATCCCGTACAACAACTTCACGGCGGATGACATCCTGAAGTACGGCGCTCTGTCGGCGCGTACGGAGAACAACGAGGCCATCGACGTGGTGTGCCACAACACGTACCCGGGCAAGGACACGATGTGGCAGGAGTACACTCTGCTGCACTACACGCCGTTCGACCCCACGACGAAGCGCACGATTGCCAAGCTGAAGGACAACCGCACGGGCGAGATCCTGCGTGCCGTGAAGGGTGCCCCGCAGGTGGTGCTGGACATGGACGTGAACGCGGACACGCTGCGCGTGGAGGTGGAGGACCGCATCAACGAGTTCGCTTCGCGCGGGTACCGTGGTCTGGGTGTGGGTATTTCTCGCAGCGGCGACGTTCCGGTGGAGGAGTGCGAGTGGCAGATGATCGGTCTGCTGCCGCTGTTCGACCCGCCTCGCCACGACACGGCCGACACGGTGAAGAAGGCCATTGCTCTGGGTATCGCTGTGAAGATGGTGACGGGTGACCAGAAGGCCATTGCCGTGGAGACGTGCCGTCAGCTGGGAATGCCGACGAACATCCTGGACACTTCTTTCTTCAACACTGCGCCGCCTCCTGGCCTGAACCTGGCGCAGATGATCTACGACACGGACGGCTTCGCTCAGGTGTTCCCGGAGCACAAGTTCGAGATCGTGAAGCACCTGCAGTCGCTGGACAAGGTGGTGGGCATGACGGGTGACGGTGTGAACGACGCTCCGGCCCTGGCTCAGGCCGACATTGGTATTGCTGTGGACGATGCGACGGACGCTGCGCGTGCTGCGGCCGACATCGTGCTTGTGTCGCCCGGTCTGAGTGTGATCATCACGGCCATCCGCATGAGCCGCGAGATCTTCCTGCGCATGAAGAACTACGCCATGTACTCGATCGCCATGACGGTGCGTATCGTGTTCACGTTCGGCATCCTGACGGTGGCGTGGAACTGGTACTTCCCTCCGATCCTTGTTGTGATTCTGGCCATCCTGAACGACGGCACCATTCTGACGATCTCGAAGGACAACGTGGTGGCGTCGCCGCACCCGGACTCGTGGAAGCTGAAGGAGGTGTTCATTTCGTCGATCTCGTTCGGCCTGTGGCTGACGCTGTCGACGGTGGTGCTGTTCGCGATCGTCAACAACTCGAGCGGATTCGAGAGCACGGGCGTGGAGAACCTGTGCGTGAGCTGCATGAAGAACGAGTGCCACGACTTTTTCCAGGACCAGTACCAGACGTGCGTGATGGAGAACAACGCGACGGGCTGTGGTGAGATGACGGGCAGCGTGCCGCAGGCCGCTAGCATCGCGGACGTGGGCGACTTCCGTGAGAAGGCGATCGACGCGTACTGGACGCAGTACCAGGAGAAGTACGACTCGCGCTCGAAGCTGTTCGAGGACCTGGCGGACGTGCACCTCAACTCGCTGCCGAACGACGCGAAGCCGTCGGCCGAGGTTGCGTACAACCAGTACGTGTACGCTTACACTATGGGCGCTGGCGGTGCCGCTTACGAGGGCGACTACGACGTGTTCACGGCGGCTCAGCTGGGCAAGGGTGTGACGTTCATCGGCAACGACGAGGTTCCCATCACGAACCAGGTTGGCTTCTGCGACTACGTGTGGGGCTTCAGCAACTGGAACCAGACGTGGACACGTGACTACGAAATGATCGGTCCTGGCCTCCAGCGCAAACAGGGTGTGCTCCGTTCGCTCATATACCTGCAAGTTTCGATCTCCGGCCAGGCGCTGATCTTCGTGACGCGAACTGCCGGTCGCAACAATTGGTTCTTCTTGGAGAAACCATGTGCGATGCTGATGATCGCCTTCGTGTTTGCTCAGATCGTGGCATCCTTGATCGGCTGGATTGGCTTCGGTGGCTATCCAAATAACAATCGGATTGCCGTGATCGGCTGTGGTGGGGGCTACGCGCTGATTGCCTGGCTGTGGGCCATCGTGTGGCTGTTCCCGCTTGACCTGATCAAGTTCTCGGTGAACTATATATTGACGAAAGAGGCATACGCCCGGAAGGCGTTCACGGAGCGTATCAATGCTGGCCACCCGACGATGACGCACTCGGTTGTATCGAACCCACAGCGATCGATCCGTGCTAGTCGTGCGGTGTAAGTTGATTTGGAAGTGCAAAGAGCACTAACGTTAAATAAATCAAAGCGCTCGATTATTGTTATCAAGTTAGTTCACGACATTGACTTGAGTGCACTGCTCCAGTGCCAGCTTCACGATCTGCATGATGTCGTCCGAGCTCGAGTGCTGGTTGTGTGTGAGATCGATCCAGGAGCTCTGGAGTTGGCTTGATCGGACACAGATTCCTATCAAGGCCAGGATCATCGCCACAATAGCTGCAAGAGCAACGCGCTCTTCACATGAAGGTGGGACGTGAGTTCGTGCGGCCTTGAAAACCGTTGTGGCGGCCCAAGCAGCTACACCGACCGCAGTCTGAGCCGCACTCAGTGCCACTTGGACGGATCTTGGCTCATTAATTCCTTGTGCCGCACAAGTCCGATGAAGGCCTTGGCTTACTGCTCTAATGCTTTCATTCGCATTGTTAGAGCCTGGAGGTTGATCGTCTTCACTCGCAACGACGGGTTGATCAGTCACCGTGATCGAAAGTCTCTCAGTGATGTGGCTCCACGGCTGCGAGGCCACGACGGACTTCCTGCGCTTCGTTTCTGGGGACTCCGCATGCATCGTAACCTTCAGCGTAGCCAGCGCCTTGTTAACGTGCTTGACGTGGTCTTGCACCATTAATTCCAGCGTCTTCACAGAGAGATACGACGTCTGCTCCAGCACCTGAACCATCTCTTGGCGCTGCAAGGCCAGCTTCCTTTCCAACCTCTTCAGGTCAATCTGCTCCGGTGAGCTCTCGATCAGCGTACATGTATCCTGTTGTGGCACAGGGTCACTGGCTTTCGGATCCTCCTCGTTGTTGTCGTCCATGCTGCAGTCCGACGTTTCCGACGACGTCATGCTGTCGCAGCGGACGGGGATCTCTTCCTCTACTTTGTCCGTTGCCAGTCGCGCGTTGACGCGATTTCGAGCGCCGTCAACGAGATCTCGCGTCTCCTCCAGCGACTTCACCAACTCGTTTCGCATGCGCTCTTGCCGTTCCTGGGAGAACTTGAGTGTGCGCATAATGGGATTCGAGATGTTCATCGTCAGCAGACCATGAAACTGGATGAATCCAGCAAAATGAGCGCTAAACCCCACGCCTCCGAAAGTTTTGCACAGCGCTCGGTCCACCTTGATGGCCTTCTGCATAGATTTCGCGAACTTGAGCTCTGCTGGCACTAGGTGCTTGAAGAGCTCGCTCATCCAGCTCGTGATCGTCACGTGGCACTCGTACGCTGCCAAAAATCTCTCCCAACTATCCTCGGAGACGGCGCTGCAGTTGTTGTCGCTGTTGAGCTTCAAAACCGTGGTGGCCTCGTTGGGATCGCGGCCAAGCTCTTGATAGTCGCCAGCAAGCTTCGTCATGGCGGCGACCATGCGGTCGTATACAGCGATGATCAGCTGCAGCACATTCCGAACGTGTGCTTCATAGCGTTGGCCAGCAAAGTGCAGCGCTGTGATCCACTGCTGGATGGCGAGGCGCTCGGCATCTCGCTTCCGAAGAAGCTGCTCCATGTGCACCCTGTGTAGCAGCGCCTCCGCTTCAACGAACTCACCATTAGCTGATCCGTCCACTGCTGGTCCAGCGTTGTGATCTCTCTCACAAGTCTCCAGCAAATTCTGGTACGCGACGTCGAACGCCTTCTCTTTCTGCAGGAGCTCATAGAGCTCCGAGAGCAGGTGCTGGGTCTTCTCCACGTGCTCCGCTGTGAACGCTTCCAGCGGTGCAATCACTTTCTTGGACAGGTCGACGGCGACGGCGGCCTTGATAGCTGAGCTATTGCGCACGAATTGGCTGAAGCCGTCGCTAACCTGCTGCAGTTGTGGGAGTCCTTCGAGAGTCAACTGGGTGGCAGCGGGCAAGTCGAGCGGGAGGGCGGCGTAGTCGTCTGCGTACTGCTTCTCGACGGCCTGGAGCTCGCAGACGACGCCGGTGACGGCCGTCAGGTGCTTGACTTGCGCCTCCACGTGCGCCTCCAGCGGGGCGAGCTCGTCCGATACCATGGCTGCGGAGCCCCTGGTGGTGCCTTCACAGCAGAAAGGCAAGTGAGCGAGAACACCTCGGTCTGCTTGGCTTGAGACAGCCTGCACCATCCCAAGCTCGCGAGACCGTTAGCCACTGCGGCCTTTTGGCTGCCAATTGCAGCGCGCCAGTATCCACAAACGGCCACAGCCCAGTCAAGGAGAAACAGCTTCAGCCTGTACATGTACTAAGCTCGTAGCAACGGTGTTGCATCAATTGCCAGAGCGCCCAACGCCCGCCGTGCGCTGGCACACTCTCGATTGTTACAGTTCCAACCAATGCATACAGCAACTGACAAGACTTCGAAACGCCTATTACACGGCCGCCTTCCAGGCCCCGATCACATGCTCGATGATCTCCTCGACGCCCTTGCCCTGGTTGATCTGCGTGAAGACCGTGGGGCCCTCGCCGCGCATGAGCTTCGCGTCGCGGTCCATGACGTCCAGGTCCGCGCCGACGTGCGGGGCCAGGTCGATCTTGTTGATGACCAGCAGGTCGGCCTGCGTGATGCCCGGACCGCCCTTGCGAGGCACCTTGTCGCCTCCGGCCACGTCAATGACGTAGATGATGTAGTCGGCCAGCTCGCGGCTGAAGTTGGCGGCCAGGTTGTCTACAGGATACACAGACGCACACGCATAATTCCAGTTAGCTACATCTATCTACCGCCGCCAAATTGCGCAGCTCCACCTCACCTCCGCCTGACTCCACCAGCAGCAGTTGCGTGTCGAACTCGTCCGTCAGGTCCTCGCAGGCCTGCAGGTTGGCCGAGATGTCCTCGCGGATGGCCGCGTGCGGGCAGCCGCCCGTCTCAATGGCCCGGATGCGCTCCTCCGGCAGCGCGTCGTGGCGCACGAGGAACTCGCCGTCCTCGCGCGTGAAGATGTCGTTGGTCACGGCGGCCAGGCTGAACTTGTCCTTGAGCGCGCGGCACAGCGCCAGCATGAGCGCCGTCTTGCCGCTGCCCACGGGCCCGCCGATTCCCACGGTGAAGGCCCGCTGCGCCCAGTCGCGGCCCGTCCTGGCCGCGTCGCGCTCGTGGAACTCGCCGGCGTGCTCCATGTGCTCGTGCGTGTGGCCGTGCTCCCGCAGCTGCTTCTCCTCGTCGGCCGTGGGCGCGCGCCCTCGGCTCTGCGTGAAGCGGCGAATCACCTCGTCGCCGTCGATCGCGTGCTCGGGCCCGAGCTCGTGGCTGTGACTGTGGCTGTGGGAATGCGAGTGCGTGTGCGAGTGAGAGTGCGAATGCTCCATTGCGAGGGCTGCTCTGCTGCGCTTGTCCTCCTCTTCCTGCGCGGTCGCTGGCCGATTGAAGAGTGAGCTGGTGTTCGGGATCTTTTCGATGCTGCGTCGACGTACACGTCGGTGATGCGCATCACGGGCCAATCAGAGGGCTCAATTGGCCACTTCAATGTGGGGCTGTAGCGTGGGGGCATCACACGCGAAGAACGCAATGCAGGCTGCATGATGCAGTGCATTATGCAGCTTCCTACAAGGCCTCACAACGTCAAAACACCAAGCAACAATCGTTTAGAGCAATGCAAGTTCTATTGAGAGGCGTTGGCAGCGATGGTCTATTTGGCGCTGGCCTTGGTCTTCTGCAGCACGTAGAAGAAGTACCCCAGACCGATATCTGCGAGAAAATGAGCAAGAGAGAAGTTAGTCCAGAGCGGCGTGGAGCTTGCAGGAGGACAAACTGCGCACTGACCGATTTTGTGGTAGGAGTAGTTCCAGCCGTAGACCGTGCTGGTCGGCGCCTGCTCGCCCTCGCCCAGCAAGAAGCGCTTGCGGAAGTGCGGCTGCGCAAACGAGATCTGCAGGAAAGTGCCCTTGGGCACCAGCACGGACGTGATGCCGCTGCACATGGCGGCGGCCTGCTCGATCACCGCCTCCGAGGGCGACCAGACGTCGCCTTCGTCGCACATGAGCGCGTCCATCGCGGCCTTGTCGATGACAACGTCGAAGCTGTCCGCATCGAACACCTTTCGCAGCGTGGTCATGTCCGCCTCGAGCCACTTCATCTCCGGCATCTCTTCCTGCAGAGGCGGCGCTGGTTAGTGCTGTGTATAGGTCGACACTCTGGAATTACAGGCACGTACGCTGTACTTGGCGCTCATACGCTCAATGACGACCTTGGAGAAGTCGATGTTGGTGATGTTGCGGAAGCCCGCTTTGTACTGCCGCAACAAAATACAACCCACAGCATGAGGCTTGGCGGACTCGGGCATGCCACCATTAAAGCACTGAACTGAAGCCGTACCATGTCGACGCTGAACGTCGAGTTGCCACAGCCAACCTGCAGGACACGCACAACCGCCCACGTTGTCAGCTCCGGAGCAAAAGTTACTCGTCACCCCACCACAACATCCCCAAGCTATCATACCATGAGGATACGGTCCGACGGGCGCACGTACTTGCTGAGCAGCTCCGCTACGTTCTCATAGCGGGCCAGCCAGTCATAGGACTCCTCGCTGTCTCGTCCAGCCCAATTGCAAAAGAAAGAGTAGGGTCAACTCAGCTCCTGCGAGTTTCCAGTGCAGCGCGAGACACTGATACACGTACAACACCGCACCTGTCGAAGCGCGAGTCCCAGTAACCCTTCTCCTTGTACGTGCGGTTGTCCTCGGGCAGGTACTCGGTCATGATCTCCGCTAATTTGATTGTAAGAATCGAGTGGCACTCGTCCGGCTCGCATAGCCAATCAGATTCAAGGCATTCGTATATTTTCAGGCTTAGAATTGAAATTGAAGTTGCGGGGCAGTCATTCGTTGTGGCCGGCCATCAGCACGCAACACGCTGCTCACTGCTCGGCGCTTACTTGCGGCCGCTCTGCTTGGCGGACTTGTTCGAACTCTGCTTCGCCTTGTTCTGCGTCGCCGGGGCGGGGGTATTGGCCGGGGACGGGGCCATCGGGGCCGGCGCAGTGGTCGACGCTTTCGATCCCGCAGTCGATCCACCCTTCCCACCCTTCAAGCCGCTGCCGTTACCACCATAGCCACCCTTCGAGGAGCTGACGCCGCCTTGGGCTGAGGTTGGCACACTGGGAGCAGGTCCGGTCTGGCCACCCTTCGAGCCATTACCAGTGAGGCTGTTTGGTGTCGGGTTCGTGCTCTTCGATCCGCCGACGGCAGATCCGCCCTTGCTTCCCTTCGCGGGGCCGTACGGGGCAGGAACAGGACTGGAGTTACCGGTATTTGAGCCGCCCTGACCGCCCTTTGAGCCATTGCCCGTTGGGCTGCTCGGCATCGGGTTGGCGCTCTTTGAGCCGCCGACAGCAGACCCGCTCCTGCTTCCCTGGCCGCCCTTAGTCGGGCTGTTTGGTGCTGGAAGCGGGTCGGTCACTCCAGTGTTTGAGCCACCCTGACCGCCCTTCGAGCCGTTGCCGGAAGGGTTGCTCGGCGCCGGGTTCGTGCTCTTCGTGCCGCCGACAGCAGACCCGCTCTTGCTTCCCTGACCTCCCTTCGTCGGGCTGTTTGGTGCAACTGAGTCAGCCGCGTATCCACCTCTGCTTCCCTGCTTCGAGCCGCCAGTAGCGGCAGAAACTGGAGCAGGTGGGGGCGTCACATAGTCGTTCTTGCCACCTTTTCCGTTCGTGTAGCCGCCTGACGATGGCGAGACAGGAAACTCGACGCCCTTGCCACCTTTGCCCGCCTTCCCATAGTTGCCATTCTTGGTGTCGCGCTTGTTGTCGCGCTTGTGGTCGCGATTTAACGGGCTGTTACGGCCGTAAGTTCTGTCTTCGTCGACCTTGGCACCCTTCACATCCTTGGCGCCCTTGTAGCCGCCACTCGACGGCGCGACACCGCCCTTACCGCCGATACTGACGCCTCCGACGGACGGAACAGCGGGGATCTTCACACCATAATTCCCGCCCTTCGTCGGCGGAACAGCAACAGCGGGGGTGCCGTAGCTGGCATTCTTCTTGTTTTTGTCCTCAACGCCATCCTTGACATCCTTCTTCTTGCCGCCCTTGTTGTCAAGACTTCTTGGCGATCCGTAGTTGTTGGCGGCGATGTTGACGTATCCACCTACGCCCTTTGCAACATTCGACGGGCTCGCAGCGGAGAAGTGGACACCTAGGTTATTCGGTGACGTGATCTTGCGCAGGTTCGCCCCAGCTTGGACATTGGCACCGGCGGAGACGTAGGCGGTCGGCGTCCCCACATGCAGAAGATCGGGTCCCGTGGTCCCGTACGCGTTGGCGGTCGTGTCAATGTATCGTCCGCCCTTGCCGCGCTTGGCCCCAGCGGAGGAGTGTCGGGGACTCACCCCGGTGGCTTGCGAGGCCGCAGCTACCGTCGAGAGCGCAATGACAGTCCGGAAGATGGCCTTGGGGTAAATCATTGTGGTCGGAGGCGAGTCACGAGTGGGGCACGAGCGCGGACGCTGAGCGGGAGGAGGTCGCGGTGCGACGAGGAAGCGCTGGAGAGGCTGTGGAGCTTGCGAGGCGAATTCAAAAGTGAGAGAGCACTAAGGCAACGCGGGACACCGCTAAAGCACCAGAAGCTCCACTCCCCCGGTCATATTGAAGACGCCAGGTCTTATCCCGATCCTTCTCCTTTCCTAGCATCCTCGCGTCTGGCCCAGCTCCAAAGAAAGCAAAGCATCCATACACTCGAAATAGAAGACAACACTGCCCGCTTGGCCAACCTCATTGGCTACGCTCAACCTCACCGTCCGCTCCGTCGCAAGGCTTCTTATGGATCGTCCCAGCGGTCTGGACACTCCCGCGCGAAGTGGCCGAACTGATGGCACACGAAGCAGCTCCCGGAGTCGCGGCGCGGGCGTTTCCGGGGCTGTTCGTGCCCGCGCCGGGCCGTTGCGGCCGCTGCTCCTCTAGGTCTCTTCCTCTGCTCGGCCAGCAGGGACGGACGGGCGCCGTCGCTGCGCTGCAGCAGGATGGCCTCCTTGGCCGCGGCGTCCAGGTCTTCGGGCTTGGACTCCTGCAGCAGGTGCGTCAGCTGCTCGCTACCCACGCCGTTGATGAAGGCCACCACGTAGTACGGCTCCGGGATCACGTAGCTCTCTCCGGCGCGGCGCAGCGCCTTCTTGTACTCCATGAACGTCTCGTGCGGCAGCTTGCGCCGCGCCAGCACGCGCGCGACGGCGAAGGCCGCCAGCAGCTCCTCCTCGCGTCGCCGCTGGTCCCTCAGCTCGCCGCACACGGAGAAGCACTCGCGCTTGAGCTCGGCGGTGGCCTCGCCGGCGGAATCCTCCGGCCGCGGCGTCTTCACGAAGCCGTGGCGCCCTTCCAGCCGCATGATCTTTTTGCCCTGGCTTGGCTTCGACCGTTATCTTGAACTCTCGAGCATACACAATCGCAGTGAAGCTGAGCAGCATAGAGAGGAGCCAATACAAATTCGACTGAAGAGTTGAAGTTGCAGGAAAAATGACTTTGTATTCTACCTACATTTTTTGAGTAATTCTACAGCATGCACGTTGCACTTGTGGACTCCAGGAAGACGACTGCCCGCGCAACCATGCGCAGGACGGCCAGCGCCTTGAAGTCCACCTGCAAAGTTGCCGCGACAGTCCGAGGCGCAAGTGAGCCTTCTATCGACTCCTCTTCTCGCCACAGCACTGCCACTGCCTACGCATGCGACCCACAAACACACGAACTGCTTACACAGTGCGGCTGGCGCGGATCGAACGCTGCGTGTTCGTCACCACAGAGTGCGTCATCGTCGGGTGGCCCGCGTTGATGCGCTCCGTGAACGCCTTGCTGGCGTACGTGTTCTTCGTCAAGATGTAGTTCACCGTAAACTTGATCAGGTCAAGCGGGAACTGCCACACGATGGCCCACAGCCAGGCAATCAGCGTGTAGCCGCCGCCGCAGCCGATCACGGCAATACGGTCCGTCGGGTAGCCGCCGAAACCGATCCAGCCGATCACCGAGGCCACGATCTGAGCGAACACGAAAGCAATCAGAAGCAGGTTGCACGGCTTCTCAGCGAAGAACCAGTTGTTGGTGCCGGCAGTACGCGTCACGAAGATCAGCGCCTGGCCGGAGATAGACACCTGCAGGTACACCAGCGAACGGAGCACACCCTCCTTGCGCTGGATGCCGGGGCCGATCATCTCGTTGTCGCGCGTCCACGTCTGGTTCCAGTTGCTGAAGCCCCACACGTAGTCGCAGAAGCCAACCTGGTTCGTGATGGGAACCTCGTCGTTGCCGATGAACGTCACACCCTTGCCCAGCTGAGCCGCCGTGAACACGTCGTAGTCGCCCTCGTAAGCGGCACCGCCAGCGCCCATAGTGTAAGCGTACACGTACTGGTTGTACGCAACCTCGGCCGACGGCTTCGCGTCGTTCGGCAGCGAGTTGAGGTGCACGTCCGCCAGGTCCTCGAACAGCTTCGAGCGCGAGTCGTACTTCTCCTGGTACTGCGTCCAGTACGCGTCGATCGCCTTCTCACGGAAGTCGCCCACGTCCGCGATGCTAGCGGCCTGCGGCACGCTGCCCGTCATCTCACCACAGCCCGTCGCGTTGTTCTCCATCACGCACGTCTGGTACTGGTCCTGGAAAAAGTCGTGGCACTCGTTCTTCATGCAGCTCACGCACAGGTTCTCCACGCCCGTGCTCTCGAATCCGCTCGAGTTGTTGACGATCGCGAACAGCACCACCGTCGACAGCGTCAGCCACAGGCCGAACGAGATCGACGAAATGAACACCTCCTTCAGCTTCCACGAGTCCGGGTGCGGCGACGCCACCACGTTGTCCTTCGAGATCGTCAGAATGGTGCCGTCGTTCAGGATGGCCAGAATCACAACAAGGATCGGAGGGAAGTACCAGTTCCACGCCACCGTCAGGATGCCGAACGTGAACACGATACGCACCGTCATGGCGATCGAGTACATGGCGTAGTTCTTCATGCGCAGGAAGATCTCGCGGCTCATGCGGATGGCCGTGATGATCACACTCAGACCGGGCGACACAAGCACGATGTCGGCCGCAGCACGCGCAGCGTCCGTCGCATCGTCCACAGCAATACCAATGTCGGCCTGAGCCAGGGCCGGAGCGTCGTTCACACCGTCACCCGTCATGCCCACCACCTTGTCCAGCGACTGCAGGTGCTTCACGATCTCGAACTTGTGCTCCGGGAACACCTGAGCGAAGCCGTCCGTGTCGTAGATCATCTGCGCCAGGTTCAGGCCAGGAGGCGGCGCAGTGTTGAAGAAAGAAGTGTCCAGGATGTTCGTCGGCATTCCCAGCTGACGGCACGTCTCCACGGCAATGGCCTTCTGGTCACCCGTCACCATCTTCACAGCGATACCCAGAGCAATGGCCTTCTTCACCGTGTCGGCCGTGTCGTGGCGAGGCGGGTCGAACAGCGGCAGCAGACCGATCATCTGCCACTCGCACTCCTCCACCGGAACGTCGCCGCTGCGAGAAATACCCACACCCAGACCACGGTACCCGCGCGAAGCGAACTCGTTGATGCGGTCCTCCACCTCCACGCGCAGCGTGTCCGCGTTCACGTCCATGTCCAGCACCACCTGCGGGGCACCCTTCACGGCACGCAGGATCTCGCCCGTGCGGTTGTCCTTCAGCTTGGCAATCGTGCGCTTCGTCGTGGGGTCGAACGGCGTGTAGTGCAGCAGAGTGTACTCCTGCCACATCGTGTCCTTGCCCGGGTACGTGTTGTGGCACACCACGTCGATGGCCTCGTTGTTCTCCGTACGCGCCGACAGAGCGCCGTACTTCAGGATGTCATCCGCCGTGAAGTTGTTGTACGGGATCAGGTTGTCCATGTCCACCGAGAGCTGGTTCAGCGTCAGCGTGCCCGTCTTGTCCGAGCACAGCACCTCCATGCTGGCCATCTCCTCAATGCACGTCAGACGCGTCACGATGGCGTTCTCCTTCGCCAGCGCCGACGAACCGATGGCCAGCGTCACCGACAGCACCGTCGGCATGGCCACGGGGATACCGCCCACGATCAGCACCAGGATGTTGGCCACGCCCAGGCAGCCGTCCGTCACGATGACGCACGGGTTCTGCGACGTGCGGCCGGCCATCTGCACCAGCAGCTCCACCACGCACCAGAACAGGATCGACACCATGCAGAAGTTGCCCACCGTCGTCAGCACCATCTGCAGACGGCCGTGCGAGTCCGCCGTAGCGATCTTCTCGGCGGCGCGGCCCAGGAACGTGTTAATGCCCGTGCTCGTCACGACGGCCTCGATCTCGCCCTGCTTCACCACCGAGCCCGAGTAGCCCTCGTCGCCCTCGTTCTTGGTCACCGGCAGCGACTCGCCCGTCAGCGACGACTGGTCCACCTTGACCGCGTCGCCCTCCAGGAACTTGAGGTCGGCCGGGATCACGTCACCCAGACGCACACGCAGCACATCGCCGGGGACCAGCAGGTCCGCCGGAATATTCTTAATCTCCCCGTCACGGAACACCTTTGCCTCCGGGGCCAGCTGGCCCATCAGCGCCGACACGGCGTCGCCGGCCTGCACCTCCTCGAAGTAGCCGATGCACGCGTTCAGCAGCAGCAGGAACAGGATCAGCGCGAAGTCGGCGTAGTCCAGCAGCACGATCGACAGGATGGCGGCCACCTCCATGGCCCACGACAGCGGGTTCCACATGAAGCCCAGGAACAGCGTCAGCTTGTTCACCTTCTCCTCCGGCAGCTTGTTCGGGCCGTACTCGGCCAGACGCTTCTCGGCCTCATCCGACGTCAGACCCTCGCGGGACGTCTTGAGCTTGTCCAGCGCGGCGTTCAGCGGCACCTGCGCCCACTGGATCTGGCCAACGTCGTTCGTGTAGTTCTTGACGTCGTTGGGCGTCGCCATGGACATGTACGAGTTCCCTGCGGCACCAGTCATTTTGGGTCTGTCTGGTGCGGAGCCCGAAGCTTCGAACGAAAAGAGGTCAGTCGATCGGTCGAAGGCTCTGGCTGGTCTCTCGACGGAAAACGGACGACAGCGAGCGGAACACTTGCGGGCGTCGGTGACAGTCGGGGAATTGCAGAATGAAAGCGCCCAGCGCCGTGGCCGCACCGCCCGCCGCTGTCCTCCCTGCGCTCGTTGCCGCCCTGCGCCCCCTTCTGTTCAAGCCGCGCTCTCTGTCTTGCGCGGCCCGCTGATTGGATGCGCGGGTCCCGCCCAGCCAATCAGCGCCCGGATCAATCGGAGCCGCTGGCTCGAGGTTTTTCGCCCCGAACCGACTCGTTACTCGCGCGCCGGCTCGTCTGCCGCATACAAAGCGCAGCACGAGGTCTCTTTCGACAAGTGAGCGAGTCGCCGAGGTTTTTCGCTGCTGGTGTGCACCACACCGTATGCGACACCATCCGTATCTTTTTTATCGGAAGTGATTGGTTGTCGGGTGCGAGCAAGTACGTCGCCGGGCTCGTAGAGGCCCCGGCAGGCGAGGGCAGGCATGGGCGCCGCTGCCGACGCTGCCGCCGCCCCGGCGCCGGGCCGCAGCTCGGCTCCGGCGACCTGGGTTCGTGCATAGGTGGCTTCTGCGGGTGCGTGCCGTCCACCGCTGGAGCGGCGGCGGCGGCGGCATCGGTGTCGTCGGCTGGCCGGCTGGCAGGCAGCCGGCGGGTATTATAGTGAAAATCGGTCCTGAGCCGAGCCCGATTCGAGCAAGCGCGGTTGTTGGCAACAACAACTTGTTGCGGCATGCTGCTGCTGCCACCGCCGGCGGCTGGTTGTGCTGATCGCCAACGATCTATCAAGTGCAAGGTGGATGTATGCATGCATTAATATGTATTGTTGGAGCGGTGGGTATTGTAAGACTGTAGTTGCGCTGCAGCCTCGAGACGAACCCCACGAAAAACCGCGCTGCCGGTGCTGGGATGCTCTCAGCGTTGGTATTGTTGTCGTCGTTGCCGCGCTGGTTTGACAAGACCGTCTCTCCTGCGTTTGCTCAGCTACAGCAGCGAGTTATTTTATATTTATCATAGTCTCGCCGCGCTACCACAACATTTTGTTTGCGCTAGGTGTCGAAACGGAAAGCATGCTGCTGCCGGTGTGTGTAGGTAGGTGTCCGGGCGACTTTTGCCTGGCTCGCCTCAGTTTTTGCCGCCGTGTGTTCGCGTTGGCTAACATCGGCCAGCAGAGGCGATCGATCTCTCGCTAGCCGCCGCAGCATGTTGGGCCGACTGCATGTACTGTAAGGTTTAACGTTCGTGCGAGCTTCAAGCTGCAGCGGCGGCCAGCGAGCGACTCTCGTCTGCGACTCGAGATCCATGCGACGCGCGGTTGCTGCTGCTGCTGCTTCGCGTTGCTGCTTCGCGCTGGGGCCGCACCGCATCGCTGGGGAAAAGCGTAAGGTACGTGTTGAAGGCGATCCTGATCATCGATGTGAGGCGGGCGGCCGCAGCGACTTGCAAAGCTGTTCGACCCTGCTCTGCGACGCCTCGAGCGCTCGGGCAAACCTCTGCGGCACTGCTGACGATCTGTCCGGGGACGACGGAGGCAGCGGTGGCAGGGCGTGTTTGCTGGTTCCAGCGGTCGTAAGGCGCGAGGCGAGCCGAGTTTGTAGGTGCCGACCGCAACGGCAACTCGAAGTTGAGCCCGGTGTACACACGTACGGTACGTACACGAGTTAAACGGGACGAGCCGAGCCGCAAGCCGGAGCGAGCCAGGGCAATTGCCCCCCTGGGATCCGATTTGCTGCAAGCGCGATGGACGCCGGCGAGCGCAAACGCCGGCCGGTCGCGGGCCCAGGGTAAGACACGACCGACGCCGGGAACTGCAAGCGGCCCGCCCGCCCGCCGCCGACGACCGGCCGGAATCGGGGCGCTCGCTGTGCAGCACACACAGAGCCGCCAGGGAGCGCGGCCGGGCTTTGGCAAAGCTCTTGAGCGCCCGGGCGCGTGACGAGCCAAGTGAGCCCGCCGTCGTGGCGTCGTCGCTAATCATGCGGGATCGAACATTCGAAACGCGTGCAGCCGGGCCGCAGCCTGCGAGACCCGATACACCCCTATTTTGCGCGCAATGCGCGACGCGGGGTTTTCCATGTGGCGCCCGCAAGCAACGGCGCCGCGCTCGGGCCGCTCCGAGTGGTACCGCAGGTGGCGGCCTGCCAGAACGAATATAGAGCGGGAGGGCATCGGCCAATTGCAGCGGATCCGAGCCCAGCGCGAGGAGCTGCTGCCTGGACCGGCGGACTGGCCCCGATGGCCGATGGCCAGCTCGGCGCCGGCCCCGAGTGAGCAGGACATGCGCTTTCCATCGCGCCTGCTTGCTTGCTTGCTTGTCCGCCTGCCTGCAACGTGGCGCGAACGCGCGCCTGCCGCCCACACCTCCGTGCGTTTCTGCTGAGACCAACCACCCCACCCGACCGCACCAGCCATTCACGCGTGCGTCAGCCTCGCGCGCCGATGCACCGCGCCGCACCACGCTAGGCTCGTGCTTGGGACACGCTGGTGAGGAATCGATCACCCCGCGCGACGACCGAGTGGAGTCTGAGCTAGTGCATTCATTCAGTGAGTTACGCAGGATGGCTGCCGAGCCTTGTCATTCTTTGCAGCGGGCCCGCCCGCCTTCCCGGCGGTGCTGGACTGCTCTGTCTCCACGGGTGATCCACCCTTGCGTTTGCGAGGGATACCGTCATGGCGAGACCACTTTCGCTGCTTGCGCTCGCCGATGCGTGGTTGCCGCTGCAGCGGCGCATGCAATCCCTGTCGCCGTGACCAGCCTCTTGCTTGCCGCGTGAGGTTGGGTAGCCTTCGCCTACAGTCCGGACGCACCACACCCGTCAATGCTAGCGGCTCGCTGCGCTTGCTAGTAGCAATGCTGGGCCCAACGTCAGGAACTAGTGGGCGCCAGAGCAGCGATAATGAGTGAGCGCACGCTCGCTGAGAGGAACCGCGCCGCCAGCATGCCGAGGAAGAAGATGGAGCTCGCGCCAGCATGCGTGGGTGTCGGGGAATACAGATAATATGCGCGAATCACTCTTTCTACCATAGCTGTGCCAATTCTACTGGTAGCCAAACAAGAAAGGTAGCAGAGATCGAGCTGAAGCACATGATATTTTTTATTACAGTAATTTGCCTCAATAGCGCAGTCGTGGCATCGAATACCCTGCTGAAACGAGTATCTGTGCACACCCCAAATCCAGCCAATGAGAGTTCAGCTAGCCTCTCCTATGCAATTATCTTAGAGAATGTATAAATGTAGCCATTGGACGCCTGCCAAAAGTATATCAAACCGTCGACATATCTGCAGCAGATATGCGGAGTATATGCCGGTCATAGATCCCGCGAGGCCCAGATTTCGTGTCGATATACAGCCCTACCCCTATGAATATGTCGTGTAGCCATCTTAAAGATTTAACTTGTTATTTGTATACTTTAAGTCGACCATCACTCTACTGTCATTCGGGCGACATACTGCCTCGCTTATATCTTCCTGTCGCCAACTTGAAGTTGCGCTCACTTTTGAAATAGCCTCCGAAGGCGCGAAGACAGCAAACGATCTCCGGTACGTGAGCTGCAATTGCAGTAAGTGCTACTGGCTGTTGGCTAACACCGTGTGTTACAGCAGGAACGATGGTGCATCTGACGCACTCCGCGATCCACTGGAAGCTCCGATGCATCGTCGACTCCTCCTCCTCCTCCTCCAGCGACGAGAACACGCCGCCGAACGTCAGCAGCGCCCGTGCCATGGGTGCTGACGGTGGCTCCAGTGCGACGGGCACGGCGACGCCGCCCTGGCTGACTCCAGAGCGGACCAAGCACCGATCCAAGCGCGTGACGAACCCGCCGGCAACGCCAGAGACGCTGACGACCCCGCTGCCAACTTGGGGGGCGCGCACAAGCCCGACGACGTCCTCGCCCGTGCTCCTGGAAACGCCCCCAATATCGCTGCCGCGCGCCACGACAAGCGCGGCGCTTCACCCTCGCCAAGGGCGTCAAGCACGCCAAGCCGCTGTCGCCCCGTACTCACGCCAGCGCTTGGGGCCCCGCCATGTGCCGCGCAGCCAGCGCACAGAGCCCCGTCATGTGCCGCGCAGCCAGCGCACGGAGCCCCGTCATGTACCGCTGTGAGATCGGGAAATGACTGCGGCCGGGCGAGTTCCGGCCGAGGTCTAACTGCCTTGAGCTTGCGAGAGATGGCTGACCGAGGGCTCTGATTGGTCGGTCACATTCCCCGCGCATTAGTGCCCAGAAGATTGATAGAGACTACGGAGTGACAGGAGGGTCTCGGCGGGTCAAAATAAACCGCCTGCCGAGGTCTCCGAAGTTTCATAGTGGGTACACTTTATGCCCAGTAGGAGTTCGGATTTAGGACGAAGCTTCGTTCGATTGTAGGATCAGCTCGAAAGCTCGGTCCACACTTGATATTTGTATAGACCTTAGGGATTAGCTATAGGAGAGGCCTGACAGCCTCTAAACCATTAAACAGAGCAGAATTTCCCCCCCAAGCCACACAAGGGTCAAGTCCGTCTACGTTAAGTCGCTAAGCTTAGCGTAGGGTCTGGATACACTCGGCTGCACGGGGTATGTCTGCCGGTGAGCATAAGGTGCATTACCGAGTGTTCATCCTGGTAAGGCCAAGAGTGAGTAGGTGGCCGAGTGTTGGGAGGTATTAGAGACCTCTGTGTACAGTTGTACGTTTGACTGGGTGTGAGGCAAGGACCCCCCAGTGTATTTGACTTCTAGCCGAGGCTTCGCCCCGGCGCCCCTGTAAAGGCTTCGTTTGGCCTGGTACCCTTCCTTTCTGAGGGACCACAGAGGTTTAGTGCGAAAGCACGTATTACACATTGCACCCTAGCCGTGGCTCGTGGCTAAGGGTGCTCTTATATTTTGACGAAGGGTAAACCTACCTGACCCGCAACACACAGGGAGGCACATTCCAGCCCGTATAAGGGATCGGACCTGGTCTTCAGGTTTATTATCCCGACAATCTATCGCCGACTCTTCGGAGACGGCGTGTGTTGTTGGTAGGGCTCGTCCTAGAGACTTCGGTTGATAGGGCGAGGACTCGTAAACTCGTGTTTTCCTACACGACAACATCAACTTCCTAAACGCGACGAGCTTGACCAGGTGCGACCCTACTTACTATCTGAAGTTGCTGCGCTATATCTAATTCATGCATGCTTTCAGGTCGGCTTTCCACCAACTACTGCGGCGCTTCAGCCGCTTTTACTACATCCCACGCAGCACGAAGCTCCGACACTACCACCAGATCCTGGGCCTGGTGTTGTGCTTCTACGTCGGGTCGATGGAGCAGAGCTCCCTGTGTATGATGTTTGGGGCTCCGCCGAGCACCATATCGAGGACGCTACGCCGCGCCGAGGAAGCGCTGTCGCTGGCGCTAAAAGGCTACGCTCCTGCCAGAATCTCTTGGCCCTCGCCTGCTCGCCAAGCCGAACTCGCAAAGCTTGTGGAAGCCCGCGAGCCGATTCTCAAACACACATTCGGCTTCATTGATGGGAAGAACTTAAGGGTGAGTTGTAGTTTGCAAAATGTTATTTGCTATGATAGAATGCTAACATCAATGATATTGTAGGTTCAGCAGCCGTCGAATGCGGACTTGCAGAACGCCATGTATAACGGGTGGTTGCACACCGTTTTCGTGACTGGCACAATCTGCTTCGCAGCCGACGGCTGCGTCATTTGGTGTAAGCACAATTGCCCCGGGTCGTGGAACAACTCCGACACCTCCTTGGGCTTCCGGTCCAAGTTGCTCGACCCTACCCTCTGCCCGGACACACGTATGAACGTGGTGTCGGACTCGGCCTTCCCGTGTTCGACCAGCATGGTCGGTCGCATCCTGACTCCTCTCAAAGATGGCGATCTCGAGGGGATTCTCCCGTCGCTGTGAAGCTCCGCGCGGACGCTTCATAACGCCATCACGTCCGTGAGGCAGGCGGCGGAGTGGGGCATGGGGAGCATGCAAAAGGTGTACAGCCGCTTGAACCTCCCCCTGCCGTACGACCCCGAGCTTCGTGGGCACCGAATCAACAACATCTTCAGAATGGCTAACTATCGCGTCCGCACGGTCGGCATCTCGCAGATACGCACGACGTTTTCAGGCGAGATGGAGCTATCCAGTGAGTAGGGTGTCGAACTAGCCGTGTTTGTACTGCATGCAACAATACATTTTTCTTTGCCGTCGAATTGAGCTGCTTCATTATCTCGATGTTGCTGGCAGCAGCGTGCTGCAAACGTTTTGCGACGGAGAGCCGAACTCGATGCTCGTGCGTCTTGCACTTGACTTCACAGAGATGTGTACGCAGCACGAGAAGTACATGTGATGATGAAGGCGCTAGAAGATCACGTAACCCATGACGGACACGCTAGCGGATCATGAACAACATGTTTGATTTGAGGCTTAGTGGTAAGTGACAAGTATATAGTAACTAGAACGTGAATGATAGCCTCACTTCGAAGAGCATGCGCGCCTTCCGCTCACGCCTTCTTAGTCAGTGCGCCGATCAATATGAGCAGCTCTTGAGTGCTGGCGCGCGCATCTTCGCGCGCACGGCGCGCACGGTCCTCTCTCTCCAGCTTCTCCTCACGGCGGCGCGCCTCAGCTTCAGCCTTGGCTTCCAGAAGGCGGGCCTCGTTGGCCGCCTTTTCGTCGCGGCGGCGCTGATCTTCCTCGGCGTGACGGGCGTCAGCCTTCCGCTTGCTCTCTTCGCGGAGCAGCAGAAGCGTCTCGAGGATGCCTCCTCGCATGTTGCTGGCGTTGTTTTCAAGGCCATCCAGCTTTGTCTTGAGAGCTGTTGTTGCCTTCATGGCACGGATGCGCTTACTTTGGCGTAGTACTTCCGTCGGTGCCTCACTTTGGGTGGTGCGACTGCCCATCGCCGTGCCGTGTGGACTCCTGCCGCAATTCGCTAATGCATCTCTACTGCAATATCAACTGCTGCCCGTACGGGGGGCTCTGTGGCAACGCGCTGGCCGAGTCGAGCAAGGTGTATCTGGGGAGGAACGTGCGCACGAAGTCGTTGGGCGTGGTCGCTGGCGAGGACATCGAAGCGGGCGAAGTGCTGGGGCAATACCTCGGCGAGATGGAGCACTTGAGTGTTTCGCGCAGACCCGACCGCGCAATAGCGGCTACCGCTTGGTGATGAGGCAGCGGTCAGAGCGACCGACGTTCCCAGTCTGCGTGGCGATCAACGCCGAGAACATGGGAGGGCTGATGCGCTTCGTAAACCACTCGTGCCAACCGGTGGCGAAGTTCGTGGAAGTGGCCAACGGCGAGGAGGTGACAGTCGATTATTGCCACCAACCACGATGCCGCCGAAGCGGCCAAGTACCCCAAGCTCCACAAGACGTCGAACCGTCTCGGAGGCGTGGACTTGGCCGGCTTTCGCGACACGGTGGGCGCCAAGCGCGCTCATGAAGAAGACAAAGACACGGCGGAAGCTGTAGAGTAATAACCCGTCGTGCACCCGGTAACGGTGTGCACGAGCACGAAGATGCTTCGGCAGCTTCTGACGAGCTTGGTCAGAAGGTGCTGAGCCGTAGGCCAGCAAGAGCTTCGCGTCCGCGTCGTGCGCGTACGCGACCTTCACGGCGTCCAACAGTGATGACGTCGGGGTGCTCGATCGCATGGCGTCAATGGCATTGACGTCGGCATCAGTTGCTCTGTCGGCGTTAGCGTACGCAGCATCGTAGCTACAGCTGCCTATCCAATGACTGTTGACAGTCGTTGGAGAGCTTCCCACTCTGGGTCCGACAGGTGGGGACAGTCAGCGCGTGCAACGTGAGCTGCAGGCGTAGTGGAGCTTTCCATGGGCACCTCTGTCTCCATGGGAAGGTTCTCAGCTCCGCGTTCGTGCGATGACGTACGAACTCAGGTAGTCGGTCGTTGGATGGACTACAAAGTGCTACAAGGTGTAGTGGGCCTACTTTGGCTCACTACTTTAGCTTACACGTGTGCGCGTGTATGTGAGGAAGCGTAGCTTAGTTTAACTTAGAGTTATTATACTCGGGCCTCCGAGTATAGATTAATCTAAATAAAGGATCCAAATAATGTTTTTGGGTTAAAATGAGAACTGCTATTTTTGTTTTATGTTTCTGACTTCCTCTAAATGTAATATTCTAAACTGGGGATCTGCCAACGGCTGGTTGGCAGAATTCCAACGCTATACATGTCGCTCATTGGCTAGGAGATGCTGCTCTCAGCCAATAGGAATCCTAAGTCTCTATGGACCACCCGTCGTGGTCGTCGTAAATGTATGTAGCCTTTGGTGTGTCTACACCAAGGTGGAGAAAGTCTTTCGAACCTCTTACAGACGTCGTGTCTGTTAGAGTTACAAGTGACTGTAGCCACTTGTGCGTGCAACCCTGTTACAAGATCCGAAACCTTCCTAGTGAACTATCTTCAAGTGCAGATCCAAGATCCACCGGAGTTGTCTGTTTGGCCGGTGTGTCCTTCGCTTCTCAACTGTCAACGACACCGTCATTGGAGGCGGCAAACACGACCAAGGAAGACCTGCGAAGGCATCGAAAAGGACAACAGTCCCGAAAGGCAACAACCCGGCCGGATCCAGATCCAGGCCACCAGATCCAAGTACAAGGCTACTAGATTTGGAGTACTACCGCGAGCAGAGTGAAGATTTCCGCGCTGCTCCACTCGCATCCCCTCGTCTCGCTCAGACTGTTCTGTCTTCAAGGCTCGGACGCTTCAGCAGACACCAGAGGAGCAAGATCCAGCCCTACCGACGGGTACACAAGGTGACCAGTTCAGCACACAGATCACGGATCATCGGGGGACCCCCTCCGTAAGTCGGTGTTCGGGCGCAGTTGGGAAGTTGGATCGTGGATCTTGTAAATTTTGCTGATCCCGCTACACCACATCACCATAAGATGTGGAGTCACGGATTGGACCGTTGGACTACCGGCTTCGCGTCTCCGACGTCTAGGTCGCACACCACGCCTCGGGCAGGAGCTGGAGCGGCGTTCCCGTCACCCAGGAAGATCTTCCGGTGGTACTTCAGAATGTCTTTCAGCTTACTCTCCTGAGCAGGAGTGCTCACTTCGGGCTCACCCACGTCGGCCTTGTCAATGTCGTACTCCGGGCTGAGATCCGGCAATTCAGGGAGCAGGGCCAATTGGTCTCTCTGCTGTGCCATCAATTCACTTCCTTCATGAATGTACACTGCGGGTTCCAGGTCCAACTCCTCAGCGCTCACTCTCATGCAGCGAGCGTATTCGATCTTCAGCTGCCTGAGTGGAGTGCTGTCCATCGCGGGCGTAGGCAAATCTACCTCGCATTCTTCCTCGACTTCATCTTCAAGTCCAGAGTCCAGAGCTAATTCCGGGCTGCTCGCCGAGTATTCCTCCAGGGTGTTGCGTCCGGGATCAGAATCTTCATTCGACGCTTGATCGTCCGGCACGTCTGACTCCTCTCCCCGGGGAATCTCCTCCACTTCCTCCTGAAACGTAACCTTCTTCATTCCGGTTGAGGGCAAGCTCTCCGTCCCGTAACTACTCGGGTGTTTCTGGAGGTGCACCATACGAACTACTCCGTCTTCTTTGTCGGACCGGGTCATCAACTTCGTTGGCCACGGATATGCGCGTTTCGGGACGGCGGGGGGATGGGCGGCCCAAAGACGCTCCACCCGGCGCTCCTCTTCATCTCGAGCCCGACGTGAAACTGTGTTCTCATAGATCAAGCGTTCCCATTCCCGATACCTGCGCACCCCAGGGCGCACAAACGCCCCCTACTCGGAAAGTGTCCGTACTCCACAACCCGGGCGACCGGCGTACGGGTATCGATCCACAGATCGCGGTCCGAGATGTTTACCACGCGGATGGCCGTAACCCAGGATCTCGCTCCGTAAATTGCCTCTGTGACCCAGCGGTCTCCGCTTCCGACCCAAACCACATCTCTTTGCGGGTTACTCCTGCCATAATGAACGCGCACAGTGGCGCTTCCCCCTGGCCGGAGGTATAAGTCGTGAGGGGAGACAACCGGGATGTCCATACCGTGACTCTTCCGGATCGCGTCACCGTACATGAGAATCGTCTCTTCATCAGGAAGCATAATGAGTCCTTCCCGGGTGCTGAGTCTGACTCCAGCACAGTACATGAAATCCATCCCGAGCAACACGTCCACGCCTTCTCCAATGTTCGTGACCCACAAATCCACATCGTACACGATTCGCGGTCCCAGAGTGATCTTCACCTGGGCGCTGGAGGAGATGTAAGTCGGGACACCACCCAATCCGGACACCTTGATCTGCCGATGTGAGCTTAACTTGAGCTTGAGCCTACGCGCAAGGTTCTAACTTATCATGCTCACTGACGTTCCGGTGTCCAGCAGTATCTGCGTCCTGAAATTCTCCATCGCACCGTGAACCAACGCTACTTTACGCCCTTCATCGTCAGAATCGTGTTCGGCCCACCAACCATACCTCTCACCCGGGCACAGCTTGAACTCGGCCGGCCCCTCAGGCTCCAAGGGTGGTGGCGGTCTCGAATGGTTCACAAGGTCTTGCGTGGACGACACAACTCCATCTTCAATCAGGCATGACATGCATTGTTGGTTATCTTGGTTCTTGGTCCTCAATTCGGGGCCGACGTAAGCTAAGACACACAATTCTGATGGTTTCCTATTCCCGGCGCGTACCGAATCCCCATTCGGCGGGCTTAGTGGTTTAACTGCTCAGTCAGAGTCCGGCGCGAAGGGAACAACAGGAGCCAGAGGGTCTTGCACAGGTGGTCGACGGGCATGATCCGGACGGAGACTGCGTGGATCGGGATCTCGCGGGGGAGTTGGATCGGGATCTTCATGCGGATCCGATCCATCACCATCGTCAGGGGCGCCACCAGCGCCCGAAGACAGTTAACGACGAGGAGAGGCGTGCTGTCGCCGCCTCTCGTCGGATCGCGACCGAGACAACGCCTCCTGAGTCTGGGCTTCAAACAGCTCATTCGCCATGGCCTCAGTCTCTGCGTCGTCGTCGTTGGTCGCCTCACTCGCCTCGTGATCTCCGTCGTCCTCCTCTTCCTCATGGTCGTTGCCGTCCCCTTGGTCGCCGTCGTCCTCCTCTTGGTGTCATGGCGATCCTCCTCCTCCTGGTTACCGCCTCCATCGTCGTCGATTTCTCCTTCTGTGGCAGAGCCGGAAGCTGCGCGACTACTTTCCTGGTCCATGGCCTCATCGTGCTCGGAGGGCGGTCAGAAGATACGACGCTTGACAGACGGAGTTGGAACTGGATCGTAAACTGCTGGATCCCGATCCCGCTTAGACATACTGGAGCCCGCCTCTTGACGGGGTGCCGAAGATGTTTCTGGATCTTGTTCTCTGTGGCCGGGATCGGAAGTTTCGCCCGCAGATTGCTGGCCAGCCGATCCCGGGGGTGCTATGCGGATCAGGCTAAGTATGTACGCCGGATCCAACACCTCTTCAATCGCTGGTCGAACACCCGCCAAGGTACTGATGGAGGACAGCTGCCAGCGTGCGACAGCGAGCTCTAGTTGGAGAACATCGTGCTCGTGACTCATGCGGATTAGGTCCTGGGTAAGCGACCTGCGTTCAGAGTCGATTGCCTGTATACGTTGCCCCATGGTGGTCACTGTCTGCTCGGAGGTGTCGAAATCGGCTTGACGATCCCTGAGCTCCGAGCACACTTGGTCCACCTCACCACGAGAAGCGTCGCGTTCTCGGCAAACTTGAGCCAGATCCGCGACGGTCGTCTCCTGGAGATCCCGTAGGCGAATGAGTTCAGGATTGACACGCGCTTGGACCGCTTGATCCAGATCCGCCAGGGCAGCCATGTGAACGGCTCGAAGGCGGTTCAACTCCTCGCGAGCTTCGCGGTGCGTGCGCTGATGGGCACTTAGATCCCCCTGAGCCTTCACAAAATTTCGTGTGACCTCGGCCAGAGACGTACGACTGCGATCCCGATCCCGAGTCAGAGCCTGAATTTCTTGGCGGTCCGCTGGGGGCCTGGATCCCTGGCTTCGAGCTCCGCTTCAACTCGTTGAAGAGCCTCCTGCGCACGGCGTGAGCTTTGCTCCGCTAGGTCACTCTCGTTGTTTGCATCTTGCAAGTCACGCTCTTGATCCGAACTCCGACGCTGAAGCTCTTGGATCTCGGCGCCAGCAAGGGCTACTTCGGATGCCAGGTGATCGTTATTCTCCTGCAAACAATCACGTTCGCGCTTAATCCGCTCAACGTGACGCCGGAGATCCTGGATATCGCTTGCCTGTTGATTCACTTGGCCTTGAAGCTGGAAGGCGCGAGTCAAACTGGCTGCTGAAGTGCCCCCCCCCCCCGCCGCGAGCGGCGACCTCCGTTCGCAAACTGTACAGCTCCACGTTTTGCTGTTGCATGTGCGCCCGGGCTTCATCCAGCTCCTGCGTCTGGTGTAACAGTAAGGCAGCGACCTCTTCTTGGCCACGAAGGGCGGCGTCGCGCGCAGCGACGAGAGCGCGTAGGTCTTCCTCGCACCCGTTACGAGGATCGGGATCGGGTGGATCCGGCGCAGACGGATCCGCGCGGCGGCTGCTGCGGGCCGATGACGCATGGGACGCACCACGCCTGGTATCCGACATGTCGGCAGCCCTGGGAAGATGGAGAAGTAGCTAACTGTGCCCGCAGTGTCGCCGTTGGTCGGCAGCAACTACGGTCAGGAGGCGATTGTGGAGAAGCGCAATTCCCGGAGAAGAGTTATAGCAGTGATGAGACGAGTGACGGATCTGGACCTCGGCACAAATCCGGAAGAGTGACAGTGAAAGGACGCAGATCCAACGTGTGGATCTGGATCTAGACTCGGGTGGATCCAGGATCCAAGATCCGGCATGGATCTGGATCTGCACTGGATCCAGACTGAGATGGATCTGGACTCAGGTGGATCCAGGATGCAAGATCCAAGGTCCAACGTGATTCTAAATTCAGGCGTAATCAGGACGCTGTGGACACGACTCGACGGGAAAGCAGCTGACACGCAATGAAGATAAAGGGAACCCATAGAGTCGGTAAGCACAGATGGGATGATAGGATCCACATGGTGATAGGCCTTTGAGATAGGAACGAACTTAAGCATAAATCAGAACCGAATTTGCCTTGTACATCGCAAGCGATTCCTCCCTCGCCTGGAAACGGGAACTACATTGGCCTTACACGGCGTAGAGAGGTTAGCGGTAGTAGAGCTGGTGTTGGTTGTAAGACTGGAGTAATATATTGGCCAGATCTGAAACCTTCCTAGTGAACTATCTTCAAGTGCAGATCCAAGATCCACCGGAGTTGTCTGTTTGGCCGGTGTGTCCTTCGCTTCTCAACTGTCAACGACACCGTCATTGGAGGCGGCAAACACGACCAAGGAAGACCTGCGAAGGCATCGAAAAGGACAACAGCCCCGAAAGGCAACAACCCGGCCGGATCCAGATCCAGGCCACCAGATCCAAGTACAAGGCTACTAGATTTGGAGTACTACCGCGAGCAGAGTGAAGATTTCCGCGCTGCTCCACTCGCATCCCCTCGTCTCGCTCAGACTGTTCTGTCTTCAAGGCTCGGACGCTTCAGCAGACACCAGAGGAGCAAGATCCAGCCCTACCGACGGGTACACAAGGTGACCAAGTTCAGCACACAGATCACGGATCATCGGGGGACCCCCTCCGTAAGTCGGTGTTCGGGCGCAGTTGGGAAGTTGGATTGGCAATCTCGCAGATTTTGCTGATCCCGCTACACCACACTTCGACCGCACTTATTAGTGTGGCCGCGGTCGTCATTTGATATGTCCAGGATCGCCCCGTTGCGATCATTCACACTTGATATTTGTATAGAGACATAGGACTAGTCGCAGGATGACCAGAATGAGGCTCCCAGAGCCTCATAAAACTCAGTAATAAAAAGACAGTCTTCCCCAAAGCCAACAAGGGTCAAGTCCGACTTCGGTAAGTGTAGCTAGCTTATTGTAGTGCCTGGAGACGCTCGGCTGCGTGTGGATGCCTGTCGGGGAGCTTATCGTGCATTGGCCGAGAGTTTCCTTGGCAGCGCCTAGGGTTGGCGTGGCCGGAGAGGCAGGAACGGTATAAGAGTATCGTTCAGTATATATTTGTGGGATTAGAGTGTCCCTGAGTCTACCTACCGAGGTCTTCAGGTTTTGATCCAATCAGCGCTAACCTTTGCGGGTTAGCATGTTGTTGGTGTCTCTAATACCTTTTGGTAGAGAAGGATTTTAGTGGATTTTCCACACCACATGTCGGTTGCGGAACAGCAACTGGTTGAATCCCGTGCTCCACTTGGTCGCCCGTTCTCGCGTCCAGAAGATCAAGTGAATAGAGCGGCGGGTGTGATCGTAGCAAATTTGCTGTGCCTCGTGGAACATCGCGATGACTTTAGCCGGGTCGTAGCCACTTTTATCAATATCTAGTAGGATTTCGCTGGTTAGGCGTTTGTGGGTTTGAAATTGCGGGTAGATCTTGAACTTCGTATCAAGCTGCAAGATAAGCCCCCCCCCCCTCTACTTGCGCACGGATGGTATTTTGGATCAGCCGAAGAGCCTGGTGTGTGCACACTCGCTTCAGGAAGTCAGGTAGCTTGGCGCAAAGAATAGTACCCTCGACCAGTCCCTGGATTACCCTTTCTTCTTGCTCCGTCGGCTTGCAAATCGTGTTTGGATACCCGTAGCGCGTTTCGCATAGCTCCCGCAGTACCGAGATTTCGTCCGGCTTGTAGACACTGCATTGAAATCGATTGGGAGACGACCCGGTACTGGATGCGGAGGCTTCCTCTTCATTTTGCTCGTTCTGTTCAAATAGTCTTTGCGACCAAAGGTTTCCCATCGGCCCTGGTTTTGCTTGCACGGCTTGTTCAAGCACGGTGAGCGTCTCGCTGAGTGAACTCCGCGACTTGTAAATGGCTGAAGTTAGGGCTTGTAGTCTTGCCCTCCATTTGCGCGCGTCTGCTGTAGCTTCCTTCATGTCCGCTAAAAACAAACGGAGCAGTTTCTCGGTCTCCTCTGGCTCCCGTTCCGGGTAGCGACGGCGAGACGGCGGCAATCACTCGGATTCATGGCTGGTAAACACTTCAGCAAAGAGCTGATGAGTAAAGTCGACCGCGCTTTCAACCTCTATAGCTTGCTCCACGGTAAGTCCCTGGAGTTGGCTCTTTAAGTAGGCTTACATTTCAGTAAACGAGAGTGCTCTGCCTCCGCATCTTCGTACAGCATTAGCTCCGATGTTGTCCCCATTGACTCGCCATCCTACGCTGCTGGGGCATTTTCTGGTTGATCCCTTAAGACTTTCTCCTCCGTGCCATTCGCGTCTTCGTTCTCGGTGCGGCCAGCGTCAGCAAAGACCGCTTCGCTGTTCGCGGATCGATGATGGGGGTCCGAGGGCGTTTCTCGACTTAACGAGTGGGTCTCAGTTCCAGCCCCTGGTGATGTCAGGTCGATCAGTTGGCGCTGCGCCAGCGGGAAGTCGACCTCCCCTCCGTCGTCTGGTGGATCGCTGGGCGGGCTCTCGCCCGGCCGCGCTAGACACCCGTCCATCTCATAGGTCTCGTCCTCCTACTGCAGGAAGTTCGTGATGTATCAAATAGAAGACCGTATAGTTTAACCAAGTGATTTACTCCCAAATCGTTCGTTCCCTGCTCTTAATGTTGATTCACACCTTCTTCGCTTGAAGGCTACCCCAATCACGACGTGACGATGCCGTGGCTTGCGCAAAATCGGAAGTGATACGGTATACGAACTGCTACAGTAAGAAGTGTAATTAGTGTGAGCCACGGCATTTGTGCCTGATCGATTGGTTTTGCTCCCCATCAAGTAGTGGGGGTAAATCTTCCCGAAATTTAATGTTAATGATTGTCCTGGTAGTGCTACTCTGTAGCACGAGAAGCCCATTAGGGATTAATTCGAGGCTTCAAATATGTGGTCCACAGAAAAGTAGGTACTGGACCAATACAAATTTCAAGTGTAAGCGTCTTATAAATCTAATGTTTTTCATCGAAAACCCTATTCTACTTATTTACACAGGTTTTATTACGAAATATAGCAGGTGGAGGTTTAAATGATATCTTACGTTCAAGTTTTGGATATTATCTGGTCTATTGTGTTAGGGTGTATAGGATACCTTTGAGGAAAGTGATCGTTTACAGTATGGATGGGGCCAACTCCTTCGCAAAATAGTAGCTGTTTTGAATTGAAAATGTCTTGATTAGTTAAAACCTCTAATCAATTGAGTATAGCTCTGGGATCGCGGTGCCCCGCCTATTCAATCTTCAGCTCCGGCCTAGTAGAGTCTCTCGTGGTCGTCCTCGATCCCAGTAGTTCACACAGCATTCAGCCCTTGAGCCGAATGAAGCAGACTTCCTTTAGACGTAGTTCGACGATCAGTTGGTGCGCCTTGAGCGCCTGTACCGCTGAAACTCGTCGACGCCGTCATCGTCGTCCCCCGTGACCTCCATGCCGCTCGCTGCGGTCGCAAAGGAATCAGTCGTCGCCGCTGCATCTGCATCAGCCTCCGCTGCAGTATCAGTTGCTGCTGCAGTCCCAGTGGACAGCGTGAAGATCGATCTGGGCACTGAGAAACTACACGCACAAAATGTTTTGGCATATTATAGATTATAGACTTGATGAGTTCTTCGTAGCAGCGCGCTCGGTGCCATGGCAGCGAGTATGAGCCCGCGAGGGTGGGGGCCACCGTAGCGACCGAGCACGCCGCGTCAATAGGTTGCATGATAGATCGGTAGCTTGGTAGATACGTGTTCTTGACAGTATGCCACGACAGCGAGTATGAGCCCGCGGAGGGTGGGGGCCACCGAGCACGAACTGAAAAGTGAGAATACTCGCCGACGATCCGAGACGAGAGGTTAGGATAACTCAAAGTATTGTATTACTCAGTAATACAATTTCGGTATTAATACAGATTGTATTAATACTTATACTCGTTTTTTGGGCGAATGAATAAGGATAATTGAAGTAATACTACTCCTCAGAATTGTTAATACCAGTAAAATTTTACGGTTATACTTCCAGAAGCCCCTCCGAACCCACGCAGGCGCTATTTCAGTGCATGCTCGCGCACTTCCACTCTCTATACGTCCTCCGCGGTGCTATTCGATACCCGTCGGACCGCGGGACCCGCGCGAGGCTCCGTGCCAACGTCTACCACGACCTTAACAGAAACTTCATCTATTGTGAAAACCCATTAGAATGTCTTATTGGATTGTTAATCCGCCGATTTAGTGGCTTAATAAGACCTACGACCCCCCATTTGTTAAATCCGACCTCCTAATTAGACTGGGGTACCTCGATTTATACTCAAGATTATTACCTAGGACGACTTACAGAGTCAGAGCATATGAGTCGGATTTACATTTGGTAATCGACCGATTAAGCCAGGGCCCGCCGATTTGCTTGCTATTCAGATGGAATGTCCGATGTGCAACCGGCATTCGCTCCTTGTAGGCTAAATCAGCCGCCACGCAACAATCGTTGCAGTCGCTCTTGACTAGGTAGTCAAGGCTACAACACTAACATCAGAACTAAGCAGGAAAAGCCGCACGCTATAATACATGTAACTGAGATATGCAGGCGACGCGTTTAAGTGCGGTGTTGCCGCTGCACTTGGCGAGTCTCGGGCCGAGGTAAATGCATGTTGGCCAAAATTGCTAGGCTGCACATAATCGCGAGACCGATGACCGATTTATACTCCGATTATAATTGATACATCCCCGATTTATTAGCCTTCAAATCCGCTATGAGCGATGTTTAACCGACTAATTCAGCAGGACAAACTAATCGGTTTTCACAATAAATGCAAAGGGGAAGTTTGCGCTCGATCACTAAACCAAGCTACCGACATACTTCCCAACTACCCACAAAAATATTTCCCTGCCTGTGTTAATTAAGACCAGTGCCGCGGGACTACCACTACATAGCCACATCTTCAGGTCGCGCTACGCTTGTCTTGGCTGCCTCTGCAACATAAGGACCGTCGTATGAATACTATGAAGAAGGTCTTCAATGCCATTCGGATCGTCAAGGTGATAGGATCGCTTCAGCGTTGAACTGTTCTATGGGCTCAGTATAGACTGGGGGGGTTAAAAACAGTCTATTTGAGGCTTATTTTTGTCCTATAGTTGCCTGATATGCAAGAAGCTGTGACTGGATAGATTCGGTCGGCTGTCTGGATGAGTTCGTGGGGCTGGGCTGATGCTTCCGGGCGGACCGCAAGAGGTACGCATGCAACGGTGTTGCTGCCGCCTCTGCTGTCATGCAGTCGAAGTCATACGTCGTGTTCGTTGTGTTCTTCGCCAGGATACTTGCGGGGCGTAGCAATTGCAGTGAAGGATTGCCCCACTGCACACTGAAGAGCTGCCCGAGAAGTTGGCTGAGCTCGTCGGTGTCTGCCGCCTGGGTTGGTCTGTTTTGGTGACGGAGTATGTTCGCGTGGCCTTCGATGCGGACGTTGACTGTTTCTGTTGTTGCTGCTTGGAGGAGCTCCGCGATACCTTGGGTGAGAACTTGGTTGGCCATGTCCTGGCTGGAGTCTGTAGCTGGGAATCCCATGCTGCCAGCTTTGCGGGTGTGCCACGTCCCGTTGGCGCGTTGGTGATACAGGATCCATCCGCCTCCTGGCGGTGTCTGCTGCTGCGAGCTAATCGCACCAGTGATCGAGAGGTGGCGTCCATGTGGAGGTGTCACTCGTCGTCATGATGCCGAGGCATGTCTCCAGGCACCATGCCTGAACGCGGGTCGCGCTCTACTTCTTCCAAGCTGCTGTTATCGCCTGGACTTGGTAAATACCAGCAGACCACACGGCTGCTCGCGTTTCTTGTGGAGATGAGTGTTCGTTGTTGAAGACAGCGTCGTTACGCAAGCGCCTCAGCTGCACAGGGGTCACGGTCGTCCATATACGCCATAACGTTGCCATCGCTTCGTTGTGGTGGGGTGTCCATGTCGCTGTGCACTGCTGGGAGTGGGCGAGCAGCTCGGGGGTCACTGCTGGTGGTTGTCGCTGGGCTATGGACGGCTGGAGACTGGCGATGTCGTTCTGGGAACACTCGCCGCCGAGCCACTTGGATACCCAGTGCCGCCATGAAAGCTGGGCTTTTTCGCACTCCCAGATGATATGATCAATCGTTTCGCGGTGAGTCGAGCATGTTGCTTCGGGGCAGGCCCGGTGGGTGGGCCATACTTCTCGGTAGAGGTTCAGCTCACCGAGAGTGATTCGGTACGTAGTCCAGTTTTGGTAATCCGTAAAGAGGCCATTGGTGTCCCACAACTGAGCTGGGCTCTGTGTCAGTGCTGCTTTTCCCCATGATGATCGTTCTTCTCTTCGCTGCATTTTGTCCAGCATTGGTTGAAGCGCGTGCTGCAGAGTTTGTCGAATTAACCGTGAGCGTTGTTTGCGGACCGTCGTCGCAACCACTCTGCCAGGCGTAGCTAGTGGTACTGCCCACGGGTAGACGGTAGTTCCTGGCGCAGACTTTACGACGAGCGCTCTCATGCGTTCCCAAGCTCTGAGCTCGGCGAGATCGCCTGTGCTTTCAAGCGCAGGAGCTGCAGACGCTAAGTGCCACGTCCATCCGTCCTGGTTCCTTGTAAGTGTCAGCGCTTGGCGAGTGAGACCGTTGTTCGCGTACTTGGCCGTGATCGTGTTTCTTCCGGGGGTGATATTCCATACCAGTGGCGTTGCCAGCACAGGGAGTTCGAGTAGCCGTGGCTGTCTATCCTGGACGCTCCAGTAGTTCCACGGGATGCTGTGAGCGATGCTCAGACACCAGTCGAGCACGTGCTTGGACTTGGTGGTTGCCGTTCGCGCAGGTTGGATGAGGACTTCCTTTCTAGGTCTGGTAACCGGTGGCAGCTGGATGATAATGTCTCGCGTACGTTTAATCTGGATAGTCAGGTAGTCGCGGGCCCGTAGCGGCCTGCCTTTTGCGTCGAGGATACATGCGTTGTTGTCCCATGGTGCATTAAGTAAGAAGTCCACGTCTACCGGTGGATTATCTTGCCGTGGCGCCGCGGATGTCGTCACGAGAATGACTTTTGACTCTGGTCCGATCCAACAACAGTTGCTTACCTCGGGACCCGCGGATTGGGGTCCTGCAATGGTTTTCACGTCATCAGGGGATGGTGTTAAGTTTCGAGAATGCGCTTCCCATAGTTCCAATTTTCCCGGGCCGAGATCTGCGGTTGCCCGAAGTGTTCACGGAGCGCAGCCGAAATCATGGCTGGCGATGTTGGCCTGAATGCACAACAAAACTTTGTGCGTTCTTGTTGGGGGTGCACGGCTGCGTGCCAGGCTGCTGTGTAGACGTCGTCCGGAGAATGGAGCCATTTGTCAGCGAGGTTACTCCTTGATACTGCAAGCGCACTTGCAATGTCTTGACGTCCAAGCCCGCCGTGTTGCTGCGGAGTGTCGACTAGACCAGGGTTAAGTTTGGGCTTGACTGGCTCAGTTCGTGTGGTGGCTGACCAAACGAAGCCTTTTTGCAGCCGTGTCAATTCTTGGAGCGTGGCTTTGGAGGGGACATACTGCCGTCCAGTGCACAGGATCGCTGGGAGCGCTATTGCATTGAACAATGTCACCCTCTGGACGACGGAATTGCCCATGGTAGTTGCTATTCGAAGTCGGCGTTGAATGTTTTCAAGTCGGATTGCCCAATTGAGCTCCGTCGAGTCGTGGGTGCCGACCCAGTAGCCCAGTTGCCTAGACGTGGCGGTTGGTTCTTGTACAGCGAACCCTTGCCATCGCGACGGTGCCTTCGCTGTGTTGAGACCAATCAATACACTTTTTTGAGGCTGGACATGTAGTCCGGACAGCTCTCCGAACTTCTCGAGAATGGGTTTCACAATGTCGAGTTCCTTTAGAGATGCCATGTACACAGTACTGTCATCCACGAACGCCGAGAACTTGTGTCGATGAGCAGTATCCCCTGGGACCCTGCTAGAGCTGGGTGTTGGTCGATGGCGTGGACCAGTACATCTACGGCCAGGATGAAAAACAGTGGGGCCAGCGGGCAGCCCTGACGGATTCCGGAGTTCACAGGCCATGGTTTGGATATATTGCCGTCCACTAGGAACTGCGCGGTAGTTCCTTCGTGTAGCGTCAGGATTACGTCCAAGAATTCAGGAGGAAACCCGTAGCTACTGAGGACAAGCTGGAGGAATTCTCGTGACAATGTGTCGTACGCCTTGCGGAGATCGAGGCATAACACTGCCGGTGATTCTTCCCACGGTTTCGTCGGGTCGTCAAAGCTGGTCGCCAGAATCGCCCGTAGGAGTGTGACTGTTTTGTCAATGTTGCGTCCCCGCACAAAGCCTTGCTGAGCCGGGCTGATGATTCTGGGTAAGATAGCGTGAAGTCGTTCAGCCAAGATGCGTCCCAGAACCTTGTACGCTGTGTTTAGCAGTGCAATTGGTCGGTAGTCCATTGCATCAGCTGAGTCCCCTTTCTTTCGGAGCGGGATGATCGTAGCACGCAGGAACGAGTCGGGCACCCCTGACCCCTTGAAGATGGCATTGTAGAGTCTCGTCATACTCGGTGAGAGCTCGTCGGCAAAGTCTTTGAAGAAGTCGTGGTTTAGACCAGTAGTCCCCCCTGCTTTATGCCTTGGTAGCCGCTGTATGGCGGCTATCATTTCAGCTTCCGCGATGGGAGCCAAACGTGCTGCCACTTCGTCTCGCCGGAGCCGCTTTTCCACCGGAATCTGCACAAAGCGGGTGAACTCTTCCTCGAGGGAACTGGAGTCAACTGAAGCGTGGGATGCCCCAAACACGTGATTCCACTCCGAAGCCATTCGCTCTTCACTCGGCATGGCATCCGGGTAGAAGCGACCTGGAGAGGGATCAATTCTGGATATGTGCTGGTCTCGCTGCCATTCCGAGTCACGCTTAAACAATTTCCGCGCTGTTTCCGGCGATTGCTGTATGCTATCACCGAAAGACCGAGCAGCACGGAGACGTGCTGTCGCATCGAGGTCTTGTTGATGCTCTGCTGGCGATGCCGTCGGTTTTCGTGTTGCTGCTCGCAGGTTTTCGAAGTAACGTTGTGCCAGCTTTCGGTCCTGTCGACTTGTATCTCGAATAAGATTCTGGATATCTGCCACCAGCTTGTCCCATTGACCTACCGGGTTACCTCCGTTGTCGAATGCATCCCGTAACTTGTGAAGTCCCTGTCCAAATGCTTCTCGGACACGCTCTGGTCTGCCGCTGACGATCGGGTACTGGATCGGGCGATGGCTCCTTTGGTGTCGAAGGTCTCCCAGTGAAAATTCCAACCGGACTTCATGATGGTCCGAATTGTGGGTCGGGGGTAGTGCTTCCACCCACTGCACTGCCGTGTAGGGCTGTCCTTTGACGTAGACGCGGTCTAGGCGGCTAGCCCCATCCTTTCTCCAAAAGCTATAGTGGTGAAGCGGGTCATGATCCACATCTTCTTCGTCAAGCTGGTACTTTAGCGAGACTGCGTCAGTTAGTTCGAGCCCTTGCAGCATCTCCTGCAGGTACGGACTTTCGCAAGAAGCAGTGCTCGGTTTCGAGCTGTTACCCGGTCTTGCTGAGGATTCAGCACACAATTAAAGTCACCTCCGAGTATGATGGACTCATGATGGCGTAGCCAAGGGTCCAGGTCCGGAAAAAATTCCAGGCGTTCCGCTTGGTCGATAGGAGCGTAGATATTGACAAGCAGCCAGCCATCGAACTCCACAGCCATCACTCGATTGGTCCAGCTCTCTCGTTGCCAAGGTCGAACTTTGCTGCTCACGTGCGGGGTGCAGAGTTTTCCCAATCCTGCTGATTTCGTTTCTGTAGTGGTCCAGTAACTCAGCGGATGGTCCAGTAACTCAGCGGATGCTCCGGCGCCTTTCGCGCCTACGTCCGGTTCCAGCGTTGCTTGACTGCCCGAACTTGCTCTGCCGTGTGTAGTCGCGCGTCTTGTACCATGGTGACGTCGGGCTCCGTTCGCCCACGATGCCTTTTCCAGCCGTTGAGCCAGTATCGTCTTGCTTTTTTACGAACCCCATCAAGTTTTGAGTTGCAATTGATACTGTTTGTCTTGCTTGTTTCCTGGTAATCTGCGGGGCTGGGCCGATGCGAACAATGTCGAAACATTGTATAGCTCACTGAAGTAGTCAGCTTCTAGAGGCTCTGCTCTCACGTTGCAGGTTTCCTTTAGCATGGTTAATGAAGACAAGGGTCTGGAACTGAAGTTGAAGCCTCATCGCGAGGCTGCGACGCGCGTAGCGCCAGCGTTGTTTCAATGATGGCCCAACACTCGAACGTCTGCGCTCGATACAGCGCGGCATGCAGTGCTGGTACTCGCTCGAGAACTGTGAACAACAACCCGAGGTGTTATACAACTGAGCTGAGAGGTCCAGGGGGTGTTGCTGCCAGCGCCCGTAACTCGACTTCGTATATGAATGCAGCTACGGTCATTCTCGAGCGTGCTTGCGTTTCGTTCTTTTGACAGAGCTCAAGTAGCCGAGAATTACCAAAGTTCGCCGCTTTCAGTGTATTCCACATCACCGGTGCGTAGATGTCCAGCTTTTCGGGACTTCCGGCAGCAGTTTCCCGTAGGTCCGCGCAACGTTCAAGCAGCCCTTCTTTGCGACCGACATCTTCGTCAGGTACTGCTGCCCAACTTTCGAGACAGCGTAGTAGATATTCTAGTCGACTCTGTTCGGTCCACGTATCTAACGCCGCATCCGTCATTGTGCTCAGGATATATTCTGGCGATTCGAAGCTCTGAAGCATCCGCAGTAGACTTCGTGGGGCCTCGGAGACTGTGTTTATCCACGTTGTGGTATCTGCAGGAACTGTCGGGAATGGTGACGTTGATTCCTTTGCCCATCGAGTTTGCAGCCGATTCCACCCCGCTTGTAGGTGTTTTTTTCGCAGCCGGTTGCTTCCAAGTTGGGAATCTAATCCGTGAAAACGACCGACACCGGTGCGAGTCGTTCAAGGGTCTCCTTCGTGAGGGTCAGCATCCGCCTGTGTGGACATCGAGTCTTGACTCCAGACCGATCCGCTGGTATTGCTGGGGCTTGGGTCTGACGGGGTTACATCCATACTGACTTCGCCTTGTCGTATGCGTTCCTGCCACGACAGCAGTTGCTGTATAGTGATGTCATAGGTTTCCGTCCATGTTGTTACCGCTGCCGAGTCATCCCAGTCTAAGTCATGCAGCTCCTTCACCTTACCAGGGGAGAGTCCATGGATTCCCGCCGCTGGGAAAGCGTGTAACTCGGATTTCCGGCTACCCCCATGTTCCTCGATCGCGTCGACCTCCTGGCGTTCAGGTCAGTCAGGTGATGTCCGTCCTTCTCACTATTACCTGCTCCCATTTCAGTCATCTCCACGTCGTTAGCCGAATTGTTGGCACCAGCAGACAGCGTCAGGTCCACGACTTCCTTCACAGTTACCGATCCTGCGGCAGTCATTGGAGCGGTTGGCTGATTGAAGCGAAGTCGCATGTAGTGCCGTGCTGTAAACAGCAGAACAATCGGAGCTGTGCCCTCTGCGTACGTTGCTTGACGCGCCGCTTGAAGCCGCTGGATCCATCCCTGTGGTTACTTCCCTTCGTAGTTGCGTTCCTTCACAGATGAGAAAGTCTCGCCCGATTTTGCTGCTTCGGTTGGCTGGAAGATTTGATAGTTGACGTCGCCCAGTCCCAAAGGCGCAACGACCACAAAGATTTCTCGTTGAAGAATTTTTGCCAACAGCCGCAGCGTCACCTCCGTGCCCCAGTAACGATAGTCGATGTATGCTGCAAGCTTGGATGTTGTGCAGCATAGTGCGTGCAAGTAGTCCTTCAGACCTTGCGCTGATTGAGCCTCCGTTAGGCGCTCTTTGCCGTTGGTTAGGCCTTCGTCCAACGAGCAAAGTATCGCTTCACGAATATCGTCAGGAAATTCTTGTTCGAAGTAGTGGCTTACCGCCGACCACATTCCTTTCTTGAGCTTCGATGTCAGATTTTCCAGCGCAGGTACGCTGCTTTTGTCGGCGAAGTCTCGGTTGAGGAGAGCCATGGCCACCGCATAGTACTGGCAATTGCCTGTTTTCGGCGTGGCTACCCGCTCCAAGTTACAGTGCTGGAGCACCCGTTCACCGGAGTTCAAGGCCAGCTTGGGCTGCTCCGCCAGTAGCGCCGTGGCGTTGCCTACGTCGCCCTGGTCGTCCACAATGTGCTTCGCAGCAATTTGCGACTCAATGAGACGCTGGTGCTTCTCCATTGCAGCCGTTCGGTGGCGCTGCCTTCCTTGTATTTCCTCACTGATAGAACGTCCGACGGTCTCTGCAGACGGCTTCCTTGGTGCTTCTGGGACGTTCGCTGCTTCGACCTTCGTTACATTCGAATGCGTGCGCTCAACCAGAGCCTGGAGGTGCTGAGCAGCGCGCGGGGAGCCAGCAGTGACCCATTGTCCAGTCGGCTGAGGCGGCGTGCGTTGTGCCGATGGTGGACTCGGCGATGCAGGCTTCTCAGGGATCCTAGTGAACAGTCGAACAGTGGGCGTCGGGGCTTTAGCTGCTACTGGGGGTGGGGGGATGCCTCCTTTTCTTCGATCCAGTACTTTTCTAGCTCTGCGATGCTAGTTATCGTACTCGCTTGGTGGGGACGTTGGGCAATCGCTGCCGTGGTCACCGTTACACAGTAGTGCTGCTTCCAGGAATCGTCGGGCACGTTACACTGGTTTCAGGTATGGCCAGAGGCCCCACATTTGAAACAAGGCGGTGCCCTAGAACGGCTTGCATGTTGCACTAGGATTTTGTGGCCAGCCCAGTCGATGAACCGCATTCCGTTAAGAAATTCGGGGCAATGTGTGCTCTTGAAGTACACATCCCATGTATCCGTCTGTAGCTTACGGGCCTTTGACGACGGTTCTTGCCACGTTGTGTATGTGGTGGAGTCCCTCAGATAAAGACTAATAAACTCCCACACGTGTCCTGCCACGCAACTACGGGGGGGTTGCCCCTGCAAGCCAAATACCCAAAGACAACGAGAACTAGTCCCGAGATCTCTAGGCCTCACCTTGTGTACCCTTGTAGCAAGACTCGGATCTTTATCTAGCGTAATTCCTAGAAGACGTGTAATATGAAGGGGTGAATATGGGGTTCCTTACACTTGCAGGCAGAGACTTAGGTTAACTCTGTCGCGGATGCACTTGTACAGCGAGGTAACTCTTCCCACTGTACGACAACTTGTTGTACAATATGTACGAGATCTACTGGAGATCTCCTGCCGCAACTAGTCTGCGGGTCCAAACCAAAGTGCGAGACGCACACCAATACCTTACTAAACCGTTTAGAGTGCCCTACTGTCGAACACTGAGAGCTGATCTCCTCAGTCCAGACAATGCAACACACTACGCTACTAGAAGGTTACCGGGGAGGCCAAATCAATCCAGAACCCCGAGTACACTTCGCAAGTAGGTAGGAAACAGTCACAGTACACACGTAGGCGCTAACCGCACAACACAAAGACTAATATGAAGAAGTACCTTGTCTCGTTGTTGGAAATTCTGAACTGAACTGCCTATCTACCGGCGGCTCGTCTGCCGGCCAACCAACCAGTATGCTGCACGCCTTTACCTCATGACGTCATCTGCTGTCTCCGTGCGGTGTCATCGTCCTTGTTACGGGCCTCCCCGTTCTGGATCTCCGTAAATACGCCATCGGGTTTCGTAATCAGTCGCCGTCCTTCTATACGGGACGCCGAGCTAGGGTGTCCCATAATTAAATTGGCTCACTCTTGGGTCACCTTCGGGTAACCTCCGGGTCCATCACCTCACAATCCTTCAACCCGCATTACGACATCCGCCCTCTCTTCGCGTGAGGCTATCGAGCAGGTGGCTGCCACGCGTAGAGCTCCCGCACCATGTCTGCTTCTCCACTCACGTCGTCGCCTTCGTCGTCGGCCGCCGGCGTCCCTCTGCTGAGTGCTGCCCCGTCGTCGACCTACAGCCACGGAGATTGCACCGCCTGTCACTCCCTTGGTCGATCTATACCGGCCGCGGCTCCATACTCCGGTTCGCAGCCATCTCTATCGGAACGCGCGCGCATTATCCAGGCTGCTCAAGTCACCGCGGCCCTCGATCACGAGGTGCTGGATCTCCGGGGCCGTCTTGACGTCGCCCAGAATCTTCTTGAAGCATCTGGTCGCCACACTGCAAGTCTTCATCGAGCCATCCATGATCGGGATCTGGAGGTTCAACGCGTGCGCAACGAAGCCGACGGTCTTCTCCGAGATCTCCAGCAGGCCCTGAACACCGAAGTAGAACGCCGTCAGCAAGCCGAAGCTGCTGAACAACAAGTACGCGCAGATCTCGCACGGGTCGCCGCTCGCTCAGCTGATGCCGATGAAGTCACTCCGTCCGCTGCAGCATCGCCCTCTAACGTCGTCCCCAGTCAGTTGGAGATCGCCCTCGGAGATCTGGATGATATACGAGCCGAGCTGGCAGATATCAAGGCTACCTGGACCCCTCCTCCCACTGCATCGGTGACCCCAGGTGGCCGACTGTTGGCTGCCAGCGAAGCTGCCACTGATGGTGATCGGACTAGTGACGGACGCGCGGGACGTGCCCTGCAACGATCCAATGCCGAACGAGACAGATCTCGCAATCAATTGCCCCAAGCAGAGGCGACAATCGACAGGTTGCAGACCGAGTTGGCGCAATCGCGCACGCTGGTCAACAAAGCAGCGCCACAGATAGTCGCCCTTCGCTTGGATGCGTCCAAAGCTCGTGAGGACGCAGAAGCAGCACGACGAGAAGCGGCGGCGGCGTCGAAGAAGGCGCAAGACGGTGGTAAGTCGTCCCAAGTGCTGAGGTTGTTGATGTTGCATCACTAACGCCTTGATCGCCACAGCGACAGCGTTATCGGATTTAGCACAGCGGCATAAGGTGGCTGGGAAGCGACTGGAGGAGTTGGAGAGGAAGATCACTTGGCTGACTCAGCATAACACCGTTCTACGGCGTGAGAACGTCGACTTCAAGAACAGTTTGGAGCATCGTCAGGCTGATCTCGCAACAGCTCAGGATCGCGCAGTGGCTGCAGGTCATGATCGCGCGTGCTAATGTGGCGGGTTGACTCTTGTGCTGACCTGTGCGTTTATTGCTTTGTAGAACGAGAGCGAGCGGAGGCCTCCTTCGCTCGCGACGACTTGCAGGCGGAGCTGGATGTGAGTCGACAGTCGCTGCTGAAGGAGCAGGCTTCTTGTGCTGATCTCCGCAGCAAACTAGCGGAGCGTGAGGAACACCTTGGAGCGTTGCGCAACTTGATCAATCTGGTACCTGCGCCGACTCCGCAACCTGAGGTGGAACGATGCGTGGCGTCGGCCTCTTCCAGTTCGTCTCTTGCCACACTGGCGTCAACGGCCACGAGCCTTGTCTCCTCTGATCCTCCAGCGCGAACATCTTCGCAGCAGCTCCCGTCTGGCTCAGCAAAGCGAAGTGGGGATCTCTCTTCTGATCCAACGTCACAGTCGAAGCGTGCAAAGCGCGCCGTTGCGACTACCGAGGGAGCGCCAGCTGAGTTGTCTTCCTCTACGGCGATGGGTACGTAGCTCCTCCTCATTGTCAGACGAGCGACTTTCATAGATCTCCGTCTGACAGCCCGTGGATCTCTGTATCAGCGCGAAGCCCATTCACGCATGCAATTCCACCTGAGTCCAGCGAAGCTGCGCGCCCTGCCGATGTCACGCCGTGGCTGTGGGAGGTTGTTGCAGGTCACCGCCTTGACCAGCTTACAGCCAAAGACCTCGCTTCGAAGTTCTTACCACGCGACTGGCTGCTACCCGCCGGGGTGTGCAACCCTAAGAAGGGGAAGCTGGCCGTTCCTGCTGACTATCGGCCCTGACCACAAGCCTCGGTCGAAGCTTTATACAAAGCGAGTCCCTGGAAGATCTTCCTGGATAACATGCCCGACCCAGTCTCGTTCGACATTGGAGATCCCCGCTTCCAACCTCTTCTGGCCATCATCCGCGATGTGCTGACTCGGAACGATAATCGTGGCGCGCTTGTGTTCTGGGAGATCACCCACTCCATCGAGATTTCCATTTCCAAGGACAGCGCTGAGTCTTGGGAGGTGAAGTTCACTTCGGATCGTAAGAATCGGACATCCCACTTTGTAAAGATGCTGCTGCCTGTGTTCGAAGAAGTGGCCCGCCTGTGCAAGGCTCATGTGTGCGACTTGGACATTCTTCTGGAGCCATTCTTCCTGCCGCTGATCGCAACGTGCCCGTGGTTCCCTAAGGGAGCTTCTGGTGCCTCTGGAGATCTGTTACACGTCTTACGAACGACTGACGAGGCGGAGCCGTGGCGCCTGTTCTACTGGAATGCTCGTGCCAAACACCCATCGATGAACGAACCCACCCACACGCGCCTTCGAGGCAAGTTCAAGGCGACCTCGTCAATCGCCTAGTCTGAGTCAGCTGAACAGACCTAGGAGGACCCCCGGAAATCTCCAGCGTCCGACATTTCTTCCTTCACCAATGTACGTAGCTAGTGGGTAGTCTCCTCGGGCATGCATCTTCTTTATCGACATCGTAATACACCGGTTTCGACTCCATTTCATATCACTCCCGCCCCACAACTTAATTGTACTCAGTCAATGTCATGACTGGGAGATCTCCCCAACTGGAGATGTGAAGGCATGTCGTAGGTCGCCGTGCATTCTGGGAAGTGATTTGTGGTGATCAAGGCCATAGCACAAACTCCAGGCGTAGGACTGCACTTAGTCCGACGGCCACTGACCACGCCTTCACGCCCTCGGTGTCTCCTCCACTGCGGCTCCGGGCTGGATCTCCAAGTCGGCGATGACAGCGATCCGGCCAAAATCGACGGAACGCGAAGGTAGTCTCCGACACGAACGGTGCCAGTTTTCACCATCGCACAGACCCAGCGCGTCGTGGCGAGCGCGTTTCAGCAGCCGTCGGACGCGCGTTCGCGCCCCCCCCCCCCCGCCGCGCCTCGGCCACTGCGACACCGGGCTGGATCTCCAAGTCGCCCCCGAGTACTCGTTCGTCGAAATTCTAATGTCCGACCAGATCATCACAACTAACCTCGTTTCTCCATTCCATCGCGTGATCTTCTCTCCATTTCTTCTTCCACTCAATCAAATGTAAATGTGCAACAAATACCATCCACTATTACGGATAGCGTCCACCACGCTACCCACCACCACCGCCTCACTCTTCGGCGATGTCGGCCTCTCCACGCGATTGCATCACATGGAACCTCTGTCGGCTCCGTCGCTTCTGCTGGAAGTCGAACAGCAGACCACCACAGTTCAGGTGTTCTTCCTTGACCCAATTCGTCTCTGCGTGGCCCTTCCAACGCACCAAATATTCCTTGAGCCGTCGACCGTAGCGGGTGCGTCTCTCCGTCTTGGCATCGAAGATCTCTTCAACTTCATACTCGTTGTCCCCGCGAGTTTGTGCCTCCCAGCTATCCTCGGGGAGAAGTTCTTCGTCAAAGTCAAATCGTTCGCTTTCATTAACAGTGAGATCTTCGGCGGGTCGTTCGGGGAACTGTCGGACCAGCTTCAGCTTCGAGATGTGTACGATAGGGAACAGTCGGTAGTCAGTCCCACTGATTTCCAGCGTGGCAGCGTAGTCGCTCACCATGGTGGCGACTCTGAAAGGCCCATGCCACATGTGAGCGAGCTTCCGAGCGTATCCGACCTTGACTCGGTCGAGGTACAGCCACACCTGCGATCCCTCCTTAATGGGTGACTCCGGTACGTTCTCATTGTGGGCTTCTGTGCGACTCTCACGAGCTTCGGCGAGGAGACGACGAGTCTCTGTCTGAGCACGTTGGTATTGGCGTTGGATCTTGAACCTCCATTTCTGTGGGTCGAGATCTCGGCTTCCGGTCCCTCCAACAGCCAACGATGCCTCAATAGTCGTTTTAGGGTCCCACCCGTGCAGCAAAAAGAATGGCGTGTCCTTGCGTCCTCGGTCGTGCGATGTGTTCAACGCAAACACCAACCGCTCCGCATATTCATCCCAGTCCTGTTGGTTCTCGTCTTCAACGTACATCCGCAGAGATCTGGAAATAGTCTGGACCATCCGCTCCGCTGTGCCGTTTGCTTGAGGTCTATACGCGAGCGTAGATCGCTGACGCTGGCCCAGCAGCGCATTAAACGACCGGAAAAAGTCGGACATGAAGCTCGGTTCCTGGTCGTGCCTGATTACTTCGCTGGCTCCGTACCGCCGAAACACGCATTCCTCGTATGCCTCAGCCACTGTTGGTGCGGTCCTGTCCGCGTTTGCCTTTGCCACAACGAAGCCGGTGAAGAGATCCACGAAGACTAGGAGCTCTGTTTTGCCCTTGAACGACTTCGGGAGGGTGGGGATATGATCCATAGCCACGACCTGGAAAGGGAAATTAGCGGCGATATTGCCCGGCGATCGCCCCCGCAAGGTGGGTTTTCCTTTTCCCGTCTCGCAGTCGACGCACTCCCCGACATATTTCTGCATACTTCGGAACATACCTCGCCAGTAGAAATGCCTCCGAAGCTTTTGCAATGTTCGGCTGACTCCCTGATGACCTCCCTCCACACTTGTGTGGAAATGATGCAGGAGATCTTCGTGGAGTGTGCTCGGCATTACCAGTTTCACCATAGATCCACGGTCCTCGACATCATCACCGCGCCCCTCGACTGGACAGTACATCAAGAGGCCATGCTCGTCGACCTCGTAACTGTCAGCCGGTTTACTGCACGTCTTGGCTTGACGGCTCGAGATCTGAGAGAGATCACCGTGCAGGAAACTCTTCAGTGACCCGATCCACACCTCCTCGTCTTGAGCACGGCAAATACGTTCCAAGCGCAGCTGCTTGACGACGTCTTCCTGCAACACGGCTGGTGCGACAGTACGAGATCGGCTTCGCGTGACAGCGCCTACCTTCGGATGGGCGTCACGTTCTTCGCGCGTCTTGAGGAGCTCGTCCAGTCGATTCAAGGTCTCGAGGTTCGTGTAATCGGTGTGACTCTCGACAACTACCCCGGCACCACGCTGCAGCGCTTGTCCCGCCAGCATATCCGCGGGTTGGTTCCAATCGCGTTTTACATGGATGAGTTCGCATTGCGGCCAAGACCGCAAAATCACTCTGGCCTTCTCACGCAAGAGCTGGAGTCCCGATGACTTGCACTCCATCTCTCCACGCAGTTGGCGGATGACTAAATTGGAGTCGCCACACACAATTAGACGGTCGATCTGGAGATCGGCAATCAAACGAAGTCCGAGAAGGAGGCCATGGTACTCGGCCTCGTTCACAGTGAGGTCTGGTAAATAGCCAGATTCAGCCTTGACAACATTCCATCCAGGAGCATCCCATACCACAGCGCTGAAAGCTCCACCAACTCGTTTCGGCTTGGCCGATCCGTCAAAGCTGACGACGCAAACGTTTTCTCCGGGCGTAAAAGTCGGCATCGGGATAGTCAATGCTCTCGTCGACTTCTTCTGCGGAGAGATCTCCTCCAACGCTGCATCCATCTCTGCGCGCGGAGTGATACTGGCGGCAGCCAAACCTAGTAGCTCATCTCCGCCTTTCCTTAAACGTTCGATCTCTAGCGAATGGGGGGAGAGCAGCGCCGCCCACTGAGCTAGCCGTCCCTTCAAGCCTTTCGCGCGGAAGAGCCATGCGAGAGTCGTGTGTCTGGTGAGCACTCGGATGTGTCGACCACTCAGCATGGTGAAGCAGCTATCGAGGATTCTTAGCAGAGCCAGTACTTCCTTCTCCACAATGTCGTACCCGATCTCGTGAGACCGCAGTGTCCTACTCGTAAATTTGACGGGTACGTACACTCCATCACGACACTGAACGAGAGAGGCAGAGATCGCCCACTTGCTTGCGTACACAATCACAACAGGATCCAACTCTGGGGCAAAATGGTAGAGCATGGGTGCGTTGGTCATCTTGAACTTCAGGGTATCGAAGGCTTGTAGCGCGTGGCCCCATCTCACAGTCGCCTCGTGATTTCCGCTGACGTTTGTGGCTCGACCCTTGATGAAATCGGAATCTCCGAACTCATACAACACTGTGGCATTTACTGCGAAATCTTCGATGAAGCGATTGTAGTAGTTGAGACTGCCGAGGAATGACTGGAGAGCCTTAAGCGTTTTGGGAAACTTCAACGCCTCCAGACTTGCCAAATCTTTCGGCTTGGTGAACAGGCCTTCACCGGAGATCTGATGCCCCAGATAGTCGACTTTGCTCATAACCCAACTGCTCTTCTCCGCGCTAATAAACAGATTCCAGCGGTCACAAACCTCTAGGAGCTTCTTGACCTTCTCACACAGTTCGTCCCACGAGCTTGCTCCAGCTAAGATGTCGTCGATGTAAGAGCGACGCCCCAGCACCGACGGCAGCGATCGATCTTCAGGAATACCTTCCTCGAAAATGTTGACGAGATCCGCGCGATCTTGACCCGGCGAGATCCGCAGCACGCCATTTCCGATCAGCCGCTGATAGATTTGGGGGGGGGGGCATTCTTCAGACCAAACGGCATTCGCAGCCACTCGAACAGGCCGAACGGCGTAATGAACGCGGAGATCTCTCGGGCTCGATCGGTACCCAGAACCCACTCGCCATGTCGAGAGAACAGAACCACAGCAAACTGTCGAAATCTTCGAGGAGGTCGTCAATCAACGGCATGGGGTAGATCATCAGTCGTGTCAAAGCATTGACCAGACGGTAGTCGATACAGAGTCGGACGTCCACGCCGTTCTTCTTGACGACGATAACGATCGGAGACACCCAAGGAGAAGTGGAGATCCGAATAATCTTCGCCCCCAGTAGCCCCTTGACGAGTTGGAACACCTTTTCACGGAACTGAGGCGGGATCCGGCGACAACGCTGAGCCACCGGTCGTGCACCACCAACGTCGATGTCACAGATCGCCCCCGTCGCCGCAGGGGGTAAAGCATTCCCTTTGCCGATGAGAAGGTGACGTCGCTCCCAAATGATATCACGCAGACGATCAATCTCCTCTGCTGTGTTCTCAGTTGGATCCCCGACCTTGAGATCTTCTCTTTTAACTTCTGCCGTCAGGGAGATCTCTGGTAACACCGCCATCTCCTTTTCGATTTCTTCCGCAGTGAGATCGGCCCCTTCATGAACATACTTCGCTTCATTCATGTCGGTTGCATCTCCGCCTTGGCTTGGTTCGACCTGGGTCACTGGGAGCATTCCGCTCACCGGCTTCTCTTCTTTCTCGTCGTCGGTCTGCCAGTCAAAACTACCCCAGCTACCAGTAGACTCAGCGCTTCGAACGCACAGCTACAGCTGTCGCCCCAGTCGCTTTCAACGATGACCGACAACGTGCGATGAACCATTTCCTCGGTGGCCGCGGCGTGTATTTTGGATTGTGGCATGAGGTCAGGGGTATATTCTGGGAACTCCTTGCGGAGCTCGGACTCAGCCACGTTTGCCGGAGTCGACGCCAAGCCTACCAGTGTTTCGCCACTGTTCGTAAGGCATAGGCCGCTCTCCTCGCCTGCGTGAGTTTCCGTACGCGGTAGACTGGAGTCATCGCTGTCCATACCAGAGATCACCTGATCGGGATCGGTAGAGATCACGTCCTCGTCGGTTTCGGTCACCCTAGTCGGATCAGTCGAACTTTTCATCAGCTGCATTTGAGGATGTGTGTCGTCCAGTGTGAGTCGCGTGCATTCTTCTGATGTTGCTGCTGCTTCAACGGTCTGCACTTGTGGAGGCCGTGCTAAAATCGCAGTCGGAGTCCGGTAGCTAGGACGCTCGACCAGCGGTCGAGACTCTTCAACTTCCGCTTCGTTTGCATCTCCAGTGTCCACAGTTGCTTCGAACGCAAGTGTTTGCCACTCCCGATAGCGGTTTAAATCCTTCCTAGCGAATCCAGGTCGACGCGGGATCTGCCCAACGGGTAACCAGATTGCCAAACACACCAAACCATCCAGTACCAGGCGGCTCGTGCTGATGTTGGTGATCCGGAGGTATGACTTGTTACCGAATCCACCATTCACCACCGTGATCACCCATTTTCCCCCTCTCGTTACCCACAGTTCAAACCGCTTGTTGTGGGACTCGAGTGAGATCTCTGTCCATTGGCCAGGACCGACTTCATGGAATCCCGTTGCGTAGACCGCGTCAGCCTTGCTGCTATACAGTGGCTTACGGTCGGTCATCTGGATGCGAACTTCGTCCGGCAGACAGAGCGTTCCGTCAGCCAGGTCCAACCTCACCCCCGCAGGAACCATAAAATCCATGCCGAGAATGACGTCTTGTCCTGAGAGATCTCCAACCCACACGCGGAACTTGTACACCAACTCTCCAGCCAGAGTGAGCTTGAGCAAAGGTAGAGTCGATTATCGACACTTCGGCTCCAGTATCAAAGAGTAGGACGGCACGGACATTGTTGACCGCACCGGTCGCCTTCGACTGCTTGAACCACTTGGAGGGAGTGTAATACTTCCAGTAACCTCGGCGTTCACCCGGCGACAGTCGAAGGGCCATCACACAAGGGCGACGCGAATAGTCATCTTCATCCGAGGTAAGAGATCTAGCTGTATTCACCGCATTACAGGAAGTTGGGTCTTCTAACGCTCGCGCCTTCCTCTGAACATATGCATAAATGCAGAACTTCGATCGCTCGTCACGTACCAGGCTGTTCAGGCCTGGCGAGCGGTCTAGTTTAACGCCTTCTCGACGCTCTCGGGCAGCAGTCTGGCATGGCGAGTCGGGTTGTACCATTGGCGAACAGCATCGAAGAAGTCGCCGATTTTACACTGACCTGCTTCGTGAACGTCTCCACAGCACTTGCAGACGTAGAAGCACTTGTCGGTAGGATGGCCCATGCGTCCACACTTCTGCCACGTGAGCCTCTTCCAGCACCCGAGATCCGTATGCTTGCGAGATCCGCAGTGTGAGCATCGAGTGCCGTACTTCGGGCGCCCCAGTTGGTCTTCGCGGTCTTGGCGCGCCCCTGGCTGTTCACCATCTCCTGGTGTAGGCGTCCTAGCTGCCGAAAACACGTGCGCTCTTTCGTCTTCAGATTCGTTATCGGAACTGCTTGATGCGCCCTCGAACTCGTTGAGATCTCCGTGATCTCCGCGGCGTCCGCGACCGGTAGTCACAACCCGCACCGCCCTCGAGGAGGCTGCAGGGGCGGGAGCCTTTTGGCGGTATTTCGAACCTTGGGTCTCAATCTTGCGACGTTGGTGGCGGCGTCGCATGGCCAACAGGACGCCTTCGAGAGCTTCTGAGTCAGGCAGCCTCAACACTACCAGAGATCCGGCGAGATCGTCATCTTGGACTGTATCGATGAAGTGGTCGACGTGTTCACGTCGTTGTTCCTTGGTGCCATCATGGATCTTCAAGTTTGCAGTTATCCCGGCCAGATTAAGCCGGTATAAGTAATCCAGTGGGTCTTCCTGACTCCCGCGCAGCATGGGGTAGTACTTGCGCGCGAGGGAGATCCCTTTACCGCAAAAGTGGATCTGGAACTGTTCACCCAGGTCAGTCCACGACGCGCGAGCGGTGCGGCTCAGCTGGTAATACCAATTGCGCGCAGGGCCTATCATCAAATCGGCAAATGTCAAGTACATCTCGTCTGACTGCATCTGATCCCGTCGGAAGGCCGTTCTAACCTTGTTGAACCAGGCTCGGGCGGCTTCTTCGTCATGTTCCTTGCCGCTGAAGTCCTTCAGTTCGGACACAGCCGATGCTCGCAACCTTGTTGCCGTGGACACAGCTGCGACACGACCTCCGGTTCCGCCACCTCCATCATAGCCGAGGTCATCGGATAGGTCATGGAGATCTCCTTGGTATTCCGGTTGTGTCTGGGATCGGTACCCGATACGTGGCCGAGCGGGAGACGCAGTGACTGGTTGCATCTCAACGTCTTCAGGCTCGTCTCGCTCGTTCGCAAACTGGTAAAGAAGGTCTTCAGCCACACCGCCGGGGCGATCGGGCTCTCTTGCAACCTCTTGAGCCTCCTGGATCCTCCCACGTGGTCCTCTCGCTGGGCGAGTCTGCGCAATATTTGACACTTGCGCAGACTTCCCGCGTCCTACATCGTTTGCAGCGATCGCTGGGATCCCTTGCGCACGTCGTTCTCGGCGGGACACACGTGGGGCCGGTGGAGGCTTCTTGGTTGAGGTAGTGCTCCTCATGAGAGCGTCACCGTCATCTTCAAACTTGAAGTAGATCCGTGAATCGTCCAACCGAGGAGGTGTGAGGTCTCCGGTCGGCAACGGCGCGGATGAGTCATTTGCACTCGGGACGAGCTTCTGCAACACTGCGTACACCCGCGCGAGCGTAAGGACGGTGGTTTTCAGATCGTACTCGCGTACATCGGTGGAGATCCGCTGTTCATGTACCTTGAAACCAGCATCTTCGAGCACGCAGAACAGCATCGTGACGGCGTGAAGCGGATCTCGGATTGTTAGTGTGCGCGGGTTGCGAACTGGACCCGTGAGAGGCCATGGCATTGTCAGCCCCAACTTACGCAGGAACGGACCTCTCTGGAGCAGGAACGCAAGCTCTTGACGGAAGTAGTTGACTTCGGCTTCACGAAATCGTTTGTCTTCATCGTGAGTGTCGTTGCTGGGGCCATGGACCGCTAGCGCCGAGATCTTCAATTTCACCGTTTTCTTCTCGGCTTTCTTCTTCGCATCTTCGACTTCCATGAAGTCCATCGCAGCGTCTAGAGCATCGCTTCGGGCAGCGGGGTCGCGGATGACCCCCTTCAGATGCTCGCGCTCCAGGTTTCGAGCTCGCTTTTCAGCGACGCCGGGGTCCCGCTTAGCAGCAGGACCAATGGAACTCGGTTTTTGGACCGAGTCCTGGACGGCTCCTTTCGGAGCCTTAACGGGGAACTTCTTCGTAAACGAAATCCTTCGGCTCAGGCGTCCCTATTGCCTGTCCGTCGGTGGACCTAGTGTTTTCACGTTTAACTTCCGCCGGTCCCAGCGGAGTTCCGTCTTCCCTCACCTCAACCTTCACCTTCACGTCCCCTTTCGGACTAGTAGATCCGGGCACGCGCACCATTGTGGTGGAGTCCCTCAGATAAAAACTAATAAACTCCCACACGTGTCCTGCCACGCAACTACGGGGGGGGGTTACCCTGCAAGCCAAATACCCAAAGACAACGAGAACTAGCCCCGAGATCTCTAGGCCTCACCTTGTGTACCCTTGTAGCAAGACTCGGATCTTTATCTAGCGTAATTCCTAGAAGACGTGTAGTATGAAGGGGTGAATATGGGGTTCCTTACACTTGCAGGCAGAGACTTAGGTTAACTCTGTCGCGGATGCACTTGTACAGCGAGGTAACTCTTCCCACTGTACGACAACTTGTTGTACAATATGTACGAGATCTACTGGAGATCTCCTGCCGCAACTAGTCTGCGGGTCCAAACCAAAGTGCGAGACGCACACCAATACCTTACTAAACCGTTTAGAGTGCCCTACTGTCGAACACTGAGAGCTGATCTCCTCAGTCCAGACAATGCAACACACTACGCTACTAGAAGGTTACCGGGGAGGCCAAATCAATCCAGAACCCCGAGTACACTTCGCAAGTAGGTAGGAAACAGTCACAGTACACACGTAGGCGCTAACCGCACAACACAAAGACTAATATGAAGAAGTACCTTGTCTCGTTGTTGGAAATTCTGAACTGAACTGCCTATCTACCGGCGGCTCGTCTGCCGGCCAACCAACCAGTATGCTGCACGCCTTTACCTCATGACGTCATCTGCTGTCTCCGTGCGGTGTCATCGTCCTTGTTACGGGCCTCCCCGTTCTGGATCTCCGTAAATACGCCATCGGGTTTCGTAATCAGTCGCCGTCCTTCTATACGGGACGCCGAGCTAGGGTGTCCCATAATTAAAGTGGCTCACTCTTGGGTCACCTTCGGTAATCTCCGGGTCCATCGCCTCACAATCCTTCAACCCGCATTACGACATGTAGGACCCATGGAACTGTCCCTGGATGAAGGCATCGAGTGCTGATTCGTCCAGAAAGCGGGACACATTGAGTAATCGAACGTGATAGCGCTCCCGTGGCTGCTCGTCGCGGATGCCATCCGCTCCAACTTGGCGGGTCCATACCAAAGCCGCTCTGGTCTTCAAGTCCACGCTATCAGTGAGCACCGCGGGATGTTCGTTCTGCAAAGGGAAGCGTCGACTCCGAAAGGGGAGGGAGTGGAAAACGGCGCTCCACTTAGTGGCGAGTTCCCTCGTCCAGAAGATGAGATGGACAGCGTGTCGTCCTTCATCGTAGCAGACCTGCTTGGTTTCTCGTAGCATAGCGACCACCTGCGTCTTGTCATAGCCTCCTCTTCCCACCCCCAATAGGATCATGCCTATCAGCCGTTCACGGGTCTGAAAATCGGGATATACTGGAAAGTCGGGTTGGAGAAGAAGGACCAGGTCTCCCTCCACTTGGGCCTTGATCGTATTTTGGATGACTCGTAGGGACGCATTATTGCAGATGCATTTCAGAAACTCCGGCAGATGCTCACAGAGAATAAATCCTTCGAGGAGACCTCGGATCACTTTCTGTTCTGGCTCCGTTGGCTTGCGCAGTAGTGCAGGAAATCCGAATGGGGCTTCACACAAATCCCGAAGTTCATCTATTTCCTGCGGAGAATAGATTTTCCGCAGAAATCGAAACGTCGACGTGGAAGATCCCGTCATTTCGACATCAGTATCCGTAGCCTCATTTTTCGAGAGTAGCTTTTGGGGCCATGGGTCGCTCGTTGGTCCTGCCTTGACTTGAAGTTCAGCGATACGGTGGTCAATTGTCTTCGTAAGTGGACGTGTATGCGCTTTGTAGATCGACCGAGCTAGATCGTACATAGCTGCCCGCCATTGGCGCTCGTTCGATCGCCCACTGCTGAGATGAGCCAGCAGGAACTGAAGCATTCGCTCTCCTTCTTCATCGGGGAGTTCCGGGTAGTGATTGCGGTCAGCAGGGAGCGGTTCCTTAGGTCGTGCGTTGAACACCTCTGCGAACATCGCTTCGGCATACTCGACTGTGCTGACTACGTCTTTGACCCTGGTGAGATCGAGTCCGGTAAGCTCACTGCGTAGATACGTGTACATCTCTGCAAACGTGAGCTTCTCGGCCGTTTCCTCCTCGTGGATAGCGTTGGCCTCCTCTGGCGCCCTGGCGTTTTGGTCTGTTGCTGGAGCAACCTCGTCCATCTCCACATCGGGCCCCAGTGCCTGGGACGTGTCAGTGGGTGTTGGCGAAGCCATGTCGATCACCTCGTTATCCTCTTCTTCACGCGCTACCCTGCCGTCGTCCGGCGGCTTGCTGTGCCCTCCCATGAGTCCTTGATCCCGGGGTGCTGGTACCGTGGTCGTTCGATTAGAGGGTCGTATAGTTTAACCAAGTGTTTCACCCGCTCGCTCTTGAACTGTGTTACTTCACGCCTTCCTCGTTTAGAAGGTTCCCCCCGAACACGCCGTCACTCTCGTCACGTCGCGGCTAGTAAGCAAAATCGGAAGTGGGCTCAGTATAGACACGCCACTGGCGAAGCCGAGCTAATGTGGGCCACATAAAGTTGTACAAGCCTAAAGTATTACCCAGAGTATTAATACAATCTGTATTAATACTGATACTTGTTTTCTATACGAAAGTATTGTATAACCGATATTTATACCAGACCTCCAGCAGGGCCAGTAATACTAATACCATGATTTGGTCGATTATCCTAACCTCGGACCGAGACATCTAAAGTCGCGTCACGTCAAGTCAGGATCTTTCGGAATTCTTCTCAGCACTTCTCCAGAATATATTTTATATTTTGATTCCGTTCTTTAACTAACGTGTAATCTCTCCAAAAACAGTAACATATTATTGTACCATGGTACTATAATCATGAAGCATTGGTGTGTTTATTTATTTATAGTATGCGCTTTTGGCCTGTCAAAATTTCGCGTTTTGTGTTTCAACCGATAATTCATTCTGGACCTGCGTTTCCATTGTTGCCTAGCTACTTTTTGCGTCACTAATAGTTAAATTGTTCGCAACAAGTTGCTAGTCGGAGCTGTACAGTGGAGTGATTCGCATCCCAAACCCACGTAAGTCTTCTCGAGGCTTCAATTAGGTGCGGTCCACAAAACTAAATTACAACAGCGCTCCCAGCCCAACTCTCTAGTATGTCCATAGTGAAACTTATACTGTTTTCTTGGCAATTTTTGAGGGTTTTAATTAGTGTAGGCCATACTAATTGCGCGCCCACACTATTAGCGGACCCACACCAATTACACTTCTTACTGTAGCTATCCCAACTGTTGCTGCTTCATATATTATATCCCTTTCTGCCAGCTCTGTGTCCACTTGACTTCATCTTCGAGTCGTTCGTGCAAACTATCCAGAAGACGTCGAGTTTCTTCGCGACAGAACCCCACGTAGGCAGCATAAGCCGTGTCCCTTGCTTTGATGAGTGCCCTGTGTGCTGGTGTAAGAAGAGCCACGCATGCCCCATCATTGGACGCTAGAGGCACACACGCCAAGTCTTGGATGGAGGACTCAGCTGTCCCAGTTGACGCAAAGGCAATGCCTTCGTCCTTTGTAAGAGTCTCAGCTTTTATCTCCTCCCAAAGTGACTGCAGTCCGAAGGAAGGAATACCAGGCCATGAGCGCAGCGGAAACCGAGGGGCTTCTCCGCTTTGCGTCAACTTCTGCATCTCCGCAGCTGTTCTTTTGACTTCACGAGGATCACCCACCTCGTTCACTCGAGCCATTTTGCGCAGCCGCTTCAGCGACTTGCGCTTGGCTTTAGGCAATTCCTCGCCTGAAAACGGTTTGAGGTCGTCCGGTGACAGCACCGACGAGTCCAGTAGCAGCATGAGGCACTGAAAGAGGCCAACTAGTCGAGCCTCAAACGCCATTGACAACTGGATCTGGCCGGCCAAGAACTGGTTTCGATGGTTGAGCAGCGCAACTCGAGTAGACGCCGACCGCGATTTCTCCCGTTCTTCGAGTTCCTGCAAGAGGTGGGCGTTGTTTGGGCTACAGAGATGCGGCCGCAGCTCTAATGTATGCTGGCTCTTGATGTTCATCCACGACTGATACTGAGCCTCGAACACCGTGGTGATGTCTGAAACCCTCAGCCGCATTTGCTGTTTCGCCTGCTCCATGAAGTTCATCACCACAATCCCCGGAACAAGAGCCAACACATGCGCGAATCCACCCACTTGCTCGCTATACAATTCCTCTTGTTGGATCACAAACGACCGCGCTTTCTCCTGTTGGCTGGCCAGGTATTCCTCCAGAGCGACAGGCACGCCCGAGGGCGGCAGTTCCTCGGTTTTCCCTTCTTGCTGATACAGAGCCTTAGTCTCCTCTTGGCACTTGGCACTCACTTGGTCGGCGAAGTCAAGGAAGGGGGTGGCAAGCGCCTGGTCTTCCTCGTCCACGACTTCACGGTCGCGTACCGTGCTCAGTCCTTCCTCGTCACCTTGTGCTGCAACTGGGTTGAACTCTACTGGTCTCGGCTCGAGCTGACTTGGACTTCTCAAGAAGCGGAAGTACATCCCGCGGTGGTAAATCTTGGCTCGAAGCTGCATCAGCGTGGTTAGAACGGTGCCCGTAAGCTCCCGCCCATCGTACACCAACTCTGAGGGGCTGTCATACTTCTTCTCTTCGTCGACTATCGATTGGAGAGAGGCCAGCAGCGCGTTAATGGACGCAGACCGCGCTTCGCATCGCGTCATCTCAGACCGGTAGCGCTCTTGGGCCGCTCGACGAGGAAGCCCGAACTTTTGGCCGAGTCCCTCCTTCATCGCTAAGCTCTGCACGCAAGCCTGGTACCTCGCTTTGAAGGCCTGCCACATGTCCAGCACCAGCGCTTGGCTGCTACTGATCTCAGTCATTCGCTTCTCTCGCTCGAGGATTCGATCACGGGCTTGCGCTTCAATGGCGGAGAGCTTCTCCTTGACAGCGGCAATCTCCTCTGGGTGGTAATCGCATCCGCTGATGATCTCACAGCTCGTCAAGTCGGGGAAGAGCTGCGAAGAGCATGCACGCACGTAATCTTGGCACGAGGACAGCAGCCCGTTGATATCACTCTCGGTCATCGCACGGAGGACGGCCAACTTGTCCATCGCCTCGCTCTTGAAGACGCCGAGGCGCTTCTTGGCCTTCACTTCGAGGCCCTGGAGCGCAGCGAGGCTGAGCTGGAGCGGGAGCTGAGCTTGGAAGGCGATCTGCGCAATTCGAGCCTGCTCAACGTTGGCGAGAGCCTCCTCCGTTTTCTTCGAGAAGGACGCCTGCTGCTCCTCCACCTTCGCCCAGAGGCCCCTCAAGTGACGCTCCTGTCGCTGCTGGTGGTTCAGGAGCTCCCCCATTCGCGGCTGATAGAACTGCACGTCCAGCCGCCCTTTACGTGGCCAGTGGACGCGCAGCCTCTCCTCCAGAAGCATGGAGGAGCTCGCATGTCGCTCATCCCGCGTGTCCTCCGTTTGCGTCGATGTCGCCGCGGCGTTCGAGTCGTACTTTGACACAATCACGTCTCGGAAGACAGCGAGCATACTCTCGATCGTGTCGCTCGGGACGGTCAGTACCAGGAACTCGGCTTCAACCTTCTCCAGTACGGACGAACGTGACGTGTCCATCGGCTCAGCCTCTGCTGCGTCGCTGTCATCGTTCGGGCGGTTATCATCCTCGTGGTCTTCGTCCTGCTCAGTGTTCGGTACTTCAGGTGCTTCTCCTCCCTCTTCGCCTTCGTCTTCTTCACTCTGAGCCAGGATGTTATGAGCAAGCGCAGCAAGGGAGAGAACGACCATCAGCTCCAAGCCTGAAGCTGCGCGGAAAAGTTCGTCCTCCGGTGGACGAATCTCTGGCTCAGCAGGGGGGTCTGCAGCTGGTGGGGCGTCCTCTGTTGCGTCTTGAGCCAGCAGTGCTGGGTTTAGCACTTGTTCAATGTGTTGCGCGCTGAGGAAGTGGTCCAAGTTGAATGCATCGGCGCTTGGAGGTGCATGCAGCTGCCTCAGCCCAAAGAAGTCGCAGAGGCGCTGGAGATACAGAGACCGCTGCTTGGCGATAGCCACCACGTTGTTGTCTGCCGCCAAAGACACTCGCTTGTCGTATGCGCGATACTCGCCTTCAATGAGCATCAGAAGCTCCGACGATCGCTGGAACTCGTCGCGCAGGACGTTATCATTGGGCGAGTGTCGGAGGCACGCGCAGCTCTGCGTGAACTTTGTCTCGAGCTCTGCGAGAGTCTCTTCGTCGTTCTCCTTGAGCGTGTCGAGCAGGTCCATCACGCTCAGGTTCACGTACTCGACCTTGTCGGCGCTTTCCTCCATGCAGAGCACCACCTGGAGGAAGAACTTGGCCAGCTTCTCCACTTGGTCGTGCAGTAGCCCGCTCTGTTGCTCCATGCGCTTCCTCATCTCCTCCACGAGCAAGCGGCTCTCCTGCTGCCGCGTTTCAATGAGGTTGTCACACTCGCGCGCGATCACTTCGTCGACCGTAGAGTTGGCATGCTTCTGCAGCAGGAGCTGGTCTGCAATGAAGTGCAGATGCTGCTGCCACGGTGGACCCAGCTCTGACGCGTACACGAGCGTACCGAGGCGGCGCTGCACCTTCCGGATCGCTTGGAGATCGACAGCGCTGCCATTGCTTTGAAGTCCGTCGCTCGTCTTGCCCTTGGTGGTCGACGCCGCACCGAACATGGCAGAGTTCTTCCTCGTGCTCTTGGGGCTCAATGGGGCAGCGAGAGAAGGCGAACGAGAAGCCAGCTTATCGCTAGAGGCTGACGAATTGACCGGACTCATGCTGCCTGTGCGTTTGAGCGGGGACGAAGGCGAGTCCTCGGTTGTAGCCTGAAGGGGCCCAGACTCTTGGATAATCGCGCCCAACTGAGCCATGATGTCTTCCAACTCTCCTTTAAAGCTGTCGCTCATTTCCTCCAGGTTCATCAGCATCGATATCTGCGTCTGCAGAAAGGGCAACAGCGACAGAATCTCGCCCTTGCTGGCCTTGCGAATCTTCTCGAGAGTCGCCTGCACCGCCTTCCGCTCGGCCTCCTTGCCCTGGTTCTCCATGACGCTCTCCAGGGGCAACGCACTCAGTAGAACCCCCACCGAGCTCACCACCGGCTCCAGGTTGGCGCTGTAAATGAGGTCCGCGACGCAGAGCTGCTTTGCGAGCGTGTCCAGCTCCGTCTTGAGGCCTCCAGCCGCACGGAAAAAGTCCTCCATAGTGTCGTCACTCAGCAGCGACACGAGCGTCGACTTGGCCTCTTCGATCGCTCCCTCTTTCGCCATGGCCCCGAACCCATGGAGCTCCAGGCGAAGGTCTTCTCGTAGTGACTTTGCAGCGTCTCCCTTCGACTCGTGCAGCCCCCTCAAGTCGGAGAAGAAGCTTTGGTTCTTCTCCTCCTCGAACTGCTGCGTCGTGCTGAGCTCCTCCAGAATCCGCTTCGCTTGCTCCGAGCTGAGCGCGGCCCCAGCGTCTTTCAGCCGCTTCAGCACCTCGAGACGCTGCTCGCGGTGAATTTTCTCTTGGAAGACGCGGATCTGCTCCAGCACGTGGCGTCGCTCTTCTGGATCGGTGAACAGGGGCGAGTTGAGTGTGGCTTGGAACTTGTCGATGGCATCCTCGTGCCGGAGGTGGCGCCACCGGACCTGGCCCTGCTCCCACGCGAGCCGAGCGCTCAGGAACTCGTCGACGTTGGCTGTCCCCATCCTGGCAACGAGGTCGGCGTACACTCGTCGGTTGGAGATGACGACGGTGTTGACCTCGTACGCCTCTGCTTCGATGATGCGCTCGACTTCGGGCGGCAACGCGTGCGCTGTTTCCATCAGGACATGCGTCAAGTGCTGCAGTCCGACGCGCACGCGATGGATCCGAGTCTGTTCGATCTCGTCCAGTCGGGCGGCGAAGCGAGCGATCTCGTTGGTTCTTCGCTGGCAAACGGCCTCCAGCTCCCTCCACATGGCCAGGATGCTCTCGTTGTCGGACGCCAGCAGCAATTCGTTGTCCGTTAGGGCGGCCTGCGCCTCACGGATGCCGGCGTCGATAGCTGCCAGAACCTCCTTCACCTCGTCCGCTGCCCGGATGATCGCGACTTCCACGTCCTCGCTGATCGCCCTGACATCCTCCGCGTACTGCATCTGCGCCTCCATGTGGCGGTCGCGACGACGAACATCGTTGAGCTTGATCTGGCTCGGGCCCTCCTGCGGTCGGTGCGAGTGCGAGCTCTGGTTGTCTTCGGCGCCTACGACGAAGTAGTCGTCTTCCAGCTGCCGAACCTCCGACACCAGTCGCGCCTCCTCGGTGCTCGCTGGCAGCGCCTCGAACGCGATCCGGTTCCGAGCCTGCGCCAGCTTCGAGTCCTCTTCATCCTCCGCCAGCGCCCTCTGCTGCTCTTCCTTGAGGTAGAAGGACGCGGAGCGCGCTTTCTTCTGGTTGAGGACGCTCAGGAGCTGCACCTCGGCCCGAGACTTGAGCGCCATGGCGTCTGCTTCCGACGACATCGCCGCTGTGCCCACCTTGCTGGGCTTGAGCTGATCTTGGCGTCCCTGGGCCTGTAACGGACAGCGCGACCGAAAAACTACTCGACCGTGTGGAGAGGGCTAACTGCGTTTCTTGTTAAGGGCATTCGTCTAACCGCAATATGGTAAATTAACTCGTCCACCACGACGACAAGCCCAGGCCGTCCTCGTCGATCGTTCCCTGCACATTGAAACACGCATGCGGCCGTCAGACATTATGCACAAGCAGCACCAACAGAGAGGCTTGGTTGGTGATTCTACGCACCAGGATGTGAATGGCAGACGGCGTGGGGTCGTTGTCCGACAGATCCACGCTCGACGACCGCCGGCGAGCCAGCGACTGCCGCATGTCGCCCGCGCTGACCTCCTTCTCCGCCTTGTCCGTGGCCTCGGTCGTCGTGGCTTGAATACCTGTCCAGCAGTCGACATGACATGCAACGCCATTAACGACCTCGAGACAATGGGGCTGGCAGAGCTTAATGGCACAGCCTTCTTTCGTACCCTTGGCCGTCTTGGTCACCCGCGTGAAGTTGATGTTGGTCACGCGGAAGCGGATCTCCTCGTGCAGGTCCATGTAGAACTTCTCCTGTCCCTCCGAGTACTTCCACACCCACAGTCTCTCCGCCGTGTCACTGCAACAGCAACAGCAACAAACATCAAGCAAGTGGCAGTGAGTGCCAGACTGCTGCAACAACAAGCCAGCAGGCAACGCACAAGTAGGACGGGGTCTGCAGCGCGTAGGACGGGATGATGATGTCCTGCACAAAGTCCATGGACACGCGGATGTGCTCCTCCGTGCAGCTCACGATGCGGCCCTTGAGCACCTCCCCCACGAACGGGCGGAACACGACGAGGCGGAACTCGACCTGCGAGTGCGACGTGCCGTCCGACGGGTGCACGAACGCGTCGCCGATGCTCACGAAGTCGTAGAGCGTGATGCAGAGCCCCACGTCCGCGATGACCTTGTTGGCGTACTTGCGGTCGATCTCCTCGATCAGCACCTGCGTGTAGTCGGCGTCGAACAGCTCCGGCGCCACGGGGATCACGTCCGAGATGCGCGTCAGCACGAACATGGCTCTACGGTGCTGGGACTTTGGGCCGCAACGTTAGTCTTTTGACTGGAGACAAACGGGCTGAGGCACGCTTGTTACAGTGTCAAAGCGGTGCAACTTACTTACATAATGTATGTAATGCTGTAACAATTTCAAAGCGGTTTATAGACAGTTTTGAAAATTATTGTAGCGTATTCCAAGCGGATCGGCCCCAGTAAGGTAAGATACCGATTAGTACACCCTCAATAGGCCCCGAATGTACACAATATTACGCCGCGTCGTAATCGGTATTATACGTTAAATGTGTATCGCGAACTGTATCAAGTTGAGAGCGGTTCCAAACGTCGAAGCTGGTACAGTTTTTCACCGTCCCCAGCGGAACCTCGACCACACGCGATCTGCCCCAGCAGACCAGACCTCCTCTCCGTCCCTGCCCAGCCTCACCGATGGCCGAGTCCTCGCCGCTCGCTTCCCCGTCGCTGCGGCAGCCGCAGCAGCAGCAGCAGCAGCGGAGCCCGCACACGCCCAACGGCTACGGGTCGCTGTCCGTGGCGACGACGACCCCCGGCGGCTCCAAAGTGGACGAGCGCTACCGCCGCTCGCAGGTGTCGCACGCGTTCCTGCTCAAGAAGGAGGCGGACGTGGAGGCGCAGCACCTGGCCTCGCCCTCGCGCTCCACGCTGCGCGTGCAGGCCGCCATCAACGCGTCGCTCGCGGCCAACGTGGTGCGTACCCGCCGTTCTACTTCTGCATTGCATTGCACTGCATTCTACCTCTACGCACCCACAATCGACTAATTAATCGACTATCGTTGCTCTAGGCGCTGGCCGTCGTCAAGATCTACGCGGCCTTCACGAGCGGCTCGCTGGCCGTGCTGTCGTCGCTGGTGGACTCGATCCTGGACCTGACGTCGCAGGCGCTCTTCTGGTACTCGGACAAGCGGATGCACACGCCCAGCGTCAAGTACCCGGCCGGCAGACGGCGGCTCGAGCCCATTGCCGTCATCATCTCGGCCACGTTGATGGGCATGGCAGGTGAGCAGCAACTGCAGCAGCAACAGGTTACATACATCTTCTAATCTTTTTTTCTGCTTGGGTCTTCGAAGCGATTGAAGTGATTCAACAGTCGGTGGAGGCGCTCATCAAGGGATTCAACGGCCACCAGCGGGTGCTCGAGATCTCCAACTTCACCATGGTCGTGCTGCTGGTCGCCATGGTGGTCAAGCTGGCGCTGTGGTACGTCTGCGCCAAGATCGCGTCGCACTCGCCTTCGGCCGACGCACTCGCACAGGTACCGTGGGCCTCCTCCTCCTCGCGGCCAGTCAATCTCGACGCTCGTTTAACACTCTCGAGCCGCGTTTATGAACACAACCAACCCTGACTCCCGCTGCCCGTGCTGTGCTGTTTGGTGCTGTGTAGGACCACCGCAACGATGTCTTCAGCAACACAGTCGCAGTCGCCGCCGCCTTCGCCGCCCACTGGCACTCGAGTCTATGGTACCTCGACTCGGTCGGCGCCATCGTGATCTCGGTGTACATTGCCGTCAGCTGGCTTGCGACTGGAAAGGAGCAAGTGGAGCGCCTCGTCGGCCTGCGTACGTGCCGCCAACTACCCTCTGTTTTGTTGCGTAGTTTACTGTTGCCCTAACTGTACTCGATGCGCGTTGCATTCACTTGCACATTCGCAGAGGCCGACCAGGAGTTCATCGATCAGATCCGGCTGCTGGGCGACGTCCACCACCCGATGATGAGAACCGACATCGTGCGCGCATACCACTTCGGCAACAACTACCTCGTGGAGATGGAGGTCATCCTGCCCGAAGACATGTGCGTCAAGGACGCCCACGACATCAGCCTCAGCTTGCAGGACAAGGTGGAGGAGCTAGACAACGTGGAGCGTGCCTTCGTGCACGTCGACTACCTAGAGCGCAACTACGACGAGCACAAGGACCCCACGATTCGCCGCGACTCCCCCTAGTCGGGTGTTGCCACCGGCACTATAATACATGCACATACCCAAACCAAAAACTTTCAGGCAGAACTTTACATCACGACGCCATAGTCACGCCGGTGATCTATGTCAAACTCTGCCCTCTGTTCCACGTCATCGAATTTCAGGCTACGAGGATCAACGTACGTGCAGTGGTCAGAAACGCCTGCCCCACTGCAGTCGCGCGCGTGGCGATTGCCCTTTCAAACGCTCGCGCGTGCTGCCTGCTGGCAATGGCGATTCTTCTGCTTGACTAGGATCCAGGCTGGAGCTTCTGACAGCGAGTATGACTGATCGTCCTGCGCGGTGATGGTCCAGCACTTACGACGGCGCTCGACGACGGCCGGCGCGAATGAATCCAGAGGTGGCAACTTCGAGCAATAAAAGGAAAGGCACCGAGGCAGCGCTCTCGCAGCTCGCAGCTTGGAGCTTGGACACGTGTGCGTCTCGCTTCTTATTTCGCTGGCGCGGACCAATGCAGGCGAGAGGAGCTTGGATCGATCCAAGTCGAAGTCATTCCTCAACTTGCCATCGCATAGCAACATCCGCAGCTCACACCGACGCCCAAGAATGCAGTTCACTCGCTCCGCTGCTCTCGCCTTGACTGCCACGGCGGCGCTCGCCTTCAAGTCCGCCGACGCGCACGGATACATCTCGAACCCGGCCGCCCAGTTCGTCGACTCGACCAAGTCGACGTACTACGCCAAGACCATCACCGCCGACGTCAACAGCGCCTTTGGTGGCCTCAAGTGGGACGACAGCCCGGAGGCCAACACGGCCACCTTCACCTCGTCCTTCGCCAAGGCCGGCTACTCGTCGCTCCGGGACATGCTCGACCAGCAGGTGACGGACTGCGCCAACACGCGCACTGACGTTTCGCCCGTAGACGTGTCCGGCCTCACGACCATGAGCTGGCAAAACGACCAGGAGCAGAAGGGCTTCATCGACTCGCACCACGGCCCGTGCGAGGTCTGGATCGACGACACCATGGTGGAGCACCAGGACGACTGCGTGGCCAAGTACGGCTCCGGGTACCCGGCCAAGGTGAACGCCGACTTCTCCAAGTGCTCGGGCGACTGCACGCTGCGGTTCTACTGGCTGGCGCTGCACGAGCCCAACTGGCAGATCTACAAGCAGTGCGTGCCCGTCGTGAGCGGCTCGGGGGCTCAGACGACGATGGTGCAGGGCACGGTGGTGCCCGCTGGGTCGACCACTGAGACGGCCAACGAGAGCGACGGCGGCTGCCAGAACCGCGCTCTCCGCACTGCCGATGACGCCCCGACGCACCTGGCCAACGGCGTCAAGATCGACTGGACCGACAACCGATTCCTCCGCGCTTTCAACGAGTTCGCGGCGGGCTTCCAGCTGAGCGAATGAGTTGACTGGTAGCATTCTAGCGAGGCGACTGTGCAGTAGACAACAATAGCGGCTCGCCTTCAAGACATTAATGTCGGTAGCGTAGTGTAATTCGCCATCCAAGGTATCCGAATCTTAATGTGAGTGCGTATCACGTATAAAACCCTGTCCTTGGGTCTTGGATCTTGGTCTCGCAAACGATTGCAGCAGGTCGACTGGCGAAATGGCAACTGAAGATTAGTCCCGGCGATTGTTGACGCAAGTTTTTTTATCGCGTACCCGTTGGTCGCAGCTTCCCTTCAGAGGTCGAGCGCGCGGCACTAAAGAGCTATGTGATCTTGAATAGCCGATCCGGTCAATGTCGTAATGCGGCTGCTATACACAAGGCAGGCTTTGACGATACGCAAACCTTTCGTTTTATTGCTTGAAGGTTCTCGTTCGCGGTGAATTGTTTTGTTGGAGGAGTCACCTCCCATCGAGAGACTTAGAGCTAGTGATATGGAGAATGCATCGGGCGCCATGGCCTCGCGGTTATCGATATTTGTGCGGGTTTTACCGCTGCTGGCGTGGACATCGGCGACGGAGTCATGGCACTTCCATGCTGAAGGGAAACGAGACTCTGGGATGGATACCGTCAACAATGGTGAGGCCCACAGGAGAACGGCGATACATGCCGTGCGCATTTCATATGTTATCCCCCGCATACCAGGGATGACAACACAGTGCACTGTACTACATATACGCTGTCGATACCAATGCCTGGGGGGGGCTACATCATCCGTTGCGCATTCACTTCGCTACAATGTTACCGATTAATTCAGTGCGAGCTCGTTGACCGGCCCCAGCATTGTTCACGATCAATACGCACGATCTGCCAGTTGGGTTCGTACAGCGCCAGCCAGTAGAAGCGTAGCGTGCATTTGTCCGAGCACTTGGAGAAGTCGGTGCTTATCTCCATAGAGTACACGGCGACGTTCCCGGCGAGGCAGTTGTCCCGGTGGTTCATCATGATTTCATCGATCCAGACCTCGCACGGGCCCCGGTGCGTGATCACACCCGGGTTATTCTGCCAGGTCATTGCTGTGAGATCGGACACGTCTACGGGCGAAACGTCAGTGCGCGTGTTGGCGCAGTCCGTCACCTGCTGGTCGAGCATGTCCCGGAGCGACGAGTAGCCGGCCTTGGCGAAGGACGAGGTGAAGGTGGCTGCGTTGGCCTCCGGGCTGTCGTCCCACCGGAGGCCACCAAAGGCGCGGTTCACGTTGGCTGTCATGGTCTTGACGTAAAACGTCGATTTGTCGGGGTCGACGAACTGGGCGGCAGAGTTGGAGATGTACCCGTGCGCGTCGGCAGACTTGAAGGTGAGCGCCGCCGTGACGAGAGCAACGGGGCACACGAGGTACATTTTTGGCGTCGGTGGGGGCTGCAGTTGTTTCTAGGAGATGGAAATTGGGGAATGAATTGTTTTCCGTGCCACTTTTGAAGAAGGAGGGCGCAATCTAGAGCCGGTGCTGTAGTAGTAGTGCCTTCAGCAAAACAATCCTTTTCGTTCGGTATCGATCGACGCCACCAAAATATCCCGACCTGGAACCTTCGTACATGCAGCATGAAAGAGGGTAAGCACCCTCGGTTCCTTCGCTCCACAAAACCCCGTAGAATTTTACCTGATCGCTCGCTGCGAATTTAAACTTGCGGTCTCTCAATCCAAGACGCTCAAGACCATTGCTCTTTGATGCCGCGCGCTCGACCTCTGAAGGGAAGCTGCGACCAACGGGTACGCGATAAAAAAACGTGCGTCAACAATCGCCGGGACTAATCTTCAGTTGCCATTTCGCCAGTCGACCTGCTGCAATCGTTTGCGAGACCAAGATCCAAGACCCAAGGACAGGGTTTTATACGTGATACGCACTCACATTAAGATTCGGATACCTTGGATGGCGAATTACACTACGCTACCGACATTAATGTCTTGAAGGCGAGCCGCTATTGTTGTCTACTGCACAGTCGCCTCGCTAGAATGCTACCAGTCAACTCATTCGCTCAGCTGGAAGCCCGCCGCGAACTCGTTGAAAGCGCGGAGGAATCGGTTGTCGGTCCAGTCGATCTTGACGCCGTTGGCCAGGTGCGTCGGGGCGTCATCGGCAGTGCGGAGAGCGCGGTTCTGGCAGCCGCCGTCGCTCTCGTTGGCCGTCTCAGTGGTCGACCCAGCGGGCACCACCGTGCCCTGCACCATCGTCGTCTGAGCCCCCGAGCCGCTCACGACGGGCACGCACTGCTTGTAGATCTGCCAGTTGGGCTCGTGCAGCGCCAGCCAGTAGAACCGCAGCGTGCAGTCGCCCGAGCACTTGGAGAAGTCGGCGTTCACCTTGGCCGGGTACCCGGAGCCGTACTTGGCCACGCAGTCGTCCTGGTGCTCCACCATGGTGTCGTCGATCCAGACCTCGCACGGGCCGTGGTGCGAGTCGATGAAGCCCTTCTGCTCCTGGTCGTTTTGCCAGCTCATGGTCGTGAGGCCGGACACGTCTACGGGCGAAACGTCAGTGCGCGTGTTGGCGCAGTCCGTCACCTGCTGGTCGAGCATGTCCCGGAGCGACGAGTAGCCGGCCTTGGCGAAGGACGAGGTGAAGGTGGCCGTGTTGGCCTCCGGGCTGTCGTCCCACTTGAGGCCACCAAAGGCGCTGTTGACGTCGGCGGTGATGGTCTTGGCGTAGTACGTCGACTTGGTCGAGTCGACGAACTGGGCGGCCGGGTTCGAGATGTATCCGTGCGCGTCGGCGGACTTGAAGGCGAGCGCCGCCGTGGCAGTCAAGGCGAGAGCAGCGGAGCGAGTGAACTGCATTCTTGGGCGTCGGTGTGAGCTGCGGATGTTGCTATGCGATGGCAAGTTGAGGAATGACTTCGACTTGGATCGATCCAAGCTCCTCTCGCCTGCATTGGTCCGCGCCAGCGAAATAAGAAGCGAGACGCACACGTGTCCAAGCTCCAAGCTGCGAGCTGCGAGAGCGCTGCCTCGGTGCCTTTCCTTTTATTGCTCGAAGTTGCCACCTCTGGATTCATTCGCGCCGGCCGTCGTCGAGCGCCGTCGTAAGTGCTGGACCATCACCGCGCAGGACGATCAGTCATACTCGCTGTCAGAAGCTCCAGCCTGGATCCTAGTCAAGCAGAAGAATCGCCATTGCCAGCAGGCAGCACGCGCGAGCGTTTGAAAGGGCAATCGCCACGCGCGCGACTGCAGTGGGGCAGGCGTTTCTGAACGCCGTCAGCACCGTCGGGAGGCTCGCAGGACTTGTCCGGCCTCAACTCGCTCGGCCTGCCGGGAAATGCGCTGGACGTAACACAGAATTCTAGTGATAGACGGACGGGGGACACTCTGTGGGGCTGCGGCGCCTCAAAACGATTAATCACCCGATGCCGAATGCTCCGACTCAACTCACGTAGCACTTTCGATACGAAGAGGAAGCTGCCAGATGCTTGTTGCTGCGGCTGAGTTGGTGCGGGTTCGAGCACGCATCCAGTAACCAAGAGATTTAATGACATCGAAAGACAAGGGTGTCGTGCTATATACTTGGACTACGGGGGTACATGTAGGCGATGAATTCGAGACACACAAAGCTGCATTATTGCGGACCAGGATCGTTGCTGTTGCGAAGTCTTGACGACTCACCAATGGCTAGATTGGTTAGAGCGCCTCGAAGAGTCACTTTCACTATTAGACTTCGTCCCGAGAGACGCCGCATAGCAGACAAGATGCCCGAGGCCGCCAAGAACGACGCCGCGTCGGAGATCACGGAGCAGGAGTACCGCAAGATCTCGTCGCGGCCGCACCTGAAGCACAACGACATGACCGCCGAGGTGTGTACGGAGACCATCGAGATCATCACGATGGCGTGCGACAAGCACGTGCCCGTCAAGAACTACGAGGCCGCGGCGCAGCTCATAAAGCAGAGCATGGACAAGAAGTTCGGCTCGTCGTGGCACTGCTTCATCGGCGAGGGCTACGGCTTCGACATCAGCTACCAGCAGCGACACATGCTCTACCTCTACGTGGGCGATATTGGCGTGCTCGTCTACAAGTGCTAGACTAACCGCGCAGCAAGTTATTTGGGCTTGAACGTGCTCTTTCTTCTTTATTGTCTTCATCATCTTCTTCCTCTTCTTCGTGTTCTTGGATATTGTACTTCGTGCACTTTCGAGGGCTCATAGACGTCGGCTCTTCGTGCTTTTTGGCTAAACTAACTACAGTACATCGAATTGCCACCACCTGGTCCAGGAGGCTGCGTGCATCAACGTCGGCTACACTGAATCAGCTTTGGTCGGGAACTTGGTGGGCAGCTCCAGAGTCTTCTTGGGCGAGAGCGTCACTTCCGTCCTCCTGTCCATGGCTTCCATGGCTCGGACGAACTCCTTGCTCTCCAGCTCCACGAAGCGAAGTCCGTAGCGCTGGTTTCTCCTCGTGATGCCGTCTTGAGTGACGTCCTGCTCGTTGTCGAAGCAGCCGCGAGTCCTGAGCGCCAGCAGCAGGCCGCAGACGAGGAACACGCCGGCGTACAGGCCGCCTACGATGTAGCAGTTCACCTCCGCGGAGCTGGAGCTCACGCGCAGGCCGTGCACGAACGCTGGCTGGAAGCGCAGCAGCAGGCCGAACACGGGCACGAGCACCATACCCGCCGCCGACAGCGCCATCGCGGCGCGCAGGTAGCTGCTCTCCATCGTCGCAGCTCGTGGCCGTCTGCTCCTTCTCACTCCACTATTGACAAGTGAGCTTGACCGTTTGAAACGAACTCAGACCGGATGGGCCAATCGCATCGCGCGAAGACGTACCTATGATTTCCGGCGGGTACTTGTTGCTGTTGAAGTCGTTGCAAGGCCTGTAAGGCTAATTCGGTGTCCTATGTGCTATTCAGTTTGGTTCGCAGTCCAAGCCATTCTACCTCCTCATGCCTCAACGCCAGGTGAGATTCGTCAGAAGTCCTGTGGTGGTAGTCTATGCTCTTGTGCTGCCTGGTGCCTTGTGGTCGCGGAAGCTCTTGAGCTCGGCGAGTCGCACGAAGCGGTGGTAGATGAGCGGGTGCAGCTGGCTCAGGCGCCCCGGGTTCTCGGCGAAGCACACGAACAGCGTCTTGATGACGGCCGCTATCACCTGCGTGGCCAGCGAGATGGTCGTGTAGCAGAGCGTGAACGCTGTGAGCGTGAAGAAGGTGGCGTGGGTCGATGCGCCAGCGAGGGCCGACGCAGTCAGCGCGCTCATGACGCCCGCCCAGCCGTTGCCTCCGAGCAGCAGGATGCGACTCGTCAAGTCGTCGTCCACGATCGCCTCCACGCCGTGGTGCTCGATTAGTCTCCATGCATCCTGCGCGGCCACATAGTAGGTCTTGTTGTAGCCCGCGATGTGCACGAACGAGTACTTGTGGTACGTGCGGATGAAGTGCTCCACCCGCTCCGAGCGCAGCGAGATGAACCGCCGTGACAGCACCGACTCGTCCCGCCGGGCCCAGCGCAGCGCGTTCCACACGAGGTGAGCCAGGGGACACAGCAGCGAGCCGATGCAGATGGATCCGAACGAGCTTGTCATCGCACAGCGCGCGTAGTGCAGCACCACCTTCCTGTCCAGGTAATCGGCGGGGGCGTCTTGCGGCTGGCCATTGGCATCGCTGGGCGAGTCGTGGTCCGAGATGTTCTCGCGCACGTCAGGCGAGATCTCGGTCGATTCGTTGCGGTAGTACCAGATCATCGTCGTGCCCGAGGCCACGATGGTCAGGATGTTCTTGAGCACGTTGGACGTCCAGTAGAAGTGGAAGACCAGGTAGATGATCGACAAGCTCCAGGGCGACAGCTCGCGGCCAACATAGCCAATCGTCGTGCAGATCCAGCTGGCCCAGATCGTGTACGCCACCAGCACCGCGCACGTGGCATATCCGAGCGCCGGGTGCGCCAGCAGGAACTCGACCACGAGCTCGAAGAAGACGGCGACGAAGTCCAGTCCGTGGTTGGAGCGGACGTACCAGGCCAAGTCGAGCACCACGACGCCCGCGCAGACGACGGCCCAGAACAGGCCGTCGCTGGACTCGAGCAGGAACAGCATGGCCGCCAGCGCCGAGAGGCCCGCGATGGAGAAGACGCACGAGCCCTGCACGAAGCGCAGCTTGGAGTAGAAAATAAATAGCAGCAGCCAACCCAGCGCGAAGAGCACGTTGACCACGCACAGCGAGCGCAGCGCCACGCCCACGTCGGCGTCGTCCTGCGAGTCCTGCAGGCCGCCCACGACGTCGCTGCGCTCCTGCTCCTGCTCCTCCTGCTCGCCGGCCGAGCGGATGCTGCCCGTGGCCACCAGCAGCAGCACCAGGTGCAGCACGAAGAGCCCCGCGAACGGGACGTCGCGGAACATGAGCGGCGACTGCAGCGACGGCAGCGGGCGCGCGCCGCTGGCCGAGTCCGTCATGGACAGCGGGATGAGCTTCGAGGCGGACGCCAGGTCGTAGTCCTCGTCCTCGTCCTCCTCGTCGTGCTCCTGGGCGCCGCGCGGCGGCGCGGGGGACAGCGACAGGTCCACCATGGCCGCCACGGGGGACGACGGCGCGTCCAGCGGCCGGTCGTTGGCGTCGTCGATGGCGATGCTCGACGGCCGCGCGGAGGGCGTCGACGCCATGCTGCTTGATGCGGAGAGCTTCGCGGCAGTTGAGCGCGGAATTGAGAATGAGCCGATGGGATAAAAATAGGACGGAACTCCGATTTACATACCGGGGCACTTATTTCCTACCTCCGATTACCCTTATTACCTACCCTGATTTGGATGTACAGTACTGTATTTGCAGCTTCACTTCGGTGTGGCAGGACTTCTAGACCGAGGAACCGCACGGCAGGTGCATGAACCTGTGCGTCTGCTGCGTGGAGCGACTTGCCTTTGGTGTTCCTAAGTGCTACGACCTCCGTACGCTATTATAGCCTGATGCCGCCTGATGGCCGCGTCGTCCCTAAATTCCCGGCCAGCATCGCCAATGCAGACGCACAGCTCGCTGGTTCTCTCTTCCCCAGACTGCTCGCCCTGGCCGAACGCGCTTCTGGTGCACTGCTGGGCCAGCAGTACTGACACTGGAGCACATCCGAGTGCGCTGCTCCTCCAAGATGCCAACACGAGAAACGTGCGCGTGCTGGGGGAGACGCACCGGAAGCTGCAACAGCGCCATTCACTCCGTGCCCTGCAGTGGCCAATGCCACTGAGCGTCACGGCCATGGCCATATTCATGATCACCACAGCAACATGGGCGCCGCCCGCTACATCCCCCATGCCTGTAGCGCTGGCGGCCACCTCAACGTCGGAGCTCACCAACTCCCGTCTCTGCAACCGCTGAACTCATTCCCGACGCCGGCGCCAGCGCCGAAGCCCGCAGCCTCTTGAAGCCTCATGCGGTGGGCTGTCCTCCACTGGGGCAGCAGAGCGCAGCCCCGGCGGGTTCAGCGGGCCAGCAGCGCGTGCTCGCGGCGAAGGCGTCGGAGCCATGAGCTGGATACTGCTCCGCTTTGTAGCCATGTCGCCTCGTCTCTGCGCCCGCGCCCCTCTCGAAGCGCATATTTGATGCTTTTCGGTGCACTGTTCTTGTCGTCGCCTCGCACCGCAGCGCCCGCATACAAAGATCAAGTGAGTCGCCGAGAAGAGACAATCGCGCTCATTCGAGCTCTCTCCTCCTTGGCGGCGTGATCCTCTCTCTCTCTCTCTCTTTCTCCTGCTGCTGCGACTTCGCCATGGCCAGCTTCGACGCCATCGACCTGCTGCTGCGCTACGAGACGCCGCTCGTCAAGGACATGGAGCCGAGCGACGACGTGCTCGAGTGGGTGGCCGCCTACGTGGGCGGCGACGACTTCCAGGAGGCCATCAACAACTTCTGCGCCGCGCACGTGAGCCACTTCGGCATCCTCCTCACCAAGGGAGGACCCTCCGCCGCCGACCTGGACCAAGTCGAACCGTCAGTAGAGCCGCCCGGCCTCTTGCTCTACCTGTACTTTATCTAGCAGCCCGGTCTAACCTGTCGTGTGTGTGTGTGTGTGTGTTGCTGACGCGCTTGCAGGAAGTGGAAGGAGCTGCACGAGGCCTTCATCGACACGGCCAACAGCCACATCGAGGCCTTCCTGGTCGAGCGCGGCTTCACCATGGACCAGTACAACGCGCGCTGCGACGAGGAGATCGCGCTGTCCGAGGAGCGGCAGCGGCACACGCGCCTGAGCTTCTTCGTGCAGATCCTGCTGGCCTGCTGCGAGTATGAGCAGTTCCTGAACCTCATGAAGCGCGTGGCCGACCCCGAGTACTACGACAAGAAGGAGCTGCAGTACGAGGCCGAGCACCTCGTCTACGAGGCCGAGGAGCGGGGCGCCACCAACGCCGAGCGGGCCGTCGGCGCGCAGGCCTTCCTGGACTTCTTCCAGGCCAACCCGGACTTGACGCTGGACGAGCTCACGCAGGAATTCCAGAAGAAGATGCAGCTCACTTGAGGCCGCGCGCGGCTGCCCCATCGAGCCTGTTTGTATCATGAGCCCAGTCCAGTAGTTACAGTAGACGCACCCAACGCAACACACACACAACCACATCCACATTCAGCGAGCGAGGCGGCAGGAGGCCTAGAAGGCCGGCGCGGTAGAGCGTGCGGCCGGCGGAGGCGTCTGCTTCGGCATGTAGTAGCCTGCCTGTTTGTCTACCCCACCTGCTAGCAGACCTGAAGTTAAGCGCGATCGAAGTGAAGATCATTTGACCCCAAAAGAAACAAAAATGAACAATTCAAATCTGCGTGTTGAAGCTGCTGTCAGCATTGAGCGACCTCGGGGCGTCAGGCAGCGAGGCCACGCTCAGCAGCGGCACGTCCGAATGAAAACGGCACGCGATCTCGACGACATCTCGACAATCGATTTCTGTGCGCGACTCGATCATGTCTAGAGCGTTATCGCCATCTCCTTTTGAGTTTGATATCAGGAGGAGAAGTAGGTCTTGCCACACGAGTTCCCGGAGGCGAGAGCGGATGGAGTTGCTGGTTGCATTTGCTTCGTTGCACTCACGCATGGCTAAGGAGAGGTAAACCTCACGGAAGTCATCGAGCGTCAATCTCCTATCGTCCTTAGGTGCTCGAGTTGCCGCACTCCCGTGTTGAAGCATAAATGTTCGAAGTGCCTCCTTGCCGTGTTGTGACGGTGACACACGTTCGTGTAGCTGCAGGAAGCTGACGATATCAGTGTCCGACAGCTCGTGGTTTCCTCCACGGTCGAGACAGTCGAAAGCCAGCTGCAGATTATCGTCAACCGAGGCTGGAGTCAGCAGAGCATTCACGGGTTCGTCTTCTGGATGTGATTCAGTGCGGCCTGGACGCTCGGCTGATACCGTCACGACGTACTCGCCGGCGCTGAGCGTTCTCACTTCCTGCTCATGCATGCACGTGGGTCAATGGTACCTCATAAACTAGGATACATGCATTACAGTACCTGCTTTCTGCAAATACCATCGCGTCTTCGGTATGTAGTTGAAGCAGTAGCCAAGCTCTCGATGCTATGGTCATCAAGTGGCGTCAACGAAAAATCGTTCTCCACCGCGGCGATACTCATTTGCAACTTGGGCTCCGGGTTCTCTTGGCTTTCACCATCGCTGGCCTCGGACGGGAAGTGAGGAAAATAAAAGCTCGAGAAAGTTACCGTCGAGAGTGTCGGAACGCTGATGGCTACAGTAATTTTCGCTTCACCACGTTCGTGAAGAAATAGTTGTCGCACTTGTTGCTCGTGCCGCCGACCAAGTGCAAGCGTCCACACAACAGGCTCCAGTTCGTGGAGTTGAGCCCATGACAGACGAAGTGAAGTCGGATCTTGATCACGATTGAACTCGGCGAGACTACCGGCGATTCTTTCGCGCAGATACGTTCCTGAATCGTCGTGTAAAATGACACACGAGTCTTCGTCGCTAGAAACCGAGAGCCTGAAAGCACGATGGCTGTCGTCAACCTTCCCAAGCGTACCAACCACAAGGCTCGACGTCACGTCGAATTCTGGCGAGTTGATCGCTCTCCGCTGTCGTGACAACGCTGTTTCCACCGCAAACCGAAGCTGCTCGCTTGGATCCGCAACACCAACCTCTCCACACGAGCTACCATAGCAGCAAACCCTACAAATATGAGGGGTTAGTAAGTAAGCAAGGCCCGAGAAATCTAGATAGATGAGAGATATACGCACCAAGGGCATCCAGTCAGCTCTCGAAGGATGTCAACTGCTGGAATTCCCGATACTGCTGCGTAGCTGCCTTTCAACTTCGCATAAGCTTTGTGTAGAAGGACTGCGTATAGCTCCCCGTCGACGTTGCGTGGTGCCACCAAACCTCGTCCAAGCGGAAATGTAGGGACGAACAGGTCGATAAGAAGGGTTCGCCACGAAACGCCTTTGTTACAGAGCGCCACCGAGATGACCGCCATGGTCTCCACCTCCGACGTAGCATCCAGCGACGGGAACCACCGACGCAACCAAAGTTCGCGAAATGGAGCGATGATTGCCAGCGCACAAAGGAACGAGTCCTGCGATGGAAGTCCCGACGTAAAGGAAGACACAGAGGCCAGCTCTTGGAACGCGGACTTCGACGGCACCTTGTTAGGAGCTACGAACGTCCACGACGAGTCGGCTATAGTGTGCAGGTGCTCCCATGAGCAAAGCGTGTAAACCGCAGAATCTCCATCCGATAACTTGTTTGGCGTCTCCGAAGGGTAAAGCGACTCTGTTGTTGGTGGAAAGCTAGCGTCAATAAACACTTCACCAAACTCGCGAAAGTACCGATTGATCTCGGAGCATGCTCGGTCTATCGCCGTCGCAAGTTGTTGAGGCAGTGCATTCCACTTGCTAACGTGCCTAAACGTCTGGTTGCTGCGCCGCTGGAGCTGCTGGAGTTTTGTCGCTTTCACTTGCTGGGCTTGGACAACTGCGTCGATGGAGGGCGTGCTCACCACCGTCACCGTGTAGTGAACACGAACAAACGCCCGCTTTTTCGCCTTCTTGACCACGTACGCGAGCACACGCCGCTCAAACGGATGGAGCTCGCACTCGAATGCCAGCTCCTGTGTGAATTTGTGCAACGTGTTGGATGCGTTTGGCCCAGGGTGGTGAAGTCTGATGTTGGCCGATTCACTGAAGTCGACGCGGAACGTGATGGTATCAAAGCCAGTGTTCTCAGCGACGTATTGGAGGGCGGTAGAGGACGTGATCGACCCGTTCGGCTTGGGCACCCGCGACTGAAGCTCGCGCTGAGTCACAAACACCGTCACGTTGTGGTGGATCGCCTGCATCGCAGTGTCCTCAGGATCAAAGGATTTAGGATCCAGGTATGCGGCCCTTCAAGATCGAGTTGTGACGATTGTAAACTTCACGGAGAAGATGGAGCTGTGCATGCCTAGAGCCTGCAACCACGACGTTCATCGGGATAAGGACCAACGGGGAGGAGGCATATCCCTCGTCTTGATCGTGGGGCTTCACTCGACTGAACGCCTATTTTGAAACGGGCATTCGGCTACGCGAAACCAAAACGTAAGCTCCGGTCTGTTGTACAATACCAGTCACCATGAGCTCGTTGATGCAACTCAAGGCGCAGAACGAGAGTCGACTAGCGGTATGTAGCTCTGTCATCATGGGGGAGAAGTTCTGGCCCCTAACTGCACTCGCTCCTCCCTGCAGGAAGAGAAGCAGCTGATTGATCGCCGGCGCAACGTTCTGGTGATGATGCTGCAGCACTGCACGGAGAACGGGTATCTACAGACGGCCGAGAAGCTCCAGCAAGAGGCGGGCGTCGCCCTCTCCAAGTTTGAAGTCGTCGAGAACCTCGACTTGCTGCGTATCGTACAAGTACGTGAGGCGCACTTCGTGTATACTCCGAGCCACTCTCACTAACCAGCCTCCATGGTTTGCTAGGAGTACGAAGACTTCCAGGAGATCAAGTTCGGCAAACGCCCCAAACTGGTTCGTCGGTTGTCGCCCGATGGGCAGGACAGAGCTCGGTCTGCGAACGACAAGAAGGCCACAGCAGCGGCCAAGAGAGCTCGCCGCAACGACTACACGTCTCCGCACATGCCGACAGAGGCTCGAGTCGAGAACAATGTTGCTATGCGGACGATCCACAACAACGCTAGCCACGCAGCAACACAAGCTGTATCTGCTAGATCGAGTAAGGATGCGAGTCCACCGCCAGAAGATGACTCGGCAGTAGACCTCGGACTCGTCGGTCAGAAGCCGGCCCAAGCACAGGCTCGGAATGGTAAGGCCGGCGTCGCCAAGAAAGCTCAACCAGCAGATGGCCAACAGCAGGAAGAGAGCATCGAAGAGCGCCTTCTAAAGCCACTGCCGTCATTTGCTCACGACTTGGAGCTTCGACCTCTGGCGGAGACCATCACGCGCGAGATCTTCCAGAAGAACCCCGACGTCCGATGGGACGACGTCATCGGCCTGCACGAGACCAAGCGCTTGCTGAAAGAAGCAATCGTGATGCCGCTCAAGTACCCGCAGCTCTTCCAAGGGCTACTCTCTCCATGGACCGGCATCTTGCTCTTTGGCCCACCCGGAAACGGCAAGACGATGCTGGCCAAGGCCGTCGCGACGGAATGCCGCACCACCTTCTTCAACATCTCGGCTTCGTCCATTGTGAGCAAGTACCGCGGCGACTCGGAGAAGCTCATCCGCATGCTGTTCGAGCTGGCGCGGCACCATGCACCATCCACGATCTTCCTGGACGAGATCGACTCCATCATGGGCCAGCGCGACAGCGGCGGCGGCGGCCAGGAGCACGAGGCCAGTCGCCGCATGAAGACTGAGCTGCTGATCCAGATGGACGGCCTGGCCAAGACTGACGACGTCGTGTTCGTGCTAGCGGCCAGCAACCTGCCGTGGGATCTGGACGCGGCCATGCTGCGGCGGCTCGAGAAGCGCGTGCTCGTGGATCTGCCGTCGGCCGACGCGCGCCAGGCGCTCTTCGCCTCGTTGCTGGAGCCCTACACGCCCAGCGACTTCGACTTCAACGAGGCCGTCCAGCTGACCGACGGCTACTCTGGAGCGGACATTAAGCTGGTGGCGAAAGAGGCCTGCATGGCTCCAGTGCGCCGTCTCATGGACAAGCTCGAGACCTCGGTCGCCCTGCCCGCTGCCGGCAGCTGCAACCAGGGCCGAGACGCGTCTCCGGCGGATTGGAGAGAGATGCTGGGCCACGTGCAGCCCGAGGACGTGCTGGCCGCGCTGCAGAAGACCAAGCCGTCGGCGCAGCAGCTGCTGCGCAGGTATCAGCAGTGGCAGGCCCGGTTCGGCTCCATGTAGGCGATTGGTAGATCCACTTCAACTTTGGTGTAGCCATGCCACTCGGCCGGGGAGTTTTAGTGCCCTCTAGAGTAAGACATTGTCAAACAGACTACAGTAGTCGAGTAGACAGTGGCATACTGACCGGTACAAACCGGTACTGCTCGAAATTGACTGGCTGTCGCTGGTGGCTCCAACGCGCCGGCCGGCCGCGCCAGTCCTCGCATTCTACTGCACTACCTCATCGACATCAACGCAAAAATGGTAAGCTGGGAGCGTCCTGTAGGATGCCTGTGCAACTGCAGCGCAGCGGGCGCCGGAGGATGAGCGTAGCATGAACGAAAAGAGGAGACGCGAGCGCTTCTGCTCCGACCTTCGCCGGGCTCGACGAACGCCTAGGGGACGCGCAATTACAGGCCAAAGTCAGGCGAAGTGAAGAGCGACGCTTGTCAAATCTTCCGTCCGAGGCGCCCGCGTCCGCTGCAGTTACCAGTCAGCACCAATGCAAACACAGCCGAAGGAACAGGATGACTAACTGGAGGTGTTTACCCATTGGCAGGATGCCCCTCGTGACTACATGCTGGCTAAGGTCGTGAACGTCCTCGGACGCACGGGCAACACGGGCAACGTGACCCAGGTGCGCGTGGAGTTCCTGCAGGACGACAAGCGTAAGATCATCCGCAACGTCAAGGGACCCGTGCGTGAGGGCGACATCCTGTGCCTGCTCGAGTGGGAGCGTGAGGCTCGCCGCCTGAGATAAGCGGAGTCAGTCTGTCCAGCCACGCTTCGGCTGCAGTAATCGGACGGCAATTTCTACAGGGCAGGGAAGGCAGAGGGGGGGAGCAGCGCAGCGCGGACGACTGTTGCCAGGCGCCGGTGATGCAGATTTTTTCTCGAGTCTTCTCGTCGTGGAGACTACGTGTCGTTTGACCTTCGCTTCGACGGACTGCAGCGTCTGGGATTCGACCACTTCGGCAATGACTGGAATGGGAGATCCGGATAAAGGGACGAGGACGCCAGTCTTGGTAGGCCGATTTAATTCGCGGTAATATTTCGATGAGAACAAATGAGCGTCGCTGTGTGTTGCGCGCTGGCTTGGTCCGTGTCATTGAGTGCGTTGGCTGCTGCAGGGTAGTCTCACACAGGTGGACACGGAATCGAGAGGACGAGCGTACCAAAGCAGCCTTGCCATGATTGAAGATAAATTCCGGGGGTTGGAGCTCCCGTCTGGCGGACATTCCTATAGGAATCGTGGTGATCCCACGACTGCCACAGCCTTTGATCGAACCACGTTTAACAACGAAGAATCTGTCACACACCAGGAGAGCATTATACTGCTGCTGCCTACCCACCTACTCTAACTCTACTTGTCGACTTTCACCAGCTAATTAGATCTGTTGCCATGCTAAATGCACTGTCTTCGCCGCGGCCGCCACGCCATGGGTTGCGTGCAACGGGTTGCCATTAGGCGGAAGCTCTGCGATATCAGTCGACTTTACTCCAATACCGGCGCCACTACCAGTGATCTTCAGGTTCAAAGGTCGATTAAAGCTGGAGAGCGGCTGCCGCTGCCCCTACCTTTATACACACTCCCACACGTTGATGATTTTGTCGATGCCGCCGGAAATGATCAGCGGGAGACTTGGGTGGACGTCAAGGCACGTCACGAAGTGGCTGTGCGCCTCGTCCAGCGTCCGCACACACCGGCCAGTCTGCAGGTAAAAAGTAACAGAGAGCTTAGTCAGATCACGCCAACACACACCAACGCAGCACAAACTAAACAGACTCACCTCAATGTCAAACACGCGAATGCTCTTGTCCTCGCCCGCACTAAGCGCGTACTTGCCGCTGGGGTGGAAGCGCACCTCGCGGACCCAGTTCTCGTGACTCGCGAAGAGCATGAGCTGCATGCCACTGAAGGCTTCCCACAGACGGACCGTTCGGTCGCGCGAGCCAGACAACAGGAACTTCATCCGGCGGGGAGAGCTGCTGGCAACAGTGACTGCCCCCGTCGGTTCTCCTGCCGAGCTGCCAGTCATGTCATGGTCGTCGGACTCGGGGGAGGCGTTCCCGTTGGCCGTGATGAGCGCTCCTGTCGCCGAGAGCTTCTTGGAGTGCGCCCGCTCGATAACCTGTTCCTGAATCCCTGTCTTGGCGAACACCACGCTCTCCACGACGTGCTCGTGTTCGCGGATCGACTGCAGCACGCGCATGTGCTGGAGGTCCCAGAAGAGGATGGAGCGGTCGTTGCCGCACGACGCCAAGTACAGTCCGTCGTCGCTCACGGCCACGTCGCGCACCCAGTCGCTGTGGCCCGCGTTGAGCGTGTTGACGCAGTAGCCCGTGGAGAGCTCCCACACCTTGATGGTGTTGTCACGCGAGCACGAGTACAGTCGGTCGCTGGCGAGGTCGGGCCCGAACACGATGCCGCAGACGTTGTGGTCGTGGCCTCGCAGCGTGCGCAGACACTCGTAGTCGCCGTCGCTCGAGAAGTCCCAGATCTTGATGGACAGGTCCGTGGACGTCGAGGCCAGCAGCGACCCGGAGCCGTTGAAGGCCACGGCCTGCACGGGGTTCGTGTGGCCCTTGAGCGTGCGCTCGTACTCGCCCGTCTCAAAGTCCCAGACCTTGACGCTGGCGTCCTCGCTGCCCGACACGAGCACGCTGAAGACGGGGTGGAAGGCCACGCACGTGATGGGCGAGCGGTGGCCCGTGAGCGAGAACTTGGCGGGCGCGCGCGGCAGGAACTCGGAGCGCTGGCGGGCGCCCAGCACGTCCCTGCGGCTCAGCACGCCGCCCAGCTTGGCGTTCTCCTCGAGCTGCGCGACCTTGGTCTCGAGCTCCATGACCTTGCGCTGCAGGCGGATGACGGACGTCCACTTCTTCTCCAGCAGGCCGGCGTGCTTGCCGTCGCTGGACTTGCTCACGTCCGCCTCCTTCTCGAAGGCCGCGGCCGAGTCGGCGAAGCGCTCGCCCATGCCCACGAGGTAGTCGAGCATGGCCTGGTGGCTGCACACGGAGAGCGTTAGAGCGAGGAAGGGAGGGGGGAGAGGACGCAGTAGATAGAACAGAGAGGGAAAGGTACGCACAGGTCCTGCCGCTGCTTGTCCGTGAGCACCATGACGCCGGCGGCCGGGGGAGGGCGAGGGAGGCTGGTCTAATTGTAACACTTGCGCTTGCTCGCCTTTGAAGACGGAAAAAGCACCAGGAAGGCACTGGCGCGAGGGGCCAACCTCGGCACAGTGACCTGATCGGTCGCAATAGACGCACTCTCGCTACAGATCGTTGTAGCGGGACATGGGAGGACGACGCACTACCATTGCGGCGACTGCACTCGTGCTGGTGTAGCTGACGCAGTTAAGATCGACCAGTGGTGACAGAATTGCCGTGCAGTGCGCACCTCATTCCGTCTCGTTGCAGCAAACAGAGTCGGTTTTGACACACTTCTCGCGATCCGCACTGTCAACGAGCCTATCAACCAAAAGGCTCAATCAAGCTCGCGTGGATTTGAGCAGCTACTCAAATCCAGACAGCGCAGTCACAGCGGGGCTGACCGCTTTGCCGCCACCCGTTGACAAGCAAGCTCAGTTTTTGCCAGGGAGTCGGCGACCGCGGATTTTTCGTGTCGGTATGAAGGATCCGAATCGATGCAAGCATCAAGCCGTGCAAACCGCGACGAGTGTCGATCGTCTAAATGCGCCCTATTGCCTGCTCTCTGCATCGGTACAAGCCCGGAGAACGAAGAACGAGCAAAGGGATCCTATGATTTTCCACTCAGAACGAATGCTAAACGCGCTCGCGCAACCAAGATCGCAGCTTGAACCTCCACCTGCCCACCGACTTACCTATGCTTTTGGTGGTTTACGGGCACGCCGCTTGCTTTGCGAGCCAAGTTCTTTCGGGGCAGTCGACTGGCAACATCTGCGTCGCGCTCATGGCTGGAGCCCAGCAGCCTATTTTGGAGCTCGGCTAACGCAACGCCCAGCTCGCCGACATACTGCACCGAGAGCAGTCGCGGAATTCTGCTGCTGGAATGATATCATCTGCTCGACCAGAGGTCCGGACGCCAAAGTGTCGACAATGGCGGCTCGACGCCGTGAAGACAGGCTCGGCTCGGCTCGACGCCGTTGCAGCCACGAAATGGTCGGTTGTCGCCGCTGGAAGGGAGAGATGATCGCTTTGGGGCGCTCGCACAACGCGGTGCCGTTTGACTCTGCGAGCGATGGCAAACGCGAGCCACATTGTACAGCGGCACCCAGGTGTATTGTAAAGCGGACACTACGGCGGACTCGGCATGAAGCGCAGCGGACACTTCGTCCTCGAGCGGTAAGAGCAATCCATCTTATCGCCCCGTGAAGGACGCAGCAGTTGTTTCAACGACCCAACGCCACCGTTCGTGGAGCAGAGGGTGCTGGCTGTGCTGCTTGGTTCGGCCGTGCAGTGCAGCGTGATCCTATCCTACAGTAGTCGACCGAGGGAGCCCCGCTTTTGTTGTTCGCGCCGCGGTCACAGCTGGCGAGACAGAAACCATGAGCCCTTTGGTAGAGGTTCACGCCAGACTCGCCTTCAGTATCGGGGTCAAGCCTGTCACTGCCGTTTCTTGAGTTAGTGGTGAGCTTGGAAGGTGCATTGGTGCCTGGTATCCAGTCGGGGCATGTGGTCATCTGGCGCTGGCGTGCTGCGGCGTCGTGGCTTGGCGGCTCGGGAATAACGTGGGTGCGTCGGAAGTCCGCATCGAGAGCGGCCTCATTCACCAAGTTTCCCGCTGCCCCGCAGAGTCGTCTTCACCGAATCAACACTAGAGACAAATGGTTCGCCTTGCTGCCCTCGCCGGTGCCTCCGCCGCCGTGCTCGCCTCCTCCGCCGACGCCTTCACGGTGACCATCATCAACGCGTGCTCGGGCGACATTGAGCTCTACACGCGCCTCGCCAGCGTCTACACGGACGAGAGCGAGACCATCGCCTCGGGCGCCTCGGTCGACAAGACCATCGAGAAGGGCTACGAGGGCCACTTCCGAAACGGCTCGAGCGACGCCGCCACGCTCATCGAGTTCGCCACCAAGGGCGACCTGGACCTGGCCTGGTTCGACATCGGCATCATCCCGCCGCACCTCGAGGCCGGCTTCGAGTATTGCTCGAGCCTGCAGGAGTGCAAGGACCACTCGTCCAGCGGCATCGGCTTCAACACGCCCGTGCAGGTGACGCCCAAGTCCAACACGAACGGCGACAACTGCCGCGAGATCACGTGTCTGGCCGACGGCTGCGAGGACGCCTACAACTACCCCAAGGACGACACCAAGACCCACTCGTGCACGTTCGGCACGGACTTCGAGGTGACCTTTTGCCCGTCGGGCGATGCGTCCACGGCCCAGCAGGACCAGGAGCAGCAGGAGCAGCAGCAGACGTACTCGGCCTCCACCTCTGCCTCCGCGTCGCAGGACGCCACCCAGCAGCAGACCACGGAGGAGACACCCGCTCCCGAGACGACCGAGGCTCCTGCTACGGAAGCCCCCGCCACCGAGGCCCCTGCCACGGACGCCCCTGTGCAGCAGTCGTCGGGCTCGGACGCTGGCAAGGTGCACTCGCAGAACGAGGACGTGAACGGCGAGTCGGAGACGACCGCCCCCGACGTGACCCAGGCCGAGACCCCCGCTCCGGAGCCGACCCCCGCCGTCACGCCGGCCGCCACCAAGTCCAAGTTCTGCGTGTAAACGACTCGGCCGACGCAGGTCAAACCCTTTTTAGCTGTCCATAAGATCTCTAGCCGTCCATAAGCTATTACGCGTAGATGAAAGCTTAGAAATTTACCGACGTGTACTTTATCTCTAGCGTTCGCTCGTCTTGCAGACCAAACTTTACAGTACATGCAGACGAAAACCTCCTTGGCAAAACTTTTGCCTTAAAGTCAAGACTCTGGACTTGTTCGGTTCTAAGATTCTACCCCTTCAGAAGGCTTCGACTGAAGATGATGTCAAAGTGGAGGAAGGCACCAGAGATGCAGAGCTCGGTATTACCTGCTGATGTTGATACCTCGCCATCGAGCGATACGCTCAAGCAAGAGGAGAGTGGTGATGATGACGAAGAAGACGAAAGGGGTCTCGCTGGAGATACGGGAATTTATGATTTTTTCCTCGTATTTCCCATATCCTGGTAATCACTGACATGTATGTGAATATGGGGGAAATTGCGGGTTCTCATAATAGACACGTCAATTGAAGTGCTTTGTTGGAGCAAAGCACTTTCCGCCCGGGTTAACAGTCTAATCATTTTGCTGTAGGAACTACAGTACAGTACCTACAGTAATTGCCAGATTCCGGACCGGAATCCGGAAACCTGTCAAACCTGCAATAGAGACACACTGGCGAAACATAAAATCACTTGTGCCAATCAGCGCCCACTTATTCATTCCGGACAGCGATAGAAAGGTATGAAAATCGGGCTATTGTAATTTACAATTTGTAAACATCTCGGTTCAGTTTTTTTTAAGCACGACGCAGGGACGGATGGCAGGCGGCTAGGAGTGCATGGCGGAGGACTGGAGCGCGAGGAAGAGGACAGGTCACGGTGCGCCGTGGGCGTAGATGCTGTTGTGCCCCACCACGGCGACACGGAAGCGGTGATCGGCGGTGGCCACAGCTTCAGCGTGATCGCGAGGAAGAACGCGCAGAGCGCCGTGCCGTCAGGAGGCGCTCCAGCGTGCGAGCTGGACGTGACCGCGCGAGCATAAGGAGGAGGCGGGCGCGACGAGTGGATGCTCAGTCGCTTCGAGGCGCTGAGTGACGCCGTGCGGCCCTAGGACCCTCTCCGTCGAGGCCGAGCTGTACGCCATGGAGGCGACGCGGCATATGCCGATGCGCAAGCAGCGCATAGCGAGCGCGATGTGAGGCAGGAGGCGCTGCAGGAGTAGTGCGCGCACGGGCGGACCCACTGGTGACCGAGTCAGATTGAGGCGGTGGTGCCGGGCAAAGATTAGGCACGTGAGAAGGAGGAAGAGGAGACGGAGAAGCTCGAGGCGCATACGGCGACAAGCGGGGCTGCGCGTTGAGTGAAGTGCGGCCGACTGAGGACCACGGAGGTGACGAGGGACACGACCGTGACGTCAAACCACGTCGCTCTCGACGGCAGCAAAGTGAATGGCCTGGCCGCGGGTGCCGTTGGCACCGCTTCTGCTATCAGTTCGGCCGTCAGTGTCACCCGCTCCAAGCGGCGTCCGCCGCCCGAGACGAAGGAGACGGTGCCGGCGAAGGCGGTGAGCAGCGAGGTCGAAGCGATGACGCGACCCGCATCGCATTACAACAGTCACGACGAAGAAGCACGTGAAGTTCGAGAGCAAGGTCAAGGAAGCTTTCCATCGAGGTGGCGCCTTCCCGCCAAGAGCAGGAGCTGCTGGCACAGCTGGAGCACAAGGTCAAGGGGCTGTACGTGCAGGAGGGTGAGTGGGGGGGGGGGCTGGAGGACAAGTCACAGAGGAGGAGCAGGCGCGCGCGAAGTGGGCTGGACTACACGAGACGCTAGCCTCGGCACCATACACACCCGCGCAGTCCGAGCGGGAGAAGACGCTGAAGTAGATACGGCGGCAAGGCAGCCCAACGTGGACGGTCGGGACGACCAATGCGTAGCTAGACCCAGTAGAGACTACAGAATTTTGCAAAACTCGGAAGTTCGATGATCATCTAGGACATTAGTTATCTACTGAGCTTATTCTGCCTTTCGTTTACTCGGCCACAGAAGCGGTCTACAGCGGTTTGCGTGTTGGAGTCGGCCTTGACCTTCCAGCGACGGTTGTCGAGACCACGAGAAGCTCGCTGTCAGTCTTGGGCAAGTCTGAATGTGGCTACATCCGGCAGGTATAGCACTTATCGAGTAAGAACGAGAAACATCTTTAGTTTTGTATGGTTACTTATTTGCGCGAAGCAGGAAATCTCGGACGATTCCAGAAATAAGTAGGAATGGAATAAACCTAACCCTAATGTGCGACGATTGGATGAAAATAGGTAATTAAGCATGAAATGATAAGAAAAAAATCACTGATTGGCTACAGCGAGGTGGCAAGCTTTGCATAGGGGTCGGGTGTCCGGCCAAATACTACTTATCCTACAGTAATTAGTCTGGCCCAGACTAAATCTGAATACCGCAATTCGCATGTAGAGAGCTGCACCCTATGTTCACCCCGGTAATGTTGATCTGTATTCGTACTTAAAAGTATCAAAAGTATCATAATAAGCATACAAAATTCAACATGTTGTATAAGTCACAAGTTGTGACTCACAACTGTAATATTGTGGTTATGTCTGGTACAATAATTAGTCTGATTGGATAAAAATATGTAGATCGCTTCATATGATTGGTCGATGTAGGTGCATCCCATAAGCGGGTGCAGCTGTCAACATGCGAATTGCGGTAGCAGATTTTTCATTGCCCACAATTATTAGTCTGGCCCCAACAGTGACAGACTAATTTTGAATTCGGACTAATTATGAATATCTAAAAATATCCGTTTTCAAGTAAGAAAAAAACATTATTTTTGTGAAATGGTATGTTTATACGTAATTTCAACTATTTTTTATAGTATACCTATATTTATCGTGGCTTTAAGGAGAAATAAAGACTAAATTATCGCAGATGCTGCTTCTCTAACGGTTAGAGAAGGCTATTCGATGGGTTCGATGCCATGTTCGCTCAGGTATCTATTATATTTTCCAGATATCAGGTTCTGTGTGGTAAATTGGCTGCTGTCAAGTGCTTTTTCAAAAATCAGTGCCGTAAAGTAGGTAGAGATTGACTAGAATCGTGGTCACCACGACAGACTAATTATGAACATTTTTAGCCAGACTAATAATGAAGACGTCAATTTTTGCTTGACACGAATTAGTCTGGCCCAGACTAATTTTGAGCCCAGACTAATTACTGTAGGCACTGTAGCTGTTTTTATAGCTAGTTGTGTCAGTAGCTTGAAGCTACTGATACAACTAGCCTACTAGCTTGCATTAAATTTCTCGTATTTAACGTAGTTAGTTGCAAGATTTATTCTGCAAGCAATCCGCTCAATGCACGTGTCCACTATTTAGGCCATGAGGAGTCCACATTCGCATTTTCGATGAAGTAACTTGTGTTTCGCATACGGAGTAGAAGGTCCGTAAAAAGAATGCTAGAATGCAAACGTAAAGGTCTTATCCACTGCATGAGGCAGCTATTTGTTATTTTTGCGGCCCTCTCTCGCTTGCTCGGACACTACCGAATAACACAAGTCGACCACATACCAGCAAACGGTGAATGCATCAAAGACATGTAAATTGTAAGCACGTTGTAGACGGGAACCTCTCACTTCTCTAGCAAAGTCTCGTACCTGACGATGTGTTTATCAGTTTCTGCACACAAAGATCCTGCTGGGTTCAACGACAATGAGATTAAGTTGGTTGGGTGGGGCTTTTCATCAAGGAAAATGAGGCGTTCAGCAAGGCGATTTGAAAACGGTGGTTCATCGAGGGCTTTTCTGTAATTGGCGATAAATCAAGTCAAAAAGACCATGCTTACAAATTGCTAGACTTGCTCAGTACCTGCATGCAGCTCTGCGTGCAAATGAGACTTCGAGAGGTAGTTCTGGGACAACGTGCAGATTCTGCGTGGCCTGAGGTCAGATAAGAAAGCGGTGACGCCTGCGCAGAGTTCAGAGACCAAGTGTAAATCGCTGGCATCCACTACATACGCATAGCGGCGTAGATTGTGCTCCATCTAGTCGACATTGACCTCGTCTTCTTCATCGGCGCTGTCGCGCTGGGCCCGATTAGCGGAGCCATGCACTTGTGTCTGGTGGCCTGGTGTTGTCGTCGCCGCCAAGTGCGGGGACGACGGGCCCGCAAATTTAGTATACATTCCAAGGCCAAGTAACCTACGACGCTCTTTGCAAGCAATATATTGCGTGCATATAGTGAGGCTGGTAGACTTGTGTTAAGAGGTCGGCTATTCACGTAGGCTGGTAGCCACCATTACCACCGCTGCGAGTGGGATCCCCCCCCCCCGCCTGACTGATCAAACTACAAACTTGTAATGCGCTGAGCTACATCGAGTACAGGTACTGCCGCCTATAACGAAACAATTTTACGCAGGTTAGTGATACATCCCCAGCCACCATTATACAAGTATGAACAAATAATAACATTGCGGTACGCCTACTAACAAGTAGCCACCGACCAAGTTTCTTACCGTGGGTCTACCGGTCGCGGATTGTGAGTTTAACTGCATGGAATGCCACTCATGCGTCGCACTTCTCCTCGGCATGTGTGCACGCCTGAACAAAACCACTCTGGGCATGCCGCTAGAATACGAAGAATTATGTTTCAACCCCGTAATATGTCATTTCCACTGTTGCTGCTGGTACGAAGCGAGTGAATGCGCTTATAGCGGTGCGTGAAGGCGAGCACAGGTGCGGAATGCAGCGTTGGTTGTCTCCCATGCATCGCCGTGACGTACGAGTGTCCTAGTTTTTCTGGTGTACACTACAAATCGGCAGACTGCCGCTCACAGGAATACATATAATAGCCTCGACTACTCTTGCACAAGTACCTAATAGCGCTCCTCGACCATGCCAGCTCCGACGGCCAGCTCGTGCTCCAGCGACCCGCCAAGATGCACGCCCAATATGTCCTGAACGTTGTAAATGCCGCGGTTTACAGTGAACAGCCGACGCTGCAAGTGGACGGCATACTATACACTATGCCAGGCATAGTAGAGTAGCGTGAAGGCCCCGACGACGGCTGAGGGGGAAGAAGATGGACGGCTTATCGTCAGTTGAGGTACAGCCCGGATGTGGCCGGCATCGGCCAGGATGCCGTCGCAGTACTGGACGTCGCTGCTAATGCAAACTCGATAGATCACCACGGTCTCAGATCTGTTCTCGCCGCGGCTGTCTCGGTGACACGCTTGAGTTCCTAACGGACCGACAGAACGATAATATGGTGAGCGCAACATCAAATTAGAAGTACAGATATACGTTGTTCTACCTTGTATCATAGCAACATATCTAGCAAAAGTGCTTGAGGTCATTGTGTGTTGTGCTGTGACGCACAGCACCCGCTATCGCTCGATCTGTTCCTTGCCATGCTCTCGGAAGAGCAATTGGCGCCGCTTCATTCCCGTTTGTCCAGCCTCGCAGCTCCACGGGTACCCCAAGTCACCCGTGAACGTGTCCAGCATGACCTCCCCAGCCACGGTATTATTATGCGCTGAACGTCTCCGGCAGCATGCCAATAGACGCCTAGGTGCAACGTGATTCAGAGCTACAGCACTAACTAACACGTAAAGAAACTTGATGGACGACCGAAGTCCTCACGGTACACTTCCGTCGTGATGCCCTCGCTGAACCGACTCTGTTATGCAAATCCTCGACGAACCACCCTTTTTTGCGGTCCTTGACGAACCGCCACGATTCAGGTTGGTTTAACGTGGAAAAAAGAGATGTAGATAAGGAACTCACGAGCAAATTGGCACAAAGGTCAATGACCTGTGCAAAATAGCAAGCTGATACCTACAGACAACGACGGATAAATCCGGCACCACTGAATGGCATCCTCCATAGTAAATGTGCCAGAATTCTCTGTCAGGAACGATAGAGATTGTACAAGGCAATGACATAAAATACACGTAACGGAGCATAAAGTACACACAAATTTAGAGAAAGTACTTAAAACCATGTGGATTACAAATGTCAAGTGTAAATCTCGAAGATGATTGGCTATCTGAATTACTTATTGTAAAAAGTACAACATATGTGTGCCGGGTTTTGCGTTGCCGTATTTATCCGTCGTTGTCTGTATCGCCAGCCTCCGTCATTGCCACTTCAGTCCCCAAGTGTTCAAGTACTGCGCTACAGAGCCTTCGTGAAGCTTCTACGGCGTTACCTTCATTAGCGATGTTCTGCGGGGTAGCCACAGTTTCGTAGCTAATACTGCAATTAATGGGAAATTTGACCTTTCCCGTATTAGTACCGGAGCCACCCCCAGTCTTCAACTTCATTTTCAGATACGCAAGCAAGCAAGCAGCAAAGCAGCAGACGATGGCGGCTCTGAGCTCGGCGACCAAGCGCCTGGGGCGGCTGATCCCGCACTCCAGCGTGCTCTTCGTGTGCGACGTGCAGGAGGTCTTCCGCGGGCTGACGTTCCAGCTGCCCACGGTCATCCACGGCACCAACACCATGGTCTGGTAGATCGATATCGCCCTCCCCTCCCCCCCTCCCTCCCTCCCTCCCTGACTGCGGTGCTGACTTGACTCCTATTCGCTCTTGGTGCCGCCTTCCGCCAGGTCTCCGCGGCCAAGCTGCTGAACGTGCCCGTGGTGGTGACGACCCAGTACGGCTCCCGCCTGGGCAGCACCGTGTCCGAGATCTCCAAGAACCTGGAGGACGCGCCGGACGTCAAGGTCTTCGACAAGATGAAGTTCTCGATGCTCGTGCCCGAGGTGGAGCGCCACCTGACGACCAACATGCCGCAGCGCAAGTCCGTGCTGCTCTGCGGCATCGAGACCCACGTGTGCGTGCTGCAGACGTGCCTCGACCTGCTGGATAAGGGCTACGACGTGCACGTCGTCTCGGACGCCGTGTCCAGCTCCACGAGCTACAACCGCTCCATGGCCCTGGAGCGCATACGCCAGTCGGGCGCCTACATCACGTCGGTCGAGTCGGCCATCTTCCAGCTGGCCAACGACGCCGGCAACCCCGAGTTCAAGAGCATCTCCAAGCTCATCAAGGAGCACCTCAAGGTCCAGAACGGCTTCGACACGGGCGCGCGGATCTAAGCACCAGCTCGCGGCACACTGTGTCTTAAGGGAAGGGAAGCATGGGGACAACATGAAGCGTTTGTATGCGTGAGTACTCGTGCATTTGCGTTAATTCATCGACACTACCTTCAGGTTCTGTCTACAGGTTCACCGTCACCCTTGCTTGAAGAAGTCCAGCAGAGTTTTCCTACCGCTGCTGGGACCCGACTTGGACGTGAGTGTCCGAGCCTTTCGTGCACTGTTGGCGGCAGGCTTTGCAGCCGGTCGTGACCTCTTTCTAGACTCGGGGGCGCTTTGCGGTACAGTCTTCGTTGGTGCCGCCTGCACCTCGGGCGACTTTGACGCTTGAACCGACTGCGAGTGCTTCATGACGAGGTCTTTCATCGAGGTAGCGGTAACTTTCGACACCTTGACCGCTGTCGTTGTGGATGACAGGATGTGCGCTGAAGATGAAGACGCATCGGCACTTGAGGGGGCCGTGCCTTCAGCAGCTCTGGTGCGGGTTGCCAACGTCATCCATCGCTGCTCGCCGTTGGTCGAAGGAGCAGTTGGCGGTGCATTTTTCCTGTAGATGTTGACCAAGTTCTGAATCGATGATTCCCGCTCCTGCGCCTGTGCGCGCTTCTTGTTCTCAAGTTGCTGCGCGGTCATAACTGGTGCAGACTTCTTGACTGCTTGCCGAGTCGCCGTCGGGGACAGACCCTGCTGGTCTTCGTCGGAGTCGCCGTTGCGTCCACCATCTCCATCAAGAGTTGGCAACTCGGCCGCGTGATTGACCACTCGTTGACTTGATCGATACCCGCCAGAGTATTGGACCGTTTGCGAGCTTGTAGGACTCTTCGAGAGGTTGCGGAGTGTTCGAGGACACACTTCACCTTGATAAATCTGCTCCACGACCTCACGCGAGCGAATTTGCCCAAGGAAGCTCTTCGTGGAGGTCGCAGCTGCGTGCAGGTCTTGCTGTTGGGCGATGGACGTCAGATCCACTTCGTCTTTGTCTCCAGGTGACGCGATGCCCAGCGATTCCTTTGCGCGCTCGAGGATGTCGGGGAAGCTGTTGTTGTGCTTTTCGCTGATGAGGAACTCGCAACTGCGCTTCTTGGGGTTGAAGACGATGTGGTGGAAGAAGATTGTTTCAGCCTTCAGAAACTGCTGCATGAAGTCGCTGGGGATTTTTGTGCCCGAGCTTGACAGCTTGCTCACTAGCCGCTGGACGCGCAAGTGTGCAGGTGCACCGCGGAAGTTGAAGATGTGCTTCACTGCCGTCTGCCAGAGAACCATTCAGCAAGATTAGTATTTGAGCAAGATACGAGAGAGTAGTCACGGTGGCGGGACGTACTGCAAAGCCCACGTTTGGAAGCGAGTCGATGAAGTCGCAACCAGCCAGAACGCACACTTGGACAAACATCCGCGTGGCTTCCTTCTCCCCCGACGTAAGAAAATGAATTTTGCTCAGCAAAGCGTTAGCTGGAGCAAGTTCAGTAGCAGTAGACACACTATTAGCGCGACATCCGCAAAAGAGCAATCCTGCTGGACGGAGCTGCATACATGTAGCCTTGGCCGAGTTGTTGTGGATAATGGAGCGCGACACAGCCTATCGAGTAGAGGTTCATGCCAAAAGATTATCAGCTTTGGATTTGGTACAAAGCTTCAGTCCACGCTGTTTTCACCTGAGCTGAGCCATTGTCTTCCAGCTTGACGAGGACGGGGCTGGAGACGTTGGCGGTGAGGCAGTAGACCACAACGTCTGAATCCTCCGTCACGATACCCGCAGCCAGCCCCTCTTTGCACATCCACACCATCTAAACAGTGCAACCAGAATTTAGTTTGAATCAGCTCCACTAACGAGTCGACCAAAGTGTGAAACCTCCACGAACCTGTGCATCCGCCTCGAACGGCGCCACGACAAACGGCACCCGCGCCGCTTGCAGCGCTTTCATGACAGTGGAAATGATCTCCGGAGTGATCGACACCGACTGCAGCAACCCATTGAACGCACGTTAGTGTCCATCCAAGCAAGCGATTGTCGTGCAATAGCAGCCCTCCCACCCTCTGAAATAGCTGGTAGGCCTTGTTGACTTCGTCCTGTCGGTCGTTCCCCTGCATCCTCTTGGCTGCGGCCATGGCCTGCAGCGCTCGCTTGCGGTTTTCCTCCTTGTAGCTCTGTCGCTTCTCCTGCGTCGACGACTGCAGCACACGAAGTCAATCTCCGTCCACTCTCTGAGACCGGAATGAAGGCCCAGCTCGAACCTTGAGCGGCAGCCGCTGGCCGTCGAACACGAGGACGACCTTCGCCACGCCGCAGCCGCTCATCATGTCCACCTTGCGCAGCATGTACTGCACGTACTTGTCCGTCTCCCTGCCCGTGGACAGCTCGAACGCGCAGCCGTAGCAGCTGCAGGACGGGCGCCATTAGTTTCGACTCGTACACATACAAAAGTGGACGGCCGACGTACGCCTTGTGCAGCCACGAGAGCGCGTCCACCACGAGCGTCTGGCCCGCGAAGTGCCGCAGGTGCGTGTTGTCCACCGCCTCCGAGAGCGTCCGCAGGAACCCGTCGACGCCCATGCCGCGCTGCGCTGTTCAATTAATGCCCAACTGCTATGTCAGAGCAGGTTTTTGGCGGGAAATTAACTATTATATAAGGGTGTATATACCCTTAAATAGTCCCTTATATAAGGGTACGCGCTCACCAATCCCTCCCTTTAGTGGCTATACAAATTGCTAGAAAACGGTTTCGATTCCCCGAACCGAGACAAGCATGCAGAGCCAAGCCCAAGGCGGCGGCGGCGACGGCGACCTGCCCTCGTCGCTGCCCTCGTACATGCCCGCGTCCTCGCAGGGCGCGCCCGCCGGCCTGCCCTTCGGCTACAACCTGCTGAGCCAGGCCGGCGCCAAGAGCGACGCGGACGCCGCGCAGCGCCAGTGGAAGGCGGCGCCCATGCAGCCGCAGTTCATGTTCGTGGGCGCCGGCGCGCGGCCCGCGGGCGCGGAGACGGCCAAGCCCGGAGGCGGCGCGCAGCCCAGCCCCTCCGAGGGGATGCGCGGCATGTCGTTCCAGGACGGCGGTGGCGGCGGCGCGGCGGGCTTCCAGATGCTGCAGGCGGACGGAAAGGCGCCCACTGCCATTGCTCCCGCGCCCGTGGGGCTCAAGCTCGGGCAGCAGGGCGGCACGCCGGCGTCGCAGATCTCGGCCGCGCAGTTCGCGGCCAGCACGGGCGGCTTGGCCATGGACACGGCGCTGCTGGCGCGCGTGAGCGGCACGGACCCGTCGCTCATGGGCTCGGAGGAGATCAAGCAGATCATGCGCACGCCCGACCTGCTGTCCATCTACCAGAAGCTGCAGGAGGAGGACGACCGCAGACAGAGGCGGCTGGAGCGCAACCGCGCGTCGGCGCGCGTGCGGCGCGAGAAGAAGAAGGGCATGGTGGAGACGTACGAGGCCGAGGTGTCCAAGCTCGAGAGCTCGCTGAATATGCTCAAGAACCACCAGTTCGGCACGGGCAACGCCGACGAGCTGGCCACGGCGCTGCGTACGTGGATCGACCTATTAGATTTGGGAGATCTGGAGTGAGGTTGACGTTCTATCCTTTGACGTTGTGCAGAATACAGCTCGGGAGAACACCTCCGCCACGCGCAGATGTCCAAGGATGCCAAGATGGAGCTGATGGCGCGTATCCTCGGCCAACACTCGCGCAATACAGATGCGGTTAGGCCTGGACTGGCATTGCTGGATACTTGTGTCAATACGGGGGTTAACCAAGTCTGCTGTTGCTTGGCTGCAGATCCGCCGCGCTAATGCTGAAAACCAGGCGCTGATCGCAGTGGCGTCGGACAACTCGGACTTTTCCCAGGCACTGCGTTCGCAGCTGGGCCTTACAGAAGATCAGTGCCGGCGACTGGCAAGTTTGGCGATTCCTGCTAGCGAGGAAGCGCGCAAGCTAGACGCAATTCGGAAGTGCTTCTCCGCGCTGCGAGCGCACGACTGGCTTTACGTTCCTGGCATTGAGGTGAGTCGGATTAATTTGTGCGCTGCTAATTGAGTGCGTTGCAGGTGCCAACTGTTGACCTTTGCTCTGTAGACTATCCTGCATCAATCGCGTAACACGATGACTCCGCACCAGTTCCAGAAGTTCTTATCGTGGTCGGTGGAGAACCGACCGTCAATCGACCAGCTACAGGTGCGCTATGCTCGAATACCGCGTCCCCACTGCAGAAAAGTGCTCACATACGTTTTTTTCTGGCTTATCCAGTTCGTGCCGACTCCGTCTGCCCCAGCGTCTGAGAAGGACCTGACATTTATCTTCTCCGAGGACTAGAAATTCCTCCAATGACGTCGTCAAGTAAACCCAAGAGCCCTCCCCCGAAGCAGCGCGCTACGTGAGCGAGCTCTGGGCTGTAGCCACCTATTTTGCTATTTTGCCTTGCCCGCGTGTAAGGTAAGGTGCCAGTTGCGTGCCTACAACCAGTTCCGTGCCTACTTGTTTTAGCCAATTAGCATCTTCTCCTTGTTAAACTCTCGTAGTCTATTGGTAGATTTTTCCAGCGTCACATGCAATTTCCGGTGTTGAGCCTCCTAGGATTTGCATAGCATACAAAAATGCTATCAAAAAGAGGCAGGAAACTGGCAGCTCACTCCAAATCAACAAGCTTTTCAAAACAATAACAAGAAGTTCTGCAAAATTTACACGGACCAGCGTGAAGTACATAAATTCAGCCCAATCGCGTAGATTTAGCGGGTGCAATCAGATTTCAGAATGGACAATTCAATGAAAAGTTATGCCAAGTTCGAAGGACGGCACGAAACTGGCAGAAGACCTTAGCAACGTCTTCAGCTGTCCTGCCTGGTGCGGGGGCGGACCGCGTAGTAATTAACCGGGCTCTGTATGTAATAGAAGACGAGGAGAGACCGAGCTAGCAAGCTTACAAGCAGGAAGTTGTACTGTATTTTCGCAGCGGTGTCGAACGAGGTCTCTCTCTCCTCTGGGTGCTTGCATCGTTCACATGTCGAGGAAGTTCTGGATGAGCTTGAGGCCGTCCTCCGTGAGAATGCTCTCCGGGTGGAACTGCCAGCCCTCAACCTTGTGCTGCTTGTGCCGCACCCCCATGATCATGTTGGTGCCCTTGACGGTGGCCGTGACTTCGAGCGCGTCGGGCAGCGTCTCGGGCAGCCCCACGAGCGAGTGGTAGCGGATGGCCTTGAACTCGGGCGCCATGCCCTTGAACAGGCCCTTGCCGTCGTGCACCATCACGGACGCCTTGCCGTGCACGATCTCGCCGGCGTGGTCCACCTTGCCGCCGAAGACCTCGAACATGCACTGGTGGCCCAGGCACACGCCCGCGATCGGGATCTGGCCCGCGAACTCGCGGATCACGTCGCACGACACGCCCGCGTCCTTCGGGTAGCCCGGGCCGGGCGAGATCATGATGCGGTCGGGCTTCATCTCGCGGATCTCGTCCAGCGTGATCTGGTCGTTGCGCCGCACCTCCACATGCGCCCCGAGCTGGGCCATGTACTGCGCATCCGAGAGAGAGAGAGGTGGAGGTCAGTCACTTGCTAGAGGCGGAGGCAGACGGAGACGCAGGCGGACCTGGAAGATGTTGTACGTGAACGAGTCGTAGTTGTCGATGAGCAGCACGCGGGTCGTCATGGCTGGCGTTCAATTCGCGGAGTGGCAAAAGGCCGGCTGTCAAATCGCCGCACGTTCTTGTGGAGCCCGTGTTCCGGCCAACAAAAGCCGTGTTCACTCAGTTTTAGGGCACGTAGCACCTTATATAGAGGGAACTGCACCTTTTTATTGCTAAGACCCAGTTACAGACTCGAACACACGTTTGTCAACCGAGGTGGCGTATTATGTTTTGCAAGGGAAAACTATCGACAGCTGTGAGGTTTGAACTCACGCGGGTTACCCCAATGGATTTCAAGTCCATCGCCTTAACCACTCGGCCAAGCTGTCAGTATGACAGGAGAGGTCACAACAAGCATTAGCTAAAATTAAAATACATTGTAGCTTGAATACAGGTTTCGCTTCCACATGCTCTTTCATCGCGTTTGTACGGAGCGTATCCTTGCCGGTGTCAATGAGCAATGCTCGAACAACACTCTTCGTAGCGCAGAGCCACCAGTGGCAACGCTGGAGCTCTCGCGTCGAATACTGCAAACATGTTGATCGTTGCCTTTTCCCCCTAGCTTAGGTGACACCGCTACTTATAAAGGACCTGTGCGGCTATTGCGCTTCTCCGTGACTGCCATCGTCGTCCAATGCATCGTTGATATCCCCACACCCGAACGAAGCTTTACTAAGTCAAAGTTGCGGCTTCATACATGTACATTGGTATTTTGGCTCTAAGCACCGGCACAAACGACATCCGGAGCGTCACGATCGCAGGCAAGCAGCTGAAGTCGCCCCTCGCCCCAGGAGCGAGCAAGCCGCTCCGTTCCACCCGGGGTTGCTCTGGAGCGCCGACCGACAGAAACCCCGTTTTGCTTGGCAAAATCAGATCCGCATTGGCTTCTTTTGAGCAATATGGCCTGCGAACGAAAGCAATGCGACCGAAGCAGTGCCCCCACCACCTTCTGCCCTCTCCGACTCAAAGCTCTCCTGCTCCACTCGCTCGCTCGCTGCGTCGTCCGTTGTCTTCCGAGTTGAAGCAGAGCCTCAAATCTTGCCCCGCTCCGGCCAGCCAAATGACTACCCTGTAGCCAAAACGCTGCTTCCAGGTAAATGCGGCCGCCGGCCATCGATCATCCGCGGCGCTCCATTATTTCGTCGTACAGTACCGGTTCATTTCGCAAGTCCCTCTTACCGTCGCAGCAGCATGTTCCGCCAACTGGTCGCCCGCCACGGCAAGTTCTCCTCGGCCGCGCTGGCCATGGGCGTCGCGGCCACGGGCGCCGCCCTGGGCGCGCAGCAGCAGTCGCAGGCGTCGGTGGCCCTGGCCGAGGACTCGTCCTTCCCGCGGGCCGCGCCCGTGGCCAAGCAGCCCAAGATCAACGGGCTCAAGATCTTCAGCGGCAACGCCAACCACGAGCTGGCCGCCAACGTGGCCAAGCTCGTGGGTGTGCAGCTGGGCAAGATCACGGTCGAGCGCTTCGCGGACGGCGAGGTGAACCTCATGGTGCACGAGAACGTGCGCGGCAAGGACGTGTATATCGTGCAGCCCACGTGCGTGCCCGTGAACGAGAACCTCATGGAGCTGCTGCTCATGGTCAGCACCATGCGCCGCTCCTCGGCGCGCCGCATCACCGCCGTGATCCCGTACTACGGCTACGCGCGCCAGGACCGCAAGATGGCGGCGCGCGTGCCCATTTCCGCCGCCGACGTGGCGCGCCTGCTCGAGGCCATGGGCGTCGACCGCGTCATCGCCGTGGACCTGCACTGCGGCCAGATCCAGGGCTTCTTCGGCCCGCACGTGCCCGTGGACAACCTGGACGGCGGCCTCGTGGGCGTGTCCTACTTCGGCAACCACGAGCTCGTGAACCCCGTGGTGGTGTCGCCCGACGCCGGCGGCGTGGCGCGCGCCAAGAAGTTCCGCGAGTGGCTCGTGGGCAAGTACGGCCTGCCCAACACGGGCCTGGCCATGATCATCAAGCAGCGCATCAAGGCCGGCGAGATCGACCGCATGGACCTCGTGGGCCAGGTCGAGGGCTCGGACTGCATCATCGTCGACGACATGATCGACACGGCCGGCACGCTGTGCAAGGCCGCGCAGCACCTGGCCGACCACGGCGCCCGCAACGTGTACGCCTTCGCGTCGCACGGCCTGTTCAACGGCGCCGCCAACGAACGCATCAAGAAGTCGGCGCTCAAGGAGGTCGTGGTCGTCAACACCACGCCGCTGCCGAAGAGCTGCGAGGGCAACGAGAAGATCGTGCAGCTGGACATCGCCCCGCTCCTGGCGCAGGCCATCCAGAACATCCACGGCAAGAAGTCCGTGTCCCAGCTCTTCCACTAGACGCTCAGAGCAACAGGCAGGCAGACAGACGGATGCGCACGCGATGCGAGGTGAGGTGAAGGGAAGAGAGGCGGCGACGGCATGAGAGACACGACGGGCTCCGATCTCACCATACCCCCGTACCCATGCACATAGTATGTAATTTCGACAAGGTTTCCATGAACCGATCCCAGCTCTGCTCACCCCTCCTCGGGGGAGCACATGCACTCACTGTCTTCATGTTGAAATGCTGGAGTGTATTTATGCAGTTAAAAGTGTCCTTCTCGACAAATGCCCTCTTAAACAGACTCGCTTAACTCGAGTCTCGTAGGATCACAGCCTTAATGATCACTTCGATACAGGTTGGAATTGCCTCGTTTGCATTGCTCGCTTCCAGAGGACTTGATTTGTTGCGATTGCCGTGTCAGCAACCGCCTCGCCGGCTGGTGCCGGCGGTAGGTAGAAAGCTCAGCTCAAACCTTGGCCATCTCACCTTTCATCCCGCACTGAAGAGTTCACGGGCTTGCCGTGTGCCCCCAGCGGGATGGGAACTTCAACGCTTTAGCCTTCCACCCTTGAAGTTGGTGCCTCGTCTCATGATGGTTTTGGCGTGTTCACGACTTACCACAGGGGTGGGTCTCGTCATGGTCGGGCCATTACAATGCGCTGCCACTCGCGTCCGGGAACCTACGAGGTAAAGCACCACAACTGTGAGGACACCACAGCTACAGAGGATGCTTACGTACATGCCACCTCGCACCTGAAGTTCGGGTTCGGCAGGAACTCGTTCCGCACCCACGAGTACGAGATCTGGTGAGCTCGCAGCCACGCTCGCATGGCCACCTTGCGCTCACGCGGACCCACCATGTTAACGATGTGGTCCCGGAACAAGTCGTTCGTAACGACGTATCCGTCGTGCAGACCCGCGTACTGGATGGAGTACGAGTCGTCGTAGTCCTGCGGAGGAGTGGGAATCAACACGCCCTTGTGCACCAAGCGCTCAAGAAGCGCGACGTCGTCAGGGATTTTTGCGGCTGTGAGGACCTCCCCCTGTTCCTCGCGCTCGGCACGCTCGTCATCGGACTGAAGCATGTAGTCTGGGATAAAGGCAACGACGCGGTGCCCCAGCGCTTGGAAGTAGTTCACTGCGAGTTCAATTCCAGCACACGAGAAAACTTTGCCCTTGCCGTGCCTCATGGCAACATTAGGGGCGTCGACAACAATCAACCGGCGTTGATCCTTGCTTGCAGTCAAGCCATCTTGAAAGTCGTCGTTGTCAGCACCAATAGCCATGATCGTTTTGAAGTCAATCTCAAGCTTTCCGGGCGGTGACATCGGGGGCGTCGACTGCGGCGAAGACGAAGACGTGGAGCTGCCTCGACGTACAGGTGGTGATTGTGGCGAGGCAGGGCTTGTTCCAGGACTCGAGTTGTTATTGTTGTAAGCAAGATCGTACTGCTGAATCCAAGAAGGGTGATTCAAGCTGTCTCCTCCGTCGTCAGACACAGTGTCCACATCGCAGTCCTCATCTTCGTAGCCACAAAACTCGCACACGCCCTCTGCAAAAGTGCTCGTATTACTGCACAGGACGCAAAGCCGCCCGTTGAGAACAGGATCAATCGCGAATGGGTCCACAATCGTGGTTGCGATTGCACCACTTGAGGCCAGTTGGGTGATTTTTGACGAACCCGACTTCGTACTTCTAGCAGCACGAGGCTTAGAGGAATTCGCAACCTCCATACAAGAAATTGGCGTTGGTGGCTTTCCCGAAAACACAAATCTCTCACTTAGCGTCATAAATCGCGTCGCACGCAGCACCAAACGTTCTTCTTCCGTCAGCTGTCGAGAGGAATTCTTTTCTGGTGTCAGCTCTTCAGGAAAGCGGGCCAGGAGGGCCTTTTCGTACGGCAGAAACCCATTCATCTCACGATCCTCGGGCAACACGGCGCTCGACAGGTCATCGTCCCACTTCCTCGCACAGCATAGACCGCGCTCGATGAACCCATTAGCGGACAAGGTGTGAAATAGGGCGATACAATGCTCTTGCAAGGCCGCAGCACCCGGATTCAACTTGAGCAGAAGCTTTTGGTGCAATTGCAGCCAGTCCAGGTAAACGTTCACTGCTGGCAACAGAGCATTCGCAAAGTACTTGGTGCGAGTGGATTCCGCCGACGCAGACAGCAAGGCAACTAGCTTCAAAAGCACACATGACACCATCACGTTACCGGCTTCAAGAGCTTTTTGTGTACGCTCGCTTCCTGCCCCAGCTTTGAAAGCCTCGTCGAACGACTCGCGACTCAATTTCTCCTCAATAACATGTTGGGTGCTGTGAGTGAGTACGATTGTCAAGCAGACAGCGTGTGTTAGCAATGACGACAGTTTCTCGAGAAGAGAGCCGTCGATCGGCATCGACTCGTCCTGTTGGTCGCAGACATCCAGGAGGTGGCCGAGTGCAGCCAGCGAACGCTTCAAGGCTTCACCCCAGTCCGACTTGGAATCTTTCCCTGTCAGTAGCATGCGCAAGCACGAAAGCACACGCGCAGAGTACGCCTCCATCGCCTCGCAACTCGGAGATCCCGACACTTGTTGCTGGGCCTGCAGCTGCTTGTCCGCGGTCCTCCCGCGTTGCAATACGTGGAGCAGGTTGCTGCTGTTACCGAAGGGGCTCTCACACACGAGGCTGCGCGCGTACAGGTAAGCTCCATCGACCAGCTTCCCCTCAAGAACTGCCAGCAGGCCCATTTGGTTGTACACTTTGCCGCTCGACGGGGCCACTTCCAGCGCGCGCTGGTAGTATGCCCTCGCCGCAGACCAATCCCGACTCTCACCTTTCTGAAGTCGGTTCTGTTGGTACCGAGCGACATCACCCAGCGCCACTAGCGCCAATTGCAACGAGTGCTTCAGTCCGTCCAAATGCTCCGGCAGGCGGTTCGGTCGGCGCAGCGAGGCCTGCAGCTGGTCGACGAGACTCGAGTAGAACTTGGAGCAGGACGTCAGCACGAACGGCGACTGGTTCTTCTCGATCTCTCGGTACCAGCTCCGCCACAGCCGCTCACTGATGCTCTGTCAAGACACGCAACGTCGCGCATGGTTAAGGCACTGGCAGCACTCAGTCTGTCGTGTACTGCAGCCTGCGTACCAGTCTCTTGGCAGTCTTCGGGTACGCGTTGATCAGCTCCACGCACGTGCGACGCAGAGCTGCACGCGCCGACTCGGCCCCATCCTGCATCTCGCTGCAGTAGTACAGCAGTATACAGATAGCCCAACAATAGCATGAGTCACTGGTTGATACAGTATTTCTCCTCCTTTGCCTCCGGCCACTCGCCTGCAGCTCTTGAGCTGTTGCTCCCACGTGGTGAGTCGCTGCACCAGCACCTGCGCGTCCTCCACGGGCGCGCGAGGCGGCCCAGGCACAGGAGGCGGCGCGCGAGGCAGCGGCGGCGGCGTCTTGCGGCTGGCTCCGTCGCTCTTGGGCCTGTACAGCGTCTTCCCGCCGCCGCCGCTGCTGCTGCGACGAGGAGGCTTGGGGCTCGGCTTCTTGGTGGCGACGACCAGCGGCTCGGAGCTCCCGCGGCGGTCCAGCAGCCGCGCCGGCGCCGGCGCGGGGCTCGGCCGCTGCATGGGCCGATACTGCATCGCCATGCTTTGCGCTCGGCTGTTTCGGAGAACCTTTGACGTCAAAAACTGGAGGCTGTACCGAATAAGCGGTACCCTCTCCATCCACACTTCCGCGGAGATGGATCGCAGCCGAGCCCCGCGCAGTGCGAGTCGCTCTCCGCGCCGCCGCCGCCGCAGCCGGAGCTTCAGTCGCAGCCCCAGCCGGAGCGACGACCGCAGCCGCAGTCGCAGCGTCGTGGACCGCCAGGCGCAGTCGGCAGCGTCCAGCAAGGCCGGGAGCCGCTCCCGCCGCGGTGGTGGCCGCTACCACCAGCGCAAACGCAGCGCCAGCGCCAGCCGCGAACGCCACCAGACGAGGGGCAGAGACGCCGGCAGCAGCGCTCGCAGACGCAGCAGGAGGAGCCGGAGCAGGAGCGTCGATGCGCGCCGCAGTCGGGACTCGGGCCGTCGCCAGCGCAGCCTCAGTCCACGACGTCGGAGCCACAGCCCAGCCCGCGGGCGCTCCTCCAAAACCCACCAGCGCAGTCGCAGCCCAAGACGTCGGAGTCCGAGTCCGCGCAGATACAAGCCCGCGCAGCGTCGTCGAAGCCCCAGTCCACGTCGACGCAGTCCCAGTCCGCGACGCAGAAGCCCGAAACGGAGCCGAAGCCCGCGCCGCCGAAGCGTCAGCACACGCCGCCGCAGTGCCAGCTCCAGGGGTCGCAGCGCCACTCCAGAACGTCGTAGTCCGAGTCCACGGCGACGTACTCCCAGCCCGCGTCGCAGCCCTACGCCGAGACGACGCAGCCCCAGCCCGCGTCGTCGAAGCACCAGCTCACGTCGCCGTAGTCGCAGCCTACGCCGCTATAATCGTGAAGATCGGAGAAGCCGATCACGGTCGGATTCCCGACAACGTCGAAGTGAAGATGCGGCGTCGCGATCGGGGTCATCGCGCGAGCGCAGCAGTAGCCACCACAACGACAGACGGTCTGCAGACCCACCGGCCAGCAAGCAGACCCCTGCTACAGCTCCCTCTTCTCCGGGCGACGCTCCGCCAAAAGCCAAGGCCGCTGATTCTACGGAGGACAAGGGCCGCGATGGACAGCAGACCGTAACTGAGCCTGTTAAGGAGGGCAAAGCTTCGGGTGAGCAACGGCACAAGAATGGGAACCACGATGGCTACAAGAGCGGCAGCAATGCTCACGGTTATAAGCAACACCCCCACGCCCGCCACCCGATTTATCACGATGCGCGCGCTCCTTCGTCTTCTCCTGCTACGCATGGCTCGTCAACGCCGGCCAAGTCGGTCACAATCTCGGACCGAGTGACGATCTCATCTCCACGAGGCGGTCATAGCAGTACGTCAACGCCCACGAGGTCCTCTGGTGGGATCAGTAACCACCACACTTTCTCGCCTGTTGTGAACCCCATCCTGGAGAAGAAGCGCGAGGCGCAGCGTGAAAGCCACCGCGCGTACCTGAAGAGCAACAGCGACTACAACCGAGCTGAGATCAAGTACTTATCGATCGAGTCCGAGATCCGCCTGGCCGAGTTCTGGCTGGATATCGTCACCAAGAATTTGGAGGACGTGGGCAAGCGCATTGAGGTGCACGACTGGAACTTCCAGAAGATCACAGGGCAGAGTGACGCGTAAGAGAGCAATAACAGGTTGTTAATAATGATAGCTGATTTTCGTATACATTAGGAGGACACTCTCCTCGGGGAGGGGCGATCACGGAGAAACATGCAAGGACACGAAACCAAAAGTTCGGGGTCTGCTCCGTCTTCGTCTCGGTCGCCTTTGAGTTCTGCATAAGTTTTCTACCGATTCTGCAACACCTCCAGGATAAGGTCACGCGATAGACTGGCGAAGCCGTCGGATTTTGTGACCATGTCGAAGTTGAGCACCATGTACGACAGACAGATCTCGCGCAGGCGGTACGAGTGCAGGTCGTCAGCGCTCTGGAACAGCGCGGCCGCGTTTTCAACGTTGATGTTCTTCTGGACAATGATCTCGCACAGGCCCTTGAGGCGGTCCAGCGTGTACAGATCGGCAGCGGCGTACAGCTCCAGCGCCATCTCCGCGCCGACGTTGATCGAGTCCACATAAATATACTCCAGTAGCGCCAGGAACACGGGTACTCGAGTGTGCATGAGCGGGATCTCCTGCTCGTGAGACTCGCGCATGCCGGACGAGAACATTGCGCGGAAGTGGTCACTGCGAGCGGCCAAAATGGCACGATGGGAGTGGACAGCGCGTCCTTCAATCAGGAATGTGACGTCCGAGAACTCGGCGCTGTCGATGAGCTGGCGCATGTCTCCAACGTACGAAGATGTCAGCATAGAGGCTCGTAGCATCGCCACGGGGTCCACGAGTGCAACCGTGTGTTCGTTGTAAGAAGCAACGCTGATCACGCGTTTCCCCTCCAGTACATCCACCAGCTTGGGCAAAGTCACCTTGGTCGTGTCGTTATGCCCCAGCTTGCCATGATCTCCGTTTCCCCACGTATACACCTCGCCCGTATCCGTGAGCGCGACCGTATGGCTCCATCCGCACGTGATCTGCACTACCAGCTTCTCGACGAGACTCTCCACACGCGTGGGGACAGTTTTGTTCACCTTGTCGCCGTGTCCGAGCTGGCCGTGCTCTCCTCCACCCCACGTATATACTTCTCCCGTCTCAGTAACCGCTGCTGTGTGGAAGCCTCCGCAGGCCACCTGCTTGACGCGCTTGCCCGCCAAGGCCTCCACAAAACGAGCCACGGGTTGATTGCGCTCCGAATTGTGTCCCAGCCGGCCGAACTTGCCCTCTCCAAAGGTGAAAACCTCTCCGAACTCGCTCAGCGCGGCCGTGTGGAAGCCGCAGGCCGAGATCTGGACAATGTTCTTGCCCCGTAACTCCTCCACCGGGCAGGGCAGATACTGGTGGCCCTCCGTGTCTCCATGGCCCGACACGCCGTTCTCCTTGTCGCCCCACGTGTACACGTCCTTGTTCTCCAGCAGCACCACAGTGTGGCGACTGCCGCAGGCCACCTGGCGCACCTGCATGCCCTTGAGCGTCTCCACGAGGAAGGGCGTCGAGTGGCCCGTCTCGTTGCCGTGGCCCAGCTTGCCGTACATGCCGCCGCCCCACGTGTACAGGTCGCCCGAGACTGTGACGGCGGCCGTGTGGTAGCTGCCGCACGTGACCTGGCGGATATTCTTGCCGCGCAGCTCCTCCACCAGTCGCGGCACGAACTTCCAGCCGTTGTCGCCGTGGCCGAGGCGGCCGTCGTCCCCGCGGCCCCACGTGTACACCTCTCCTTCGTCTGTCGATAGCCACGCAGTCACTCAGTTAGCTCCACGCGATCTAGATTCTTCCATGGGGGAAGTGCAACTTGGCGGTTGCCTGCTGACCTGTGAGCACGACGGTGTGGCCGCTGCCGCACGCGATCTGCACGATGCGGCGCTCGGCCAGCGCGTCGATGGGCACGGGGCGGTGCTGGTCGCTCGTGTCCCCGAGCCCGAGCTGGCCGTCCTCGCCGCGGCCCCAGCTGTACACGGTCATGGCGGCGCTGCTGCTCTCTGATGCTCCGGTTGGAGACTGAGGCGGCGCCTTCTGAGCACGTTCGACCGCTTGTGTCGAAGGCTAGCGACACAAGCTGCACCACCGACTGTAGGCTAGCGTCACCACTGTCGTCCCGACGGCACATCAACTCAGGTCCCATACTGAGCGCAAGTGAAACGGAGAGGAGCAAAAAATTCGACCCGAGTGTAGCCATCTCGGCGCGCTTCAACTTGCGAATGGCCGGCGACAAGGTCGAGAGCACCCGTGGCAGCAGCGCCACTGCCGACGTCCGATGGCACGCGCGGCTGGCGGCGCTGCTAGCAGCCTCGGGCAGGCACGAGAGCGCGGCCTCGCACTTCCGTCGGGCGCTGCAAGGACTGCAGCAGGAGGGCGACGCAGGTCCCGAGGAGGACGCGCAGAGGCGGCGCCAGCGCCTCCAGTGGCAGTTCGAGCTCGCGGCGGTCGAAATTAAGCGCGGCCGCCGCCAAGACGCCATCGGCCTGTACGAGGAGATCCTACAGACCGATCCTGGGTGCGTGGAGGCGCAGGTTAATTTGGCGGCGCAGTTGGCCATCGCAGATGCGACGCGGCTGGAGGACGCGCTGCAGCTTTGCGAGCAGGCGCTGGCGCTGCGCCCGGACTTCGCCGAGGCGCATTACAACCGCAATATGTTGCTGCGAAGACTGGGGCACCAGCAGGAAGCGATCGCCTTGTATTGGGGGTATCTAGTACGCGATCTTGGAGCGAATGCTATCCGCGAGACGATGCCCGACGAGCTGGCGCGAGCCGTTCTGCCTTTCGATGATCGGAGTGGGGATCGGAGAGCGGATAAGCCGAGTGTCGTGCCTAGCGAAGACACGACGTGCAACCAAGAAAACAACGGGGATGGAGTTACTGTTGTCTGTGTGAAGTGGGGCGTCAAGTATGGCCCCCAGTACGTGAACAAGCTCTACAATTCCGTTGCGCGGCACTGCGGAGGGCTGCAGATGACATTTGTGTGCTTGACGGATAACTCGGATGGCATAGATCTCCATGGGAACCTGCATATCCTGCCGTTGGGCGGCGGCTGGAAGGGGTGGTGGAATAAATGCCAGCTATTCTCCAGCGACATGTCTGCAAAACTGCGTGAGCTGGGTCATTCGCGGTGTCTCTTTATGGACCTCGACACTGTAATTGTTGGCAGCCTGGTGGATTTACTGGCGTGGACTCCTCCGGTCGGTGTGCTTGCGTTATTGAAGACGGACGAGATGGCCAACGAGCAGCGCGCAGGAGGCTTCAACAGCAGCATCATGGCGTGGCGCAACGATAGTGACGACGAAGTAGGGTCGCTTCAATTCGTTTACAGTTTCCTGCACTCACACTTCACAGCAGTCACCAAGTACATTTACAAGTTCGACCACTGGCTGGAGATGGCACTTCCTGAGGCGAGTTTTCTTGAGGAAAAGTTTCCGGACCAGATCGTCGAATATCGCAGTCTAGATGACAGCGCAGTTACACCACCACCAGGTGCAATCATTGTATGCTTTCCGCTGCTTCCAAAGCCTCATCAGGCCACCGCAATGTGGCTTGCACACCATTGGGTCTAGCAGATGAGGGAGTTAAGGCATGAAATGGACAACCCAAGTGGACCCTTGCTGCTGTCTATTCATCACGAACAACTCGTCATTTGTCTACTTTCAGGGTCCACTAACCGTTGAACAGGATGCGTGCAGTTTAGTTCTCGTCATCAGCCACGTCCACAGACAACAGTGACGAGTGTCCGTTGTCATTGCGAGCGTGAGCTAGCTTAGCCAACTTCTCGTCCAGCGCCTTCATCGCACGCGCTCTACATAACGCAGAAACAAGGCAAACGTGAGTTCTTACCGCGCGAACCTCATTGCTTACTGGGACCGTCACTTTAGCACTCACTTTCGACGCTCAGCGATCGGGTCATTCTTGATCTCCTGCAGCACCGATACAAGAAATACGAAATATCGCCATCAGTTATACGAACTCTCGAACCAGAACACTGAAACTCGACATCATACCGTAAGGATTGGGAGCATTTTGGGCTTCTGCGCAGTCCGCTTCTTGAAGAATCCGCAGAGCTTGACCACGCTGAAGCAGAAGTTTGCGAGGGGTCCAACAAGCGGTCTGATACAGCACAGCGCGTGCAGCAGTGTTAAGATCAACATCACCAGTCGCAGGAGACGCTCATCGAAAGACCACGTACGTGCAGAAGTCAGGAAGCAACACCACCAGCGCGAACTCGTCCGACACGTCCCCAACAGTCTGGTCGCGGTTCTTGTTGAGGAAGCGCAGGTAGTACCACCCAAAGTAGCCTCCCAGAACCGAGAAGGGCCCAGCACTCAGTAGCATGAGGCTAACCGACGGGACAGCTGAGAAGGCCATGCCGGCCATAGTGCAGAACGTGAAAACGGTACTCGCCACCAGCGGATAGAACTGAACGAAACGACAAAGCAATAAACATGAGTGCGCATTAAGAAACATTGTCGAAGCAGCGCCTCAAATACAACGTACTCGAAGAGGGACACCCGGGAACAACGGTGCGGTTGCAAATGGCGCCGGCTTCATGAAGGCCACCAGCAACGCGGTGATTCCACCCGTGAAGCCCGAGAAACTCGCCTCCCTGCAACATCAAAAAAGATCGGTCAGTCTCAATAACCCTCCTTCTCTCCAACCAGAAATCTCGCTAACATACAGGTAGACGGGGTTCCGGAAGATGATGTACAGCACGAAGAGGTTCACGAACAGCACGACCGCCGCCGCAGTGTTGGCAAACAACAGCAGACGCACGAGGTTGAGAGCGCCGAGATCAGGCTCCACCCGCTTCGCCAGTCCAAAGGCCAGCGGCAGGACGAACGCCAGCTACAGCGACACCAAGAGAGAAGAAACGCGTCAGCCCTGGTTCAGCAGCACCCACAGCACCGATCCACCTCGCTCACCTGGACGAGGTACGGGTGGTAGAAGCCGGCGGTGATGTAGACCCACGGCCGGATGTGGCGCAGAATCACACTGCGCAGCAACAACGACACAGAAACCTAGAGTTACTACAAGATCCTCTCGCCTCAGAGACAGCAACTGCAGCTCGTGACTCACTCTGCAACGGACAGCGCCAGCACCCCGCCCTTCTCCTCCGCGGGGGTGAACACCGCGCCGATGAGCCACAGCAGCAGCATGCTCAGCACCAAGCCGACAGACACCGGGAGCTGCGCGGCACCGCGGCGGCAAGCAACAAAGAACAAGAGCACAATAGCGTCTTCGTCAGCGCCCACTCTACTACAGCACGCGCGCACGCAATGCACTCGCTCCTCTACTTAGTAGGCGGCGCACCGCACCCGCATGGAAGTCGCGTCGCCACGTAGCAGTAACAGAGAGCGTTGAGGCTCAGCCGCGCCGTCTTTCAGTGTGAACGCACGTTCTGCGTGAAGCCATCGGCCAGTTGTCGGACGTCGGACGCCGGCTATCGTTTTCGTACTTAATGCGAGTGCGCACTCGGCAGCTTCAAAGAGCAACCAAGACAAGATGCCGCATCCAGACGAGGTGCCGCCGCCGCCGCCGCCGCCGCCTCCTCCTCCTCCGCCGCCGCCGCCGACGGACGCCCGCAGCCGCTCGATGGCCTCCACGTCGGCGGCTGCTGGACCTCTCCGCGTCGGCGGCCGCGCGCCGACCTTCAGCGAGCTGCGCGCGGGCGGCCTCTCGTCGTCGCGCTCCTCCAGTGGCTTCCCGTCCTCTGCGCTGCACGTCGCGACGGACGCCCCGAAGGACGACGACCCGCTGTCGCCCCGGACGCGCCTGGAGATGGAGAAGCAGCGCCAGCAGCTGGCGGCGGCCAAGAGCTCGGCGGCGTTCAACACGAGCGGCGCCAACACGAGCAACACGACGCCCACCAACCACAGCAGCACGCGCAGCACGCCGCGCTCCGCGTCCTTCTACAGTGTCAGCAGCAGCCTCGAGTTCAACCCGGCCACGCAACTGTCACCGCACAGGGCCATGCTCAGTCGCGTGGACAGTCTGCTGGGCTCGCAGCCCGGCGCCTCCGTCTCCTCGTCGCAGTACGGCGCCAGCTTCGGCGCGCACTCCATGTACTCTGCAGCCACTAGCAGCAGCACGTCGCCGCTGATGATGTCGTCGAGCGCGCGGCCGTTCCAGCGAGGCGAGGAGCAGAAGGAGCCGTCCAGTTGCGGGGCGGAGATTCTCTACAACTCGCCCGTCAGACTGCGGCTCAGCAGTCGGCAGTGCCTCAGGATTTCGGCGGTGAAGGACAGCGGCCAGCACCACCAGACAGCGTCGCACTTGCCGCCCAGACCCACAGGCCCTGGAGCAGCAACAACAGCAGCAGCAGCAGCAGGTTCATCCGAGGGAATCGCTCGGACGCGGCCGTCGACGTTGGCGCAGATCGACGTGAGTGGAGACGGATTGGATGGAGACGACGACCAGATCTTCGTGCTGCAGAACACGGCACTGCGCTCGGACTGCGCGGCGGTGCATTACTCGGACGTTGTGTCGCTCTACTGCGTGGGCGGGAGCTGCAAAGGGCAGTTTCTGTCGGTGGACGCTGCCACGCAGACGCTGACGACGAAGAAGGGACCAGTGATATCCAACAGCGAGAAGTGGAGGCTCATGAACCCTGCCGCTGACGGCCGCGAGGACTTCGTTGGGGGCAACCAGGATTCGTTCGTGTCTGTGGATGCCGCGAGCAGGTTGTGGGGCCAGCAAAAAGCGATTGCAACCAGCGATCGAGTCATGCTCAAGATGAACACAGCCGACCTCTACCTCTCCGTGCGTCCAAGTCGGTATAGCCACGAGGATTCCTCGAATGCTGCAACAGTTGAGCTTAGCAAAGAAAACGATGGCATCAACGATACACTGCAGGTGTGGAAGGTGACCAAGTCGAACCTGCCCTACGACCCTGAATGGAATCGCGAGCGTCCGTACTTGACCGGCGAAGCTTTTGTTCAACCGCAAGCCAAGAGACATCAAGCTGCAGATGACGGTGGTCTGAACCTGGCTCCGTTGTCCACGTATCCACCGTCGGTTCAAGAATCGATTATTGTGGACGAGTTGCTGTACGTCCTTCTCGGTGTGGAAGGTCGCTATATCAAACTGGCAGTCACGGAGACTCACGGCGTGGATACCGCAAAGTCAACACGCTCGCTCAAGTTCGGTCTCAATCAACCTGGCATGGATCCGTCATTGCTAACCTTGGCATCCCGGTGCCTGCCATTGGGCGAGTTCTACCTGAAGTTGACCCTCTACATTGAACAGTTTTCTCGTTATGAGTACGGTCAAGTGAGCCACGCGCTTTGTGCAGCATTGAAGACTCTCGTGAAGGAGTATAAGATTATGGTGGGACAACTCGAGCACCAGGCACGATGTGGGGCAACGGGTATGGATGGAGCTACGCCCTACACCATCCAGAAGTTGTGGTATCACGTGCAGCCAAGCTTACGAACGTTGGAGATGCTGAGTTTGCTCGTGGATGCTTGTCGTAAAACCATCGGTGGTGGATCGCTACTCACGGAGATTCAGCGCATCATGTCCTCATTGGCTGGCGACTCGAACGCGCGAAAAGTGTTTTCCTTCCTGATGGAGCGCGCCAGTGTGCCGTATCTGAAGATGGTGGAGCGGTGGATTTATCATGGAGATCTTGTTGATCCGTACGACGAATTCATGATCCGGCGAGATGAACAGGTGAGCAAAGAGGATGTTCAAGACAACCCTTACTCCACGTATTGGCAGAGCCGCTATACAGTACGTGAGTCGCAAGTGCCTCTCTTTCTTACTCGAGTCGCGCAAAAGATTTTGACTGCGGGCAAGTACCTGAATGTCTTTCGCACATGCAACCGTCAAGTGGATTGCCCGTTTGCTGGAGAGATCGTGTATTCCTCGAGTGAATCGGTGTACGAGGAGCTGATCGACAAGGCTCACGCATTTGCGAGTCGGACACTATTGGATCTGTTTGTGCGCGAGAACGACCTGCAAAACCGCCTTATCTCGTTGAAGCACTACTTCCTCATGGACCAAGGAGATTTTTTTGTTGATTTCATGGACGTGGCTGAGGAAGAGCTGAAACTGCGAGCTGATAAGTTGTCTCTCCCCAGATTGGAGTCGCTGCTTCATTTGTCGCTCCAGACTTCCACATGCTCTTCGGACCCGTACAAGGATGATCTACAGTGCTTCTTGTCGCCGCACAATCTTATCTCTCACATGGAGGCCATTCATCAACGAGCCCAAAAACGAGTTCGAGACTCGCTGACGACGTTCGAGTCTTCGTCCATTGGTCACCCAGGCTATAAGGTGATCGATGCGTTCACACTCGACTACAACGTGAAGTGGCCGCTGTCGCTCGTGATCTCTTGCGGGGCGCTGACCAAGTACCAAATGATTTTCCGTCACATTTTCTTTTGCAAGCACGTGGAGCGCCAGCTCTGCGACGCCTGGCTTAACCACCAGGCGACAAAGGAGCTTTCACTGCGTTCAGCGCTCGGTCCGTCGTTTTGTTTGAGACAGCGCATGCTGCACTTCCAGCAAAATTTTGTCTATTACATGATGTTCGAGGTGATTTCGCCGCGGTGGCACGACTTCCAGCAGCAGTTCGCGACTGCGGAAACGGTGGACGACATTCTGGAGTTCCAGGGCGAGTTTCTCGATATCTGCCTGAAGGAGTGTCTGCTGACGGACCCCGACCTCCTGCGCGTGCTGACGAAGCTCATGACCGTGTGCATGACCTTCGCGAACAGCATCGAGAGGTTCACGCGGCCGTATTTCTTGGATGAAGAGACCATCAAGGCTGAGCGCGAGGCTGAGCGCGACCGCCGGGCGGAGAAACGAGCGCGCGAAGAAGCGGAAGTCGCCCTGGCGAGCTACCAGCGGCAGAAGGGAACCTTTGGCGGCAAGAAGAAAGGTGGCGTATTGAGGCGGCGTCAGTCCTCCCAGGTTGATATGCGGCGAACGCGCATCAAGGAGCTGTCTGACGATGTGGAGCGCGCACTGACCGAAGGCGACAAAGAGAACCCTTTCGTGCGCATGACGAACGACTTGGAGAATCAGTTTGACTCACTGCTCGGCGAGTTCATGCAGCAGCTGCTGCGACGATCGTTGCTGCAGGTACGGAGCCGTGCTTTACATCTCGCTTATGGCTACCCCTTTCTAACCATCTCTGTTTGATAGCAAAACTCGCATCTCTCAAACTTGTGCACGCGACTTGACTACAACGGCTTCTACACCAAGTAGTGCGCAGTCTTCCGCTGCCTTGGCGCTCTTCCAGGCATCCAGGAAGGTTTGGGGCTATTCTGCTGCTGCGTGAAAGGTCGCGCCTGAAGATCCTGAATCAAAATCTTTTCATTGCACTGTTTGATGTACAAGCGGCTGACTGCGTCGACGCTCATTTGCTGTTGCTTGTGATGGCACGATGCTGGGAGGGCCAAGGCGTGCTGCACCGATGCGTTGCGCTGCTACTCGTGGTATGTCTACTGGCTTCGACGACGCTGGCCAAGCAGTTGACTGTCCTAGTGCAGCCGCTGACGTCCACAGCGGGCGAGCCGCTATCAGTGCAGCCTGTGCTGGCGCTCACCGACGATAGCGGCAACATTCTCACGACTGAAAGTAGCGGCACGGTCTCGGTGAGCATCGGCAACAGCCCGTCTCGGTTCGCAGTCGTTTACCCGTCGGGGGCTGCCTTTTCGTTCGTGAATGGCATCGCTCATTGTTCAGGGCTGTACATTAATGAGGCCAATGTGGGCTTCACACTCGTGTTCTCGTCTTACTATCATGGCGTGCGAGCGGAAACATCAAGCTTTGACGTCGTCGTGGGCCCCAGGTACAGGCTTGCGATTCTTGCCGATATCAGTACGGCGTATGGTGGTACTCCCTTTTTGCCGCAGCCAACCGCAGGCGTGGTGGACAAAGGCGGCAACCTTGTCACGGCAACAAGCGAAGGCTCGGTGCGGATTGAGATTGAAGTAAACCCCGTGGGGGGCGTCTTGCAACCAGCCGCCCTTCTGAATGTGTCCATCGTTAGCGGTATCGCTCGGTTTCGCGGCGCATTTATTGACGTCGCTGGATCTCCCTACGAGCTTCGCTACACGACGGATCTTGTACTAGCTGGAGGAAGTACGGTGGTCACGAATCCTTTCACGGTGGCAGCAGGTGTTTGTAACAAGCTTAACTTGACAAGCTCGCCGGGTACATCAAGGGGTGGCAAGGCATTTTTGATGCAGCCAGTGCTCAAGCTGCTTGATTCGGGCGGAAATATTTTGCAGGCGGACAGCTCAAGTATTATACGCGTGACAATTGCCGCTAACCCCTCTCGTGGTACGCTCACGCCAACGGATGCTCTCACAGCCAAGGTGCAGAAAGGAATTGCTATTTTCCGTAGCCTGAAAATTGACAAAGCGGGCAATGGGTATTCTCTTCGGTTTACACTGTACAACAAAGTGGAGGGCAAAAATACTTGGAAGAAGTCGGACGTTGTCCAGGTCTCAAAGACGTTCGACGTGCTTACTGGGACCCCGGTATCATTGTATCTGCAGCGTAATCTCTCCGATGGTGTTTTGGATGGCCAGCCCAATGAAGAGCAGCCGATTGTGGCGCTGCTGGACTCCGGTGGCAACGTGGTAACTTCTCTTGAGACAGGAACCGTCACAGCATCTCTCGTTTCCAGTGCTTCCGTAAGCTCGAGCGTTGTTGTTGATACGTCTACGGCCCCTCTTTTGACTGTTGTGAACGTGCGCGCTTTGATCAACTCGACCTATCCGATGCCTTATGGTGTTGGCGCACGTGTATCCGTTCAAGTCACATTTTCTGACGAGGTATCCATAAAGGGTGCCCCAACGTTAGAACTGGCGACATCAACAAACGGAGCTGGGGCCAACGGCAAAGCGGTCGCAGTCGCAACAACCACGGTTTGGTCCAGCACGTTTGCTTTCGAGTATGACGTTGTGGTCACCGACAAGACTGCTGATCTGGAGTATACATCTACCACAGCTTTGTCGCTCAATGGTGGCATGATCTCGGACCGGAATGGCAAAACACCGATTCTCGCGCTGCCAGCTTTGGGCAGTGCGAATTCTCTATCTGGAACCAGCGCAGTCGTGATCGATACGACAGCCCCAGTGATCACGTCTGTGACGTGTGCCAGCCCTGGCGATGGTGAATATGGAACCGGACAGCAAATTAACCTGCGAGTGCAGTTTTCCCAGCCCGTGTCTGTGTACGGTAGCCCGCTGCTGCTGGTGGCGCTCACCACTGTCGGTGGCGGAGCGGGAGTACGTAATGCGGTGTTTTCCAGCGGAAACAACACCAACGTTTTGGTGTTCGTCTACACGGTTCAAAACGGTGACATGGCGTCAAGACTTGATGTGACAGCTAACATCAATGTTAACGGCGGATTTATCAAGCATTTCTCCCAGCGCCCCACGACTGATGTAGTGGTGACAATGTCGACGGTTCCAACCAAACTCTCCACCGCGAATAATATCGTCATTGACACAGCCATTCCAACCATCGATGCGACGGTGGGCGTAACAAGCAGCACGAGTAACGGCATCTACGCCCCCGGAGACGAGATCAAGATTTTGATCACATTTACCAAACCAGTGGCGGTGACGGGCTACCCGCGTCTATTTCTCGAGACTGGTCCAATTAAACGCCCTGCTGGCTATAGTTCGGGCAGTGGCACGAAAGTGCTGACTTTTGTCTATCGCGTATCTGCTGGTGATACTGCCGGGAGCGGTTTCCTGAACTATCGAGACAACCAGGCACTGAACCTTAATGGGGGTACGATCTCCCGCTTTCTTGTTGGGTCATCCGGGGCGGTAGGGGCCTCTGCAGTGATAACCTTGACTGCTGCAACACTTGCAGGTAAGGCTCTCTCGGACAACGCTCAGCTGACTATCGATGGCCTCCCCCCAACAGTGACGAGGATATCTGTTTCCTCTGTGTCGTCTGCCCCCTCCACAACTGTTACCCGGGGCGACGAAGTTGTCATCGGCATTAGCTTCTCCGCTCTTGTTACTGTGGACACGACGAAAGGGACTCCGTCTCTGCTGATGGATGTTGGCGATCAGAACCGCGAAGCCGTGTACAAGTCCGGGAGCGGGTCTCAGTCCCTCCTCTTCTCTTACAAAGTGAGATTGGGGGATCGAGCACAGCTTGGAGCAAACTATCGTTCGCGTTCGGCTTTAGTGCTCAATGGTGGAACAATTCGACGAACCTCCATGGCCCCCACACTTGACGCTTACCTGACATTACCAGACCCGCCTTCCTTGAGCCCGCAAATAGTCGTGGATCGAGCTTTTGGCTTTGTGACGAATATCACGAGCTTCACGGCGGATGTAGCCTCGGGCTCGTACGGCTCGAAGCAAGTTATCACATTGTCGATCGTCTTCTCGGATGAAGTGGCACTATCCGGCACGAGCCCTCCGTCGCTGAAGATCAACACAGGCACCGTCGTACCGTACGCGACTGGTAGCTCCACGAACACGCTGGTCTTCTTGTATATCGTTCAAAACGGTGAAGCGACGGCATCCCTAGACAAGATTGACGACAATGCCATACTGTGTGCTGCCCCGGCTTGTCAGATTATAAACTACAATGGGGAACCCGCGAGTCTGTCGCTAACCGGGATCAACCTCATGCCTGCGAACATCGTGGTAGACACCAGTGCTCCTCAAGTGGTGAGCGTGTACGCAGTCACGACAGCTCCAACAGTAAACAATGGCGTCTTCGTTGTTGGGGACGTCATTGATGTCGTGGTCAAGATGGATCGCGAGGTCTTTATCGATCCGCCGCCCAGTGCGTACCCGGATAAGGCGCCGTTGCTACTCCTGAATACTGTTAAAGGTGGGAAACCTGTGCTGTGCATAGGTTACGCGAACAATGACCGCCATGTTCTGCTTTTCAGATACGTTGTGGAAGTGGGAGACGTCGCGGCCGACCTTGCGTACATGGATCAAAACGCACTGACGCTGAACAGTGGCCAGTCTTCCATCAAACGATTTTCGACTACTCCAACGACGGATGCTGTTCTGACACTTCCCGTTCCAGTGCCTCTTGGAGTATTGCTCAAGGTGAATGGCAACACGATCCCAGCTGTCCTGAGTGTTTCTTCAACAACTGCCAACGGACTCTACCGATGCGGTGATCAGATCACTATTACAGTGTTCTTTAGCCAACACGTCATTGTGAAAGGGGGACCCTTCTTGTGGTTAGACATGGGGGCAGTTGCGCGCAAGGCACTGTACAATGGTGGAAGTGGCTCCACGGTGCTCACGTTCATTTACACGGTTCAAGAAGGAGACTACTCCGTGGATATGGAGTACGTGGATCATCACTCGCTTGATTCGACCACTAGCGTTAGTGATACGATTGCAACGGCGATCCTGCACCTGTCAACGAATCCAACGACGGTGGCGGATGTTGATCTTCCTTTCCCTTTCACACAGGGCAGTCTCAGCTTCAACAAGAACCTCCAGGTTAATGGCCGCAAACCCAGCATCGTATCGACCCGGTTTGTGTCTCCTGATGGTCTGTACAAAGTTTCCCAGTCGGTGGTGATGGAGGTGGCTTTCAGTTCCTGCGTCGTGATTGACAGAGGTGCATTGGGAGTACAAGGACCAACCCCGAGGCTACGCTTCCAGCCTACCCCGGTATCATCATTATCAGTTTCGTCTGCCACAACAATTACGAGATATGGAGTTTACGTGAGTGGAAGTCCAGGTACGGCGCTGCGTTTCGAGTACTCAATCAAAACCGGAGACACCGCGATCGCGCTAGATTACGCCGATACAGCAGCCTTGGAGCTCAATGGCGCTCGCATCTTGACGTGCACTGCGAACGCGAACGTGGCTCCAACTCAAAGCGTCGATCTGCACCTGAATCCGCCTGGAGGTAGACTGCTGGGCGCTACTGTCAAGCCTGTGGTCTTCGGAAAAGCTACTTTCACGGACCTTGTGGTGGATCGACTAGGCTTCGACTATCACATTAAGTTCAGCGCGCAGTACCAGACAATGCTGGAGACGAGCGCAAGCTTTGATGTGCTATCTTCCGCTGTATACGGTCTGCGTAGCTCACCGTATGCAAGTGGTGACAGTCTCGGTTCGAGTGTCGACGTGGACGGAGACACACTCGTACTTGGTGGGCCTGGGGCAAGCGAACCTATATCCGCCGTGCAGATTGTTACCGCTCTTGGAGACGCTGAGACCTACGTGAATGAAATCCAGGTCCTCCAAACTGTAGCACAACAACAGCCAGCGGTGCAGGTTCTTACCAGTTCCGCTGCACCGGGCGAGACAATTGGCGGTTGGTTCTACCTGAAACTGGGTTTTATTGGTCCCACACGTCGCTTGGCCTACAACGCTGACCCCACGCAAGTAAGCGTGGCGCTGGAGATGGATTTAGGCTTCGGACTTCAGACGATAAGCGTGACACGGGAGCCAAATACCTACTGCGCTTGTAGCAACGGATACGTGTGGCGTATCACATTCTTATATGCAGAAGGACCCCTGGACGCATTGACGGTGGCTAGCAGCCAGCTTACCGGAAGGTTGGCCACTATCGGGGATGGTAGAGGCGGAATTGCTGCGGTTATTGCAGTTCCCTCCACCACGCTGGGAGGAACCATGACACTCCAGTTGGGCAATCTCATCACGCGAAACATCAAGTTCAACGTGGATGAAGCGGAGCTGACGGGGATTTTGACGCAAGACTTGCACCTTGACGTTTGGAGTGTTTCCCGCTCGCCACCAGGTTCGATGAATACGTACACTTGGAGTGTTACGTTCACAGCGAGCGATACACTTTACGATGTGCCTCAACTGCTCCCTCAGGGTATTCTGCTGACTGGATATGGTGCAAGCCTCACTGTTCGCACAGAGCGCAATGGCCAAGGCCGTCTGTCGGGGTTCTTTCGTCTGCGGTTCCGCACAGACATTTTCCCAAGTGATGAGACAGGCGATATCCCAGTGGCTGCTACTGACCACGATGTTGAGGTCGCACTTGAGAGTCTTGTGTCGGTGAACGATGTGACAGTGCAGCGTTCCACGTCAATGAACGTGTATGGCGGGTACTCGTGGACTGTAACCTTTGTGCAGGTTAATACCAGGAACGACTACGGGCCCGTGGTGGATTCGTCTGGTAATCTTCCTGCGCTTGTGCCGGTAACGACAAAGTTAAAGGGCACCAATGCACGTGTAGCCGTACAAGTCGGTGGCTACGAACCATCTTCCTTAACCGCAGACGGTTTAGGCACCAATGTAGGTCTTCCAGGTGGATCGGCTGGTATGGTTGCTGTCTTCACGAGAGGAAATAACGATTGGAAGCAACAAGGCGGCACCATCGAAGGGCACGATACTCGCGGTGGCGACTTGTTTGGATCGAGTGTAAGCCTGCAAGGTAACACTTTGGTTGTGGGTGCTCCAGCTGCAGCCATCTTTGGCGATTTCGAGAGGCAATCGCTCTTGTGCAACGCTGACGGGGGCTACTTACGTTTTCTTTTCAATGGAAAAGCCTCGGACCCAGTTCCTTATGACGCAAATATGCGAGAGCTGCAATCGGTAATCGCAGATGTGATGTCAGTGGACTACGGGGAGGTACAGATCGACACAACATTCAACAAACTATGTGCGGGAACCGAAATCGATCTTACGCTGCGAGCAGGGGACCACGGCGATGACTCTGGTAACATTCCTGATCTTTCCGTTGACTCAAGTGCGCTGACTAAGCTCGGAGGTCCTGGGGCAGCTCAAATGCACGAGTACTCTGCAGGTACCTTCCGTAGCGACGGTTCAAGTGCCAAGGGATTGCAGTGTGGTGCGGCCTACGTGTTCACCCGAGACCAGGCTCTAAGCACGTGGTCGGAGTACACGAAGCTAGCCCCACCAGCTGAGCTTATTGGGAATGTGCGTGATTATGGGGCGGCGGTTGCGCTTTCCGACCCGTTCGCAATTGTGGGGTCACCAGGAGCCTTCAATGAAGAGGGGCGTGCATTCGTCTATCAGTACAACGGTGTGGATAGGTGGAAGCTTTTTCAAACACTAAGCGCAGCACCTAATGTGATTACGAGCGGTGATCGGTTTGGGGAAGCTGTGGCGATTTCGGGTACAGCGACCACCACCATTGTTGTAGGGGCTCCAGGATACGCCTCGAAGAGCGGTGCTGTGTTCGTGTTTGATCTCGTGGGGGGCTATTTCCAAAGCCGCCAAATGCTGTTGACGGTGACTCCGGAAATGCAACCAGGTGATCGCTTTGGAAACGCATTGGATCTGGATATGCTTTCAACGTATACGCTAGTGGTTGGTGCTCACCGCCATACGTATCAAAGTCCTGGCATGCTGGACGCTGTAGACGGCGGTCTAGTACTTGTGTTTGTTCGTCGAAGTAGCACCGACATCTTCTTCGTTCTGCAACAAGTACTCTATGGATCAGATACACGCGCGCGCGATCGGTTTGGAACGAGTGTGGCTGTGGCAAAAGACACGATTGTTGTGGGAGCGCATGAGCTGTACGAGGGAGCACGAACGATTCGAAAGGCGGTGCAGGCCATCACTACGAGCGCGCTAGAGAGTGAAGCAACCGGAAAGATCCAGGGAGGCTCGTTTGTGTTGAGTTTCTTGCGGTCAAATGCTGGAGAGGATCCAACAAAGGTGACAACTCTGAAGCGGATGCAGACGCGGCTGATTGCGTGTGACATCACTGTCTCGGGGTTGCAAGCAATCTTGGAAACCGACTTTGAGCTAACAAATGTAATTGTACGGCGCGATGGCCCGAGTACTGCCAACGGATACACTTGGTACGTGACCTTTGCGGGAAGTTCAGGTGAAGTGCCTCTTCTCGAGGCTGACAGTACAGGGCTTACGGGAGGTGAAGTTACTGTCAAATGGGTTAGTCGTTTGGCCCCCGTACTTCGAGGAAGTGCATACGTTTTCACCCGAGATGCAAACGGAAAGTGGACGGAGCAGGCTTCGTTCTTCCCTCGAGAGAAGCAATACTTCGCATGGTTTGGCTCGGCAGTTGCGATCCACAAGCGTACGGCGGTTATTGGAGCGCCCAACCTGGATACGTACGTGTCCGGCATCAATTCTGGCGGCGCCTTCGTCTCAGACCTCGGAATTATGTCCCTGCGCTTCTCGGCTAAGACGTACAGTGTGCTGGAAGGCGACAGTTTGGACGTGACAGTGCAGCGGTGTAGTCGCTCTGGCGGCTTCTGTGCCATGGACGTATCGGCTGCCCCTCAACTTTACATCGAGTATGACACAGGCGACGCTTTTTCGGATCGGCAGTCTGGATCTCAAACGTACGTCCCGGTGATCCCCCACATCGGCCCATACCGAAAGATGTCGAGTCTTGATGCTGCTGGTAGGCAGGGCTCAGCCTCAGTGTTCTTCGCGAAAGATGTGATGGGCCAAGAACCGTTCCCACAGATAGGCAACGGGCGGTGGCTCAGCGCTGATACTGTTGGGACAGCCAACGGCCGCAACCAGTTCTACGGCAGCAGCGAGCGTCGATCGCTATGGGTGGATACACTATTTGACTATGCTGGATCGTCCGACTATTCGTCGAGCTCTGGAGAGCTTTACTTCGATGGCGTGGATGATTTAATGCACGCGTTTACGGTGCAGACGACGAACGACTTCGTGGTAGAAAACCCCGATGAGACGGTAATGATGCGGCTATCACTTCCTGGCATTTGGCCCAGCGTCACGGGAGATCTTTGGTCTACGCTCACAATCAAGGACAACGGAGATGGTGGCAGCGGCGCTCGCTCCTATCTCGCGCACTTAAACCCGGACCCAGCCTTGGCCCAAGTACAGAGCGAGTTTAGTACTTCTGTGAGCGTTTTCAATGCTGGCAACGTGGCTGCAGTTGGCGCACCTTCGGAGAAATCGGACGGAGGCGTCAAGTGTGGAGCCGTGCACTTTTTCGTTCGTCGCAGTGGGTTTTGGGAGCGTGACGCGACTGTTTTCCCGTCCGATTGCACGCCCGATATGAGGTTTGGGGCGTCCGTAGCTATTGACGGGAGTCTTGGCCCGGTCCGAGCCATTGTCGGTGCCCCGGGTGCAGACGCAGCGTACATTTACCTCTACACGAGGGACGGTCTAACCCCGGCTGCAAGGTGGACTCAGGAGACACGGCTGGATGAACCAACGCTACCCACGGACGACATTAACCACAACTACGCAGGCGCAAATGCCGTGACAATCTTCGGTGACGTGGCGGTTGTCGGCGCTTCCGGGTTGGAGAAAGTGTTCGTGTACCATCGAGGTATCGACGGGCTTTGGAAACTCGTGTCAACGCTGCGCGCAAGTGACCGCGTTCAGTACCAAATCCTGGAGCGGACTGTCGAGCAAGCGTATGCCTTCGGATACTCCCTGGATATGGATCGCCGGACAATCATCGTCGGGGCCCCGTTCTCGGACGCATGCGCCTTCACTGCGCAGCAGTACCATAGTGCAGACTTCGACCGCCGCTACTTTGCGAAGGGCGCCGCCTACGTTTTCCATCTCGAGGCCCAGGAGCAAAGAATTGTTCTGCGCACGAGCAACCCCCTAACAGCGGGCACATTCAGGTTAACTGCAACACGTCGAGGGATTACAGGAATCACGCGCGCCATTAACTACGGTGCAACGGCAGCAGAGGTCAAGGCGGCGCTGGAAGGAACCAACGGCCAAGACGGAGACGGGTCGACCATCGAGGCCTTGGGCTTTAGACTGCTTGAAGTTGGTCGCACTGGGTCAATCGACCAGGGGTTTACGTGGAGCGTGACGTTCATCGGAGAAATCTTGTCGGTGCCGGTGCTGAGTCCGTCGTGGTCGGGCTACGGATGCACTACATGTAAGCCTTTCAGCAGCACGTTCATCGCCGACCCAGCTCGCCAAATTCTGGTCTCAGAGGTTGTGGCGATCGGCACAAGCTGGAAGCAGCAGACGCGGGTCACTGCCCCCGACGGCAACCCTGGCGATCAGTTCGGAATAAGCGTCGGGCTCTGCGGCGAGCAGGCGATTGTGGGCGCTGCCGGCTCGAGCGCTTTCACGACGACGACATGGGATTTCGAGACGGGCGATCTAACGGGATGGGTGGCCACGGGCACGGCTTTCGACCAACAGCCGACGTATGGAGATAACAGCTATGCCCGTATCAACACTTACAGGCAAGGCGGGACCCCAGGTGCCTCACCACGAGGTCAACGAGCTCAGCACGAAGGTCGCTACTGGGTGGGGACATTCGAGTCGCGGCCGGGTGCAGGAAAGGCGACTACGGCAGCTCAAGTAGCAGCTCAAATGTGTGGTTTCGCCAACGACGAGTTGTGCCGGGCGCCAAACTACAAGCTGCCAAGTGCGAGTGCCTCGGCGGGCACAACCCAAGGAGACGGCCCGCAAGGAACGCTTACATCTCTTCCCTTCACCATTGAAGGCCAGTGGATGTCGTTCCGCGTCGGCGGTGGCTGCGACGTTCGCTTCGTGTACGTGGAACTGCTGATCGACGGCCAGCCTGCCGCAGTAGCGGAGTCGGTGGCGGCTGAACAGGTCGCAGTTGAAGTCACCGCTGACGGAGCTGCTGCCACTACGTCGGCAGGGGACAGCATCCGACCCGTGACTGCAACGTCGAAGCTGAGAGCCACAGGTCGGTGCCAGGAAAGCATGCACACAGTCACGTGGGACTTGAGCGCCTTCCAGAACCGCTCAGCGCAGGTGCGAATAGTCGATGCATCCAGCAACGTGGTCTGGGGACACATCAACTTCGACGACGTGCGGTTTTCGTGGGGAGCCACGCGGGTGGCGCAGTCGTCGACATCGAAGGCTGGCGCCGCCTACACTTTCCGTCGCCGCGCTCCAGGCGCCGCGTTCCCAACTGCCAAGTGTGAAGGCATGAATCGTTGGAACTGCGAGTGGGAGTTCCAAGCGCGCCTTGCCGCCAGTGATAAGCGCAGCGAAGATCTCTTCGGGTCTAGTGTGGCGGTTGATGACGTCCAAGGTATTGCGGTGATCGCTGCACCTGGTCAACCCGGTGTGGACGCCAACAACTCAATTGATCGCGTGCTGAGCGATGGCCTCGACGTGAGCAAAGGGGGACTGGCGGCTATGGAGCAGGTGGGGAGCATCTACGTGTTCCGTCGCTCCGACGAGGTGCGCGACGGCGCGGGTGTGCTGCTGCGCACACCCAAGTGGACCCCCAAGGAGGTGGCCAAGATACAGTATCCCCAAAAGCAGCGCCAATCTCGCTTCGGAGCTGCTATGGACGTGGACGGCAGCGACTTGGTGGTGGGGGCGCCAGGGTTCTCGATATCTCCCGTGCTACCGCAGTCCGGCCGAGCGTTCGCGTACGATCTGTCCATCGCAGGGGTCAAGTTCACAAGCCCGTGGTTCGCCTGCATCGAGGGGAATCCGGACGGCCTCGTAGGACTCACGCTGTCGCGCTCAGCAGCGACGAGCAACTTGACTCGACCCCTCACTGTTGGCTACGCGACGGAGGACCGGTCCGCAGTGGGCGTGGACGCGTTGAAGTTTTCCGCCTGCCTCAAGGTGCCGTCCACGCAGCGCAAGAACTGCGGAGACTACCAGCAAAGTGCGGGCGAGGTGACGTTCGCGGCCGGAGAGACGTCCAAGCTGGTGACGATCCCCATCATGGAGGACACTTGTCTGGAGCAGTGGGAGAAGCACTTCGTGGTGCGTCTGCACGTCCCCGGGGGTGAACCGCTGCTAGGAGAGGACTTCATAGCGCGCGTGCGCATCGACGACGACGACTTCGGCAGCGACCCGTGCTAATAGATTGGTAGTAAGGGCCATTTAGAGAACTGGCAGCAGCAGATAGAGATCGAGAGAGATACTCTTACGCGCGCAATAGAGGCAGGAACGGGTGGCTTCAACATGATCGACCGATGCACATCAACTGTGGTGATCAAGATGCGCTCGCTGTCTCAGGCCGCATGGTCTCCGCGAACTTGTGAGGCGGATGCTAGTCAGCGCGAGCCGGCAAAGCCAGCTCGCTTCAGTCCAGAGGCTGCCGTGCCCAGGGAGAATCGTATGGAAACTCGTCACGCACAGCATCACGTCGCTGCTCGCTTCACTTCGCGATCCGTTGAAGCGAAAGCTGCTCGTAAGTGAGAGTAGAATGGGCTCGCAGCGCTCCAAGACGTCGGCTGCGGACCTCGTGGCCAAGCCGACGGAGGAGAAGGAACTCGGTCCAGCGGCACTCTGCGCGAGGATGCAGGAGAGCTTGACGACGGGCACTCGGTACCGCAGTCCCATCAAGAAGTTCCCCAAGTGCTTCACCTGCTTCACCGGCCACGAAGCAGTCGATTGGATGCTGAGCGCAAGCGGGCGAGAGATGCCGGCGAAGCTGTGCGCAAATGCCAGACGCTGCTCGGCCGAGGGCTCCTCGAGCAGGTCGACGGCCCCGCCGAGTTCGACAACGACCCCAAGCGGTTCTACCGCTTCACAGCAGCCTGACAAGGCGGACGCCACTCTTTCACCGTCGTAATTGCTGAATAATATACCGGTACACACAGACGCGCTTGTCGAGACTCGACTAAGCTGTTGCCCTTGTTGAAGTTTACTTACAGAGGAGGTCGTGCCATCGCCGACGAGGTGGGACCATGGTCGATGTCTCGACAAGCATGGGGTGTTGTGGATCAGATCAAAGCGCATCTGACCGATGCATGGGTCACTGTGACTGCACGCGGCGATCGATGCAACAGGATGTGGGTGTATGTACCGTAACAAACCCGTCAGCTCGACAGTCCGTCAACTCTGCCAATTGTCAGCTCAACAGCAGTGGCCCGCAACGGCCACACTCTATTAGACCAGCGGGTGCTAACTCATTCGGCGGCGGGCCAAACACGGCCGAGAAAACCGCGCGAAGCAACGTAGCAGACACGAGAGGGATCGTGAGTGCGCAGGACAAGAAGTCCAAGTGGATAGACTCGCGATTGCCAAAAGGCGAAGCGGGGATTGCATATTATTTACAGTACCCATGCCTGCATCCATCCTACATCCCTACCATGCTGGAAATCTCAACATCTCAAGACAAGTCCGGCGTGAACCGATCTTGTTGCTCGAGCGCAGCCATCTTACGCTTGCAGTGTGGCCGGCCATCTCATTTCGCGCTGTTCGGGAGCCGCAGCCCGATTGCTTCCGCGCGCTCATTTCGAGTCGGACCGGCGCCGGCCACTCGGGTGAAAGGCACTCACTTGCGGCCCGAGGCCACCCACACAGAGCTGTGACCAAGAGTGTCCGTCTGGACTGGTGGAAAGCGGCAAGCGCCACATTGAGGCACGTTGAAGCCGCGCGGGCTCGTCTTTCTCCGGTACAAAGCTACATGTACCTCGCAACGAGTCACAGGCAAGAGAGCGTCGCGGGCCGCAGCACTTCGGGTGCCTATCCACCGCGGCGACAGCAACCTTCACGCTGCAGACACAATGGCCACTGCGTCGGCGGCGGTCTCCGTTACTGCGTCACGCGGCCGGCCCAAGTTCACTGCATTCGGCAAGGCTGCGTGCAGCCTTGGCGAAGGGGCGGCCGTGGCTCCGCTCCGCTGTGGCTCGGCCGGCCCTGCAGGTTGACGCTCCATTAGCGGAGACTTTCTGTGTCCATTACGTAACGAGTCAAAAACGAGTCGGTCCAGAAGAGCCAGTCCTTTTAATGGATCCAAGTGAGCTGCCGTTGACGGCCGGACGATCTGTTTAGGCACTCGGCTTTCGGCGCAGTGCCTCAAGCGGGCCATGTGCCGGCCGAGCCCTTATCCGCACAACTGGACGGCGCTGCTCTGCTCTTCCGCGATCGCGTCGCCCGCCCCCACTCTCCTCTTTGCAGCGTCGGGCGCAGAGACTCGCCCGCCTGTCGCCTTCTCGACCGAACTCGCTCGTTTCGCGCGGCCGAGGCGCGTGCATTTCCACTTCGGACGGCTCAGTCGACCCTCCCAGTCGGCTCGAACCGGTTCGCGTGTCAACCAACGTAGAGAGCTCTCTCTACGTACGTTAGCTCATGCCAGCCATGCAGTTCTCCATGCCCACGGCCGTGGAGCGCGTGCCCGAGTCCTCGGCCGCCAACGGAGACCAAGAGGCCGAGCAGGAGGAGGCGCTGCTGCGTCTGGCCGCGCGCATGAAGCAGAACGTGGCCACGGGCGACCGCCGCCGCCACATCTTCAAGAAGTACAGGGACTGCTTCACCGGCATGGAGGCCGTCGACTGGATGCTCGAGCAGATGGAGGCCAAGAGCGTCGCCGAGGCCGTCCGCAAGGGCCAAGGCCTGATGTCCCACCGATACATTGAAAAGGTGGAGAAGGAGACCAAGTTCGAGTACAACAAGAAGCGCTTCTACCGGTTCACGGCCACGACCCCCGAGTTCGTGCAGGCCGTGGAGCGGCCGCTGCCCAGTGCCACGCTGGACCTGCCCCTGAGTGCTGCGGCCCGACGACGAGCCTTGGCCGCGCTTATCGGCGGCTTCGTGGCCGACGCGGCCTCGACGTCCCTGAACGGCGTCTCACACCCAGAGAAGACCATCCCGAACCTGCTGAGACTGGACTTCGACCCGGCCTTCTGTGGCCTGTACGATACGTCCGACGGCAGCGACAAGAAGGGCAGCCGCACCAGGATGGAGTCGTCCACGGGCTTCGAGGCCCGCATTCTGCTGCAGTGCATCGCTCGCCGGGGCCACATTCACGGCTCGCAGCTGGCCAAGGACGCGTACTGGGGGTTTAAGAACGACCACCGACTGCTGAGTGCGTCGTCCAGGGCGTTCATCAAGCGCGTGCACTCCGGCAAGGGCTGGCCGCACTGTGCCGTCAAGTGCCGCTCCATCGACGTGCTGTCGTTGATTCCCATCGTTGTGGCGTTGTACGCCGGCACCAACCAGCTCTTCACCAAGGTGGACGAGCTGGTCAAGGTTTTCTACGTGGGCACTCGCGTCCGCGATGCTGCTCTAGTAGCGGCCTTTGTTCTGGAACAGGTGATTCTCGGCGCCTCCGTGCTGCAGGCCATGCGTATGAGCATCCGCACGGAGCGACTCAGCGTCAAGCAGCGCAAGGTCATCTTTAAGGCCTTCACCAAGTCGCAGCTGCCCAGCTACGAGGCCATTCAAAAGTTTGGCAACCGTGGCTCGCTTCCCGGTGGGTTCCACGCGGTGCTCCAGCCGCTGTTTGTGCTTAACGACTACCCTACGGCCGTGCGCGAAAACATCATCGGAGGTGGCCGAACGTGTCGGCGCGCCATGTTCATCGGCGCGTGCTTTGCTGCACAAGACGGCCTGGACGCTATCCCCGAGGGCTGGATCCAGAAGACGCAGTACTTCGACTTCATCGAGGCGGACGCCAGCACGCTGGTCGGCCGTCGTGAGGTGCAGGGTTCGTTCACTGAGGAGGACGAGGAGGACCGACTTGCCGCGTACATGGACTACGTGCCCCGATCGTCCATGTCTTCGAACCGTTCCCGTCACATGGAGCGCCCGGAGTCGTCCCGCCGCAGCAGCCAAAACCTCGGCGCTTCGTCCTCGAACGTCAACGGCGAGGCCTCCGACATTGCCGGTGAACTGCCGCCTGAGGGCGTGTCGTCGTCGCGCCGCTCCTCGGGCCCGATTCGTCGCCGCTCCAACAGCTACGCGTCCTCGGGTGGCCTCTCGTCGCCGCGCTCCATTGCGTCCAACTTCTCGTACGCTTCGCAGACGACCACTGCCTCCAGTGTGCGCTCGGTCATCGACCTGGGAGACATGGACAAGTTCTACCAGAGCGGTGTGGGCAACACGCTGACGGCGTCGTCCACTCCGCGCTCGAGCGGAGGCACTGACGGCCGCTTGAGCTTCGAGATGCAAAAATTCTTCCAGGCCTACGGCGCCGCTGCCGCCGCGCGCGGCTCGCGTGGCTCGCACGGCTCCTTCGGCGAGAACGGCTCGTACGGCAGCGGCTCATCGACTGTTCGCTCGAGCGACCTGAACCAGCTGCGTCCGAGCGACATGGCCCCGTACCTTCGCCGCAGCTCTGCCGGTGCTCGCCGCAGCGATCCCCGCAGCGACCCGCACCTCCGCCACAGCTATATCGCCAGCTCGCGCCGTAGCGACACCAACCTCATGTACGGCAGCCACCAGCCTCGATACTCCGGCAAGGTGTCGCGCGTTAGCGACCCGAACGCCTTCTACCGCCGGTCGTCGTCTACGCCCGCGTACGTGCCCGAGGCCGAGCGATCGGAAGACGTGGTGCTGGCCCACCGCGTATCACTTGACGACGAGCAGCGCGTGAGTCTTCACGCCATTCTGTAGATAAAGTGATACGCACCGGAGGACTTTCGAGCACGCGCACTTCGTCCAAGGACAGCAAACGGATCAAGCGGCACGGGAGGGAGGCGACGGTGAGTTGTTTAATTTATTGATATGAGCGCAGCGATACGGATGGGGAGGAGAGAGAAACCAGCAGAAACAGTCAAGCGTCGACGTCGACGGCAGGTAGGTTATGAGGTAGATGGCGGGCGGGCGTGGTGTAGCGGACGTGGGGGAGTCATGCAGTAACAGTGACCGTCAAGTTTGTTTTTTACTCTGGAGTCTGTCCATCTACTTTTGTTGTTGTCCTGGTTGACATTCATCAACGATTTCTGTGATGAAATGTTGATGTCAAGTCTATGACGAGCAAATCGCAAAAGTATCGACAGCTGTGAGGTTTGAACTCACGCGGGTTACCCCAATGGATTTCAAGTCCATCGCCTTAACCACTCGGCCAAGCTGTCCCTTATTGTGCCACGAACAAGTAAATATAATATAACGCTGTGTTGAGAAGGTAGCTTCGTGATGCAATTCGAATCCCGAAGAGAAGCAGAGGAGAGACTCACCTGAGGAACAGTATGAGAAGAGCGGTCTCGTCGGTCGGATCTGACGCAGAACATCACGACCAACTCCACAGGCACGACTTCCTACTGCGCGAAGCTCCTCAAGAACGAGACGATCCTCTATCCGTTGGACAGGCAGGCAGGTTATCTTTCGGAAGTCTCAGCTCTTTCAGATTCGCCTGTCGATCTTGGCACCTGGTACAACTTTGGCATCGGGCGTTCAAAGCTAGGTTAAGCAGCCCAGCCAGAACGTCGTCTACATGTAGTTTGGCAGCTTCGACCAACTCACAACGATGAGAAGCTGTTACATTCTCCAAGCAGGCACCGCGAGACAGCGGAACACAGAGGCACTGGGCAAATTGCAATACATGTCATGTACTTCCATTTTTAAAATAGAGCTTTTCCCAAAAGGAGTAGCGATTTGACCCATCTGTCTCAAAAGGAGTCGTTGTTGCAAAACGAGTAGTTGGGGTGCACCACATACCATTCTTGGCGATCTTAGGATAGAGAATGTGCTATTTGCGGTATGATATTGCCGTGGGTTTTAGCTGGCATTCTCCATCGTTCTCGTAGTGCTATCACAACCAGCTTCCTACTCTAGACCCGTCCCACCATCGCAATGGCATCGGCTCGCGCGCTCATGGACTTAAACGCCGAACACGGCACGTCTGAATTGAAGGAGGGCATGCGCTTCAGCTCCGGCACAGACGCGACCTATTTCATGCAGGACTACACGTACAATGCCAACACACGCTGTTGTGTTAAAAGCAGTGGAACAATGAAGACGTACACTTGCAGCCACGACAAAAAAGCCAAGCCCAAAGGGGCCGTCTCGAATGACGAGGGAGAGACAACTGTCATCTCCTCGGTCGACGACAGGAGTATTCCCGGTGATGTGTGTGGATGGGAGGTTCGCGTCTCGATGAAGAGAGAGCGTGGTGGGCCTCAGCTCTTCTGGGTTTCGTATATTAACGACTTGCACAGCGACTTGTGTACGTCAACTGCCAAAGTTACCAAACGCCAGCTCACCAAACTAGCCACACTTCGTGCCGCGGTGTTGGGCGACCGGAAGGTTAAGGGCAAGGCACTTGTAGCGATGCTTCAATCTCGAGATGGAGTCAACATGCAGTTCAGCAGATCACGTTATATCGTGCTAAAGACGCTATCGTCGATTCTGCTGATGGTAAATGGGAGGAGTCATTTCGTCGTCTCCCGTTCATGTTGGCTGATATACGTGATTTGAACCCGGGCACATTGATCCAGTTGGAGGTGGACCAACACCAACGATTCCTTCGAGGGTTTATCGCGCTTGGTGCTAATGTTCAGTGCCAGTCGGGTCTGTTGCCGTTGTTAGGATTTGATGGTGCACACGCAAAGCATTCAAAGTACAACGGTGTTGTGCTTTCGCTTCTTGGCCGGGACGGCAACAACAAGAATATTACGTTAGCTACAGCTTTGGTCAATGTCGAAAATGAGGCGAACATTCTATGGTTTTTGGAGCAGTGCCATTGCGCTGGGATTCAGCTTTCCGGACGTGCAACTTTTTGTGACCGCGGCAAGATAATCGGAGCTGCACCCAAGTTTTTCTTGCGCACCGGTGTGCTCGTCAATCTGCGTTATTGCACACTTCACATCATCCGCAACCTGCACAAAAAAATCAAAAAGAGCGTTCAGGCGTTTGATAACGCTGTGTGGGCAATTCAAGGTGCTGACACCCACAAAAAATACGCTGAGGCTCTCGATAAGATGAAAACTGCTTTCGGCGATGATGTAGTGGAGTATTTGAAGGAGATCGGCCCAACTGTGTGGACAGTTCATGCAAACATGAGCACATACATTCCTTCGGTTGGCGAAGACAATGGTAGCGGAGCTGACATGCAGGGCGATATTGCGGGCAACCACTCTGGATCTAGACTAGATGCTGCTGCATGTGCGTCATGTGGAGGTGATGGAGCTTCGTGTCACCTTGCCAGCTCGAATGGCGTTCTAAGCGCATCGATAGAGGCAAGCAGCGCAGATGAGGACTTTAGCGAAGCTGAATGTGAGTGTTGCCAATTTGCAGAAACAAACGCCGTACCGATGTTCCAGTGGCGTACATCGAACTTCGTGGAAAGCGACAATAACGCTTTGATCGAAAATGGAGATCGTGACTCTGATCCATGCAGCGCATTTTACAGGGTACGCGGGTCGTAGCAGCACGAGAGTCGGAGCCTCTGGCGGAGGCGGGAGCCGCGAAGCAGCCACAATAGGTACTCCGTAAGCTCAGCCAAGCTCTTGGCCAGAGACTTGTCACCTGTGGGGGGGGGGCAGCAGAGCCAGCGGCTTAATGTCCTTGGGGAAGGCGTGGTGCACTTGCGTGGTCTGCTTGCTGCGCCCGCCGCTTATCAGGAATGTGGATGGTATGTGGTGCACCCCAACTACTCGTTTTGCAACAACGACTCCTTTTGAGACAGATGGGCCAAATCGCTACTCCTTTTGGGAAAAGCTCTTTTAAAATACCTTATGCAGAAGGACGCTGCCCGCTACACCTGGTAGAGGTAGGGTTGCTGCCAGCAGATTGGGTCGCTCCTGGTCCACGCGAAGTGTCATGCGGGTGACCAGCGAGAGGCTCGATCGTCAGAGGTCGTCTTATCCGAAACTTCAGCATGTGCTCGTTGGATAGCCGCAGGCTCCGTCCGTCATCTTCTTGGCAAAGCAACTGGCATACACCGCAACGCTGATCTCCAGTGAAGATTCTTCATTCCTACTGTAGGTTGCGACCCATGCAATCTCATCATAGAGCACGTCGGTATCATCGCTACGCTGAGCCAGCTCGAGGATCTCGTTAGCTGTCCGGCCATCCGACACGAAGGAAAACAATAGCGGTAGCAACAGCGGCGACGGCGATAACATTCCCTGACACTACACGCTACCGGTACACGTTGTTGCCAGAGGTCCGCCAATACCGTATTTTATTGTATTGAGATGATTGTCAAGCCCTAATAAATATTACAACTTTTTGACAATCAATAACAAATATTGCCGTATTTTATATTGTATTGGAGCATAGAACATCCTACAGTATTTTATCGATTTAGAGGGGAGAAGAAAGTCCTCACCTTTTTCATCATCGCCGAGGACAACATCAACAGCGCTCGAAACGAAAAGTTTAGTATCATAATTTGCGTTGATATTCAAGTTTCTAGCAGCGAACGTTTCACTGTGAAGCCTACCTATAGGTTCAATCCATGCGTAGTAGAACGTTGCATGATCGCTATATTATGATAGTGGCTGGCGTCCTGTCAGTTCGTTGAAACCTGCTATCGGCGAGCTCACCAATGGTAAAATGTTGTGTATTGAATTGTTCTTTGCCGTCAGTTTTGGAAGTACGATGGCGACAAAGCCATCTCCCTCATGAACATCACCCGGCTTTATGTATCTTGAGCTTTGCTGCCGTCTTTCCTACATGGTTGGCCCTCGTAGGTGCAGTGCTTGGCTCCATAGTAGCCAATAAGATTGCCTCTTTGCCTTTATACTTAACTTCAATATACTGTATACAGATGCCTATATATTGTGGTGCAACACTCCCACTAAAGATGACAGCGATGTACTCAAGATCTTTCCTCGACTTCAACGACTTCAACTTCGTTCTCAGATTCTTTTTTGTCTCATGCCCAAATTTAAAATCCAGGTGACCTAAAATAGTATATTCAAGGCAGCGCTGGTACCCAACTTAACTGAGAACTGCCCAACATGATGTTCATACTTTATCTTATATATTACGGAAGCCCCTTCTCATATTCTTCTCCGCCTTTTGCTTTTGGCTCTCACTCCCTCATCCGCTTGCCTACCCTTCGGGACGGGGCCGTAAGCCACCCGACATCTCCTGACGACCGGAAGACCTGGCCTAGGCCACAGAGAGCACACTGCTCCCGGCTTTTTGCGCCGACAGGCTGCCAACCGTCCAACTGGGGACAATGTCGGGGGGAAGTCAGATCTACCTGCTACTCGCGACCACCCGGCTTATGACCAAAGTACTTTTCGATGGCACAGATTAGGGAGTCACTTAGCATAAAATTTAGCTTAAATCGAGTGTACAGCACTCGGAGTACGGGGTTGATAGCCCGAACGGTTCACTGTCCTTAAAATAGGGCTAGGTGCGGCAATTAGCATGGGTTTTAGGCCTTAATTATGCCTTTCGATCTTTAATTTTGCTCACTCCGTAAATTTGGCTTTAATTTGTGTCTCTGTTCTCAATTTGTATCTCCGTTTGTGATAGTCTATATGTAGCTTTTTGACTTATTTTTGGTCTAAAATCACTTTTATTGACACTGTTGGTTACATTTTGCTCTGTATCATCTTGTTCCTGATATTGATACTATTTAGAGTCTGATCGTTAATTTGAGACACTCAAATCCTTAACTCCCATCATGTCTCGGAGCTTTTCAAACTGGTTCTGACTGAGCGGCTTAGTATGTGCATCCGCTATCATTTCGTTCATATTACAGTACGTTACTGTGATACTTCCCTCTTCATGTTTATCACGAGCATAAAGATGCCTGATATCAATATGCTTTGTGGACGAATGACTACAGGGGTTCTTAATAATACTAATGGCGGCAGTATTATCACACCAACACTGAGTCGGTAGTACTTGTCCGTATCCTAACTCATTTATAGTAGCCGTAGCCACATTGCTTCTCGTACGCCCTCACTTGCTGCGACTAGTTCTGACTCCGCTGTGTTGAGGCTTATACAATCTTGCTTTACATGATGCATGCACCAGCGAGTAGCGATACATAACCCGTAATAGATTTCCTTTGCTCATGTGCATTCGCGAAGCTCGCGTCTGTGTATAGCTCAAGCTTAATAGTCCTATTGCCATCATATATTAAGCCATACTGCGACGTTTCTTTCCAGTACTTTAGTACCCGCTGAGCAGCTCTCCAGTGACTTTTATTGTAGCAAGACAAGTACTTACTTAGTTCCCTCACAGCATTAGCTATGTCAGGTCTAGTGTCGTGTAGGAACACACACTAAATTATATAATAGCACACTTTCCCCACCAACAACACCCACCAAGTCCCGATGACTCAATGGGCTTGTTAGGGTTAGAACCTCAAGGCCCAGGAACTTTCCCTTGCACCGGGTTGATGTTTCCTCTGTGCACCGTGTTTCCGCTTAGTCAACTGACGGAAACCCAGCGTCACCAGCCACGAGCAAAGGATGGTACGCTCTCACACGCAATATAAACCTCGCAGGCCCTCAGGAAGGAAGGGTCCCAGCCAGTCACGGCTTGATACGAGGGTACCGGAGCTATACTCCGGCGGGAAGGATAAATGGAGTGCGCTCTCGCTCCTCCACTACTCGGCGATGACTCGCCCTTCGTATACACGGCCACTTCTTCACTACTCTTGGCCTGACCACGGGTAAACGCACGCTACGATACTAGCAGGCGCGTCCACCGACAGTCATAATCCTACCAACAGATTTATCCAATTGCTACGGGAACTCACCGATAGCCCGGACGTCTTCCTTGAGTGGTTGGGAGGAAAAGCGGTTTTGTTCTTGTTGCCCAAAGGGCATATCTGTTCTATCTTCTCCTTCCTATGGTTCAATACAAATATCTAGTATAAACGCGTCCGTTTTGGATCTTCCCAAGTAACCACCGACCCTTCAGAGCCTCCTCGACGCCCCAAGAGGCCTCTCGATGACTCTATTGGACGATGAAAACTTGGAGCAGTCGCCGGGGCTCGAACGGTCGTCTTAAGTGCGGATCTCGGGTCAAAGTTCGCTGTAAGCTCGGATCGTACTTGAAGTCCTGGGTCTCGAACTTGGGTGTCGACGAGTCTTCGGCACCGGTCCAGAATGGCCAATCAGCATCCGCCGAACATTGCTGAACATGTCCGACGACTCGGGTCGCCACTGAAGCTTGGTCGTCAGCTCGATTCTCGTTTACCGCCAAATCACTACACCACAGCTGCCCCCACCACTATGTGAACCACATGATGGCGAGCGTCGTGGTGCGTTCTGCTTCTGCTTCCTTTCGCTGTTAACGACGTCTGGTATTGTTTGCCCCGGTTGCGTGCTTGGTAGGCGTCTGCGTTGTCGTAATGTCGCGCCGGTGGCTCGCTGCTGTAGGCTTACCTGGTTCCATAACTCGGGTTCGCACCGAGCCGTCGGGGCCGGGTTGGCGACCGCCGCATAGTGTCTTCGACCTCGTCCGGTATAGTGCCGACATCTTGTCCGCCTTCGCCGCCGTTCGACGACCTTTGTTGAGTTGAGCAGCGGTGGCATCATCGCTTTCGTCAGATTCTGCTTCGTAGACAACGGCACGACACTCCATGACCGCTCGGCTTGATTCTGTACAACCACCCGGTTCTCGGGAACCATACAATGATCAGCATCATGATGCGTGATGACCTGGACGAGGTTGGTGAGGCCGTAGACTGCGGTAGCTCCTTGCGCATAGGCTTCAGCAAGTTCCTGCGGCCGATCCGGTCCTCAGAAAAACTTCTCAGCCACCATCTTGCCGTAGCGCGTCTGACCCAGCGTAGATCCTGCTTCAGGCGCTTCAAGTCATCGGCAGTTGTCAGCGCACCTCCGTCCGAGCTCCAAGCACACCAAGTCTTCGCCAGCACTGCCCTTGAGTTGTCGGGGGAAGTTGTAGTTCGTTCCAATCGGGATTCTCCATTCGTATCATTCGCGTTCGATCTTCATGTAGCATGCAAAGCTGCAGTAGCCATTTTCGTCTGCACTCCTGGGCTGCATTGCCCCAGGCGCAGTTCACCGTGAGGTTGAGTTGTCGCGGACGGAGGCTAGGCGTTGCGCACGACCACGACACTCTTCCAGCAAAGTCCACGTGCAGCATTGGTGCTTTGAGACCGCAGAGGTTGGTACGCAGAGACCTCGATTCCATCAGCCTCTTGCCCCGCTCCATGTACGGCCAGATACGACTGACCCAGTCGACGCGAGATTTCGGTGTGCTGTTGGTCTGTCCGTTCTCTGGATAACCTGCACTGTTTGCACAAAACTCGCATTCACCAGTCGTCGGCAGTGGTTCCAATGTCTTGTCGGTCCGGATCGGTGGCTTCGTCTTGAGCTTGGCTTGTGACCGAGTTATCGGCGCGGCCATGGTAGGCTCAATGCTCCTTGAACTACTGCTGGAGAAATCTTGGGACCGAAAAGAATCACCGGGAAGCACGTTCTGCGGGGATATCCCGTCTGGATCAATTTTGTAGATCACAGCTTGGAGTTGGTTGAGCTCACAGAGCGTGGCCTTCCTATCGCCACTCAAAACCACCTTCGACGTCTGAGATTCCAACGCTTCAGAAGCTAGCGAGTCCGCGGCAGCATTGTATTTCTGTGCGACGTGAATGTATCTCACAGATCACAGTCGGGCCTTGACCTCCTCGTGGTAACTCGGTTGAGTCATCGCCCCGGAGTCAGCTGCCCCTAGCGAGTGCAACAACGCCAGCCTTGAATTGCTAACAGCGACCAAGTCGTCGGCACCGAGTTGTAAAGCCGCCAGCACGCCGTATGTCATACCGGCGCTCTGGGCAAGGGGGCTCGTCGTGTCGGCGAGGTAAGCGTTCGCGGCAATCATCAATTTCCACTCCGGTAGGCGCCACACAATCCATGCGCAGCTTCCATCTGCACGATACTGCCCAGGCTGTGTCAAGCCCGCGAAAGATACCACGCACCCCGTATGACTCTTCGGGAGCCGTGTCTTTGAGAGGCTTGACGCAGTAGGAGTCGTCGGGAAACTTCCAGTCGGTATCCACGCGCTGTCATTTGTCGCATCATCCTCGTCCATGTCCAGTACGCTCATCACCGACATAAAGGTATGCTCCGCCATAGCGAGGGGAGTGTGCGCGTCGTAACGGGGGACCAGATGAGTTGTCGGTGCTTCATTGGTGAGGTCACAATGCGGTTTCAAATCCGGAGTGTCTCCGTTTGTCGCCACAGTCGGAAACTGAGTTATCGAGGGTTGATCGGGAGCAATTTCGGCCACTTGTGGATCGGCTGGCGTGTCGTCGGGAGCGACTTGACTGCTTCTGCCCTGGTCCCAA